AACACCTCCTGAAGATGTACCTCCTTCAACAAGGCTTCTTTGCAGAGATCTTTTCCAGTCTGGATTTGTACTGAATTGTTTTTAAGATGTTCTTATTGTTTTATCACTTGTTTGCTGCTCTACATTTTGGAAGAGCAGGATATGAATTTAAATAAGTCCCATTTATTTCAGTGAGCATATTATCAAGTATAATAGTTGGCCATCGCCCTTTGTTATCTTGAGGAAATGAGCGAGGGTCGTGGACTTTTGACAATTTTCAGCTTGCCACAGTATCAGTCTTGAATATATATGCCACTAAATATAATTCAGTTCTAGTTCACTGGTGTTCTGTTTTAAACATTGCAACAGAAAGAGAACATTTCTTGTCCAGCTAGAAACATAACAATGGACACAGAAAAAGAAGATAATGTTGTAATAACTTTTGAGGAAAGGCATTACACTGGTCTATTCAGCGGGGAAACTAACCAGGGACCATAAAACAGGGGTAGTTACCATCTATTTTGAGTGGTCTACTTTAAACAGATGAATATATTTAAAGCATTTTTTAAAATTTGAAATATTTATGTACTGCCCTTCATCTTACTAGAGTTCAGAGTAGTTTAGAATGGAAATAAATACGTAACAATGCACAACCAACGTTTTAAATATTCAAACCTAGAGAGCATACTCTGCATCTCTCATTAGTTTTGACATAACTAGTTTGTGTTAAATAGCCCTGAGCACTTGCTTTAAAGAATATGAAGACTGCCTTTTCCGGATCAAGGTCCACCGAATCCAACTCTTTGAAAGAATCCGAGTGACCAGCCGGCATTTGTGGACACTGTCTGAGTTCTCCTTACGCCTTCTATAAAACACCGTCTTTATTGGGGCTAACAAAAATCTTTACAGGGCTTTCTCCATTACCATCATGACATTACTTCAGGCATAGCTTGACACTGCTTCCTCTCAGAAACACATTTTTCTCCCTTTTTTCTGATAGGAAAATGCAACATTTAGTTTGTGGAAGAGGTTTTGGTAACTCAAATAAACAAACAAACAAAAACTGGTGCTAAATAAGACATCAGTTTACCGTCCTGGTATACAAGCAGTTTGAACTGCAAGATCCTCAGAGGTTAGTACTGCTATCTGAACTTTTCAAATGTATGTTTGTCATTTTGTAAAGACAACAACTAAATGACAACAACAGCTTCATACAGGTTGCAAAAAAAAAACCCCAAACCCCCATGTGTTTATATATCTCTAATGCAGGATAAAACCTCATGCATCTGATGTACAAACAGGACTCTGGCTTATAGCATGACCATCTGTTAGCCCCCAAGGTGCCACAAGACTCTTGGTTGTTTAAGACAAATCACATTTCTCTACTCTTGCTAGTCTGCATTTTACATGACAAAGTCACTGCTTAATATTTACACCGCAGTTGTGTTCTACTTGGTGAAAGCCAGAAATTTCAGAAAAGTAGAACGTCTCCCAAGAACTATAAAAGTTGGATGTGAGATTGTCTATTTACAGAGATAATTCTATTTGTTCCAGTACCAATAATCTGCTATCCCCTGCCACCACTCCATCACTATAAACACATGAGCTTTGAAAACTTGACATCACTAGTTCTCTCTGGCAAAGGAAAGTGAGGGAGAAAAAGTAGATGGATAATTAAAGCTGTAAACTTTTTATGAGCTTTAAAGTTACATGGGAGGTAGATACCCAACATGTGCAACTTCCTCAGTTCTTCATACTGGTATACACTTTAAACTTTGCCTGCTTCTGATTTAAATTCTCATTCTAAGCATTGCCCAGAAAAATTAGAGAAACCTATATTTGATTTAGAAGAAATTGCCAGCAAAACTTTGCCTAGCACATTAAATGTGCACTTTTCAAGAATATTCTCACTGATTCCTCCTAGCTAATAATTGATGCTTGTTTTGATTTAAAACAAAATAGTAAAGGTTTTCTAGTATACCCTTGCCCCCCACACCTCGTGTCTTACATGTACTCATACCTGAAGACTGCAATAGAAATTCCACTCAAAGATTGAGCAATCCAAAACAGAAATGTTTTAACATTTCAGCCATCTGAAATTAATAGTTTTGTTTCTTTGTATTATCTCATCTGTCCTTCTCTTCTTAAAGCTGTAAATTGAAGTCTTGATGCACTTGCAATAAACAAATTTTATTGTAGCCTTTGTAACTTTTCCTTTTGGATATTTTAACTACTGGTTTTGATTAGTCTGGAGGGGGAGGGTTCTTTTTTCACCAGTTTCAAAATCATCATTTCAGACTTCCGTCATAGGAGAGGAATGATTCTGCACTGCCAGTGTGTGTAAGTGTGTGACATGTTTTAAGACTGAAGAATGCAGCAAAAAATGCCTGCACTCAATGTTAGATACCACCCATGTGGTATGCAAACAGGATTTTTTTTGGGAACAAACTTAAATTGTACAAATAAAGAAAGCAGATCTTCCTCCCAGGGATTTCTCAAAAAGTGTATTATTATTATTATTTTTCCAATGCATATGCCAGAGTTTTAGAACAAGTTAGATGCAGCAGGTAAAGTGGATATTTACTTTCCCTTAACTGCTAGTAGGATACTCTTGTTTGCTCATAGGTTGCTGCTTTTCCACAGGTCTGATGCAACAAAACTTCAGTTTCCCTCTGCCCTCAGTGACCTCTATTGGGGAACTTTGTTAACCTGCATTCTCAGAAGTTACTACCCATGTGTGTGTGAGAGAGTATTCTTCTACAATGTCCAGCTTATAACAAATGAATGTGACCACTGCTTTGTCTAGGATAGTTGAAATTTAATTTAGCTAAATCAACTACAGTACTGAAACTTATTTTCCTGCAATGTTGTGTGTTGCTACTGCTGTTTCCAGCTGTAGGCTTACTGATATTGCACTAATAATTCTTTTTTAAAAAAAAAAATTAAAAGCTGTGGCGTGCAGCAGTAGGATTTATTTCAATTAAAAAGGTTTTCAGGAAATAGATACCAGTGCCAAGGAACCTATTACATTGCCCCATAGATAACAATCGACAACAAATTTAGAACCAAAAATTGGTTGATTTGGAAACAGAACTATTGGAGGGAGCATTCATCTGTGAAATCTATCACACTGAAGTGCTATAAGATGCTTGTCAAGAATGGAGTAGTCTGAAGCTCTAGGGAGTAAAAACTTACTGACTGAAAGATACCTCCCCAACTATTATTTTTCAGGGAGTTCAAATTACTTGGGCCTGAGTTACAGCCAAGTAATATTTTACAACATGTGATAACCTAAGTAAACTGATACCTATCTGCTTAACTCTTGAATTGCCAGGTTCAAGGGTAACAGAAATGTATAATCTTTACGGTTTCCACCCCAAACCCCTTACTTACTTACTTAATTACTTACTTGGAAGTAAACCTCACTGAATATAATAGCACTGACTTCCAAGTAGACATGGTTGGGATTGCAGCTGAAATAATCTTCCTACCCATTATTTTTATACTACTTATTTTATGTTTTGTATATGAATTGCTTCAGAACTAGCAAATGAACTAGGGGGGACGACCAAATCACAGATTTACTAGGTAAAAATAATATACCTTATACTAAACTATTTTCAAGCACCTTTCCAGGTTCTAATTTTCAGGTTCAAATGATCAAATTGAGTAGAGAACTAAATAATAAGATTTAAATTCACAAATTGCTTTGTAATTTTGCAAAGTATAAACACAGCAGCTTATAATGACGACTGAATTCATCTGACAATGTATTTAGTATAGTATTTCATGAGAGAATGTGTAGAAATGTCTGGCTACAAAAACAGATATAACACAAAAGAACTTCTTTGCTTCATATATATCAATATATTCCTGAATATCATATAGTGGTTTGGATCCAGACTAAGGATCCAATCTGATACACACCAACCTAGGAGAAAGTTCCACTGGCCACATGGAACATACTTCTGAGTAGGTATGCAAAGGATTTTGCTGTAAATTAGTTGTAGCTAATTCCGATTAGGGTAGTCAGGTGAACAAAACAAAACAAAACAAAACAAAACAGGACTCCTATACCTTTAATAGTTATCAAGAAGAGGGAACATCATCAGGTGTAGCTTCTATACAACTATAAAATATATCAGAGTCTTGTCCTCTTTTTTTTAACTGACCACCTTGGCTCCACTGAAATAAATGGGACTTAGTCATGACCAACGGTTCACATTAATTCAACAGCACAATCATATGCATTTCTACTCAGAAGTAAGTACTGCTAAGTTCAGTGGGACTTACTGAAGAGTTTATAGGATTGCATCCCTACTCTGGATCCAGATTAATGGCACAATCTTAACCATGTATGCTCAGAAGTCAGTCCTTCTGAATTCAGGGCTGTTTTACTCCCAGGTATGTGGGTTTGGGGTTGCTGCCTAAGTGGATCTTAGTCTTTTAAAGTCTTCAGTCCTAGATATACTTATTTGCAAGCATATCTCACAGAAATCAGTGGCTCTTGCTTCCAAGTAAATAAGCTTTGGGCTGCAAGAGAAAATGCCAGCATAACAAATATTAGCAAATTGTGCAACTATAAATTATTACTAAACCTCATCATTCAAGGTATTTCTCCCATTTTGTCATTCTTATGAAATGTTTTAGAAAGGAATGTAATAGTGTTAAACTATTTTGAAATTTTAACAGAATTACTAGTATTACCTGAGTATTGCTTTGGAAACATAAGGAAGGAATCCATTTTATGCTTCTTATTCCTTAAATGTAAAAATATTTGCCGCAGGTATGTTGATTCTAAGAAAAGTGAAGCAACTGAGATGCAAACACTAAAAGTAGTTTATGAATCTAGAACAAATCCTAGCAAGTTATTAAACAAACATTTAGGCTGAAACCCCAACACATACTTACTTGGGAATAAGCCTCACTAAACACAGTGCACATAATTATATTTCACAGATGCAGTCCTAAAATTACTCACATAAAACCAGTCAATGGTATTCACTCCCATTTTTTAAAGACTGGTAGTGAGTCTGTCCATCAGCTACTTATGATGCTGAATGATGTATGGAATATCAAAATAATTTAATAATCATGATTAACTACAGGGGGATTTCATACTTTGAATTAAATCCATTGAAATCAATGAGACTTACTCCCAGTTAAACAAGAATAGGACCACCCCCTTTGCAAAACTTTTATTTTATTCAAATGATAATCAAAATCTTAAACTAAGTGAGATTAACCCAGGCATCTGGAGTGTCTGCAGCACCTATGAAAATATTAGTGGGGTGGCATTCCTAATTCACAAACACCCATCTAAATCCTACACATATTAAAAGCTATACAAAACAATTACTATTCTCATATATTTGCTGATCATCTTAATTCTTCAGAATCTAGGCTTTACATAAGTTTTACAGACACCTTGCCTACTGAAAATATAGTACAAGACATATTTTTGTTTCATACTGCAAACTGTTAACATACATTTTGCTTCAAATTTCATATATATTTATGTCACATTGCTTAATCTTTCAGGACTATTTGTTTTTCGTTTGTAGCATGTGTGAATCCAATGCAGACATGCAAACAATATTTATTTCAAACATTTTTAGCCACTTAATTGCAAAACTCAGTAGTAAATCAGTGGACAAATTGTGGATATTATTGCATGTTGTGGCTTTCCAGCTAATAGAATACAATATTGTTTACACACTTGAAAGTACTGTATTAGATTATACCAATTCCTATAAATTGCTTGCAATGTTATGTTAAAAATACAGATGAACAGTTAAGCTACAATAAACCATGTAAGCAGACAAGTTAGTAATTAATTTCTATAGTGGAAAAAAATCTGGTTACTTCTGAATTTGTTATGCTAAGGAAATTAGTTACTCCCTTTATATAACTCCAGATTAAAATAATACATGGAACAGTAGAATGCAAACAAATATCTTATATTTGAGATAACAAGTGCTAACTATTCCATTGAATTTACCATGTGTTATGTTTATTTTGACCCCAACTGGTAGCACTTAAGAACCAAGCTTGTCACCTCTCTTTCTGGCAGGTTCTCTGCATGGTCCTTTTCATCATTGTGAAGACTTCCCTGATGTAGACATGCATCCAAGGGATCTTTCACCTGCTCAATTGTTTCCTTCTCATGCAGCTATTTAAATCTACAGAAGCCCTGGCTGACAAGAAAGGTGCTATCATGTACTGCATTATCAAGCTGCTGCAGAAATTTAGCAGCAGCACACTGCTGGAGGGAACTTTTAAGCTTCCACAGCTAACGATGAGACTCTTCTTTAAATACTATTTTTTTAAAAGACTGCTGAGTAGTTTTGCCTTCTTTCCTTAGATCCTCCAGAAAACTGCAGTGCACAGGAAGGAGCCGTTCACCTCTCCTGAGCCTTTAAGTGGTCTGTTGTTATTCCTTAAAGTGTTACCACCAGGCACGTTTCATGGAAGACTCTGCACCTTTAAACATTTCAGCAACAAACAGTGCAGCTTCCATTCGAAAAAGTGGCAACTGTCAGTGGGGGAAAAAGACAACCATTGTGGGCGTTTCCTCGTTGCATATTAGGCAATATCCCAGGCTCCCAAACGAGTTAAGGAAAGCCACAAGGCGAGCTTATAACACAATTCCCTCCCCACCCAATTCGAATACTAAAAGCGATGTACAATTCGGAATACTTAAAATACCCAACGAACCATCCAAAATTGCAAGGCGAGGCTGCCAACTTGCAAAGTGTAGGAAGAAGCGGAGCTCTGTGGAAACGCGCGTGGGGGGAAAAGCCTTGCCAAGCCAGAAGTTACAAGTTGAGGTGAAATGGCAAAGCCCCAAGGAGGATTCCTGGAGCAGCCATTATTGCAAGGCTGAGGGGAAAGGAGGCAGGAGGGAACCGCAGGAAGCCCCTGGGCTGCGAAGGCGAGTTGCGCTTCCTCCTCTTTATTTCAAGGAGCCCCCTCAGCGCAGCCAGAGGGGGAAGGAGGAGGAGGAAGGGGAAGGGGAAGGGAAGCCGAGCCGCCCTTGGCGAACAAAAGAGGTTCCCCGAGCTGCAATGGCGCGAGGCGGCGAGCCTCCTTTTCGCGCCACAAAGACAAGAGCGGCCGCGACGGCCCAAGGAGCCCGTGAATGGAGAGAAAGGCGAGCGAATCAGGGAGCCGAGGGCGCCGGCGCAAACGAGGCCGAGCGCGCTGGTAGGTGCAGCCCTCGTCCAATCGGGAGCCGGCCTTGCTCCTCTCTACACACACACACACAGCCGGGGAGTCTCATCCCGGAGCTCACGCGCGGCTTACTACGATTACTACGGCTACTCCCATGCAGCGCGCGCGCGCTTGTTGCTGAATTGCAAGCTCGTCCTGCGTGATCGAGGCTGGGGGGGGGGCAGGGGGGGCGGGGAGGTCGCTTCCTTCGCAGTTTCCACGGCGCTTGGATTGGAAAACCTAAGGCCAGCTTAGAAGAATGATTCCCCCCCACACACACACCTTTCTTTTTAAAGGTTACATATATTTTAGAGTTTTTTTCCCCATCCCCCAGCTGCGGGTGGGTGGGGAGGAGAGGATCTGCGCGGTTTATGCGATTATGACACACAGCGCAGGGGCAAGAAACGTGTCTTAAAAAGGGTGTTTCGCGCATGAGTCAGCTGTGGGTATGTTCGAGCCAATTAAATCTGTGTCCATGGCATGCGAGGGGAAGCAATGCGTTATGCCAGAGGCAAAGCGAGGGGCAGGATGGGGGTGGCAAAAAAACAACCACCCCAAACCGACGTACTTCAACGCTGATCAAGGGCACTTTTTCTTAAAAATGGAATAATGCTGCTGACAGGTTTGGGAGTTAGCTGGTTCTCCCCGAGGTGCAGCCATTTCAGACATCCAGACACTCCCCCCCCCCCAAAGCGCGTTGAAAAACAGGAGCTTTCTCGACACGCGCGCTCTCTCCCAACCCCCCAAAAAACAACAGTTATAGGCAGCTCAGCTATATTCCTAAAAGCAGGGTGAATGTTCTCCGTATTGCTTGCAGAGAATCCCGGGAAACCCAATAGTAAAAAATAGGTCATAGTTCATTAGATCAGGCCCAGGACTTCAAAACAGAGTAGACAAACACACAGGCTTGCTTTTTCTACAGCAAGAGTACCATTATTTAGTGTTTTTATCATTTTTTAATTGAACTACTGACAGCTTAGTCTTGGCTTTCATAGATATCCTTTCAAAACCCTTTCCAATGTTTCTACTTCCAATATTACACCTCTGCTCAGCGATAAACAACTTTTTGAAACCCATTGGCCGCTTGCCATGTGACCCCATGCAAGTCTACTCAGGAGTAAGTCACATGGAATTCAGGGGGCTTAGTACCAACTGAATATAGCATTGCAGCCTTAATTAAAAGATAAGTTCCTCATTTAGGCTACTGCAACAACAAAAATCAATTTATATTTAATCAAATTGGTTTGGTCATCCAAGAATGTTTAAGATATTTTTGGTTTCTGATCCTTTTTAAAAAAAATAAAAACCAAAGAGGTACAGCAAGACCTATTAACTATTCATGCGACTTACAATATTAACCTCTTCAGTCTGTTCTGATAGAAAACATTTACCAGTTAATGCAATAGAAATCTTTGGATGTTTTTATTTTATTCCCAAGTAAAGTTAAATGAACACAGCTTATTACCAGGAAGCTCCCCAAATCAACCAAACTAATACATTATAGTCTTGGAAGTATTTTGAAATACTATAAAACTAGACCACTGCATTTTCAGCATTAAATGTATAGTTATCAAATAAATTGAAACAAATTAACTTGTAGTTAAGAAAACATTAGTTTACTGTTTACTTAGTTTAATTTTTGCAAGTCAAGCTGAAATAATTTGCTTGCAGATTGGGCTCTTAATTTTCTCTTAACATCAGAAATGCTTTTTATATACTATCAGGATTTTAATTTTATAAAACTAGCCAGCCCTTGGTCTGCTTCTCTTTTACAAAAATGAATTCAATTATTTTAAAGAAAACATTTATGGAACAATCTGATTTATTTTTTTAGAAAAGTGGCAGATTCAAAACATGTTTGTTCCACTGTAGTAAATTCTGTTGAGCTCTGTGGAACCAATTCAGTGGAACACAATGCAACTTACATCTTTGAATAAGCTTTCTTACATTTCAGTTTAATTTAGTTATTTTTAAACTAGTGAATGTAAAATAGAAGAATGTTTAAGTCAAGCAAACAATTATACATTTATAGTAAGCTGTGTTCGTACTTCATATTCAAAGAAACATACATGCAGTTTTTGCAGAATAATTGCAGACCAAAACTCCCAACTTAATTATTGGTAAAATGAATTCTAGAAAAACCTATATTCAAAGACTTCCCCCTTTTTTATTCACAAATATTTTATCAGAGACTCAGAAACAATTGTACGAAATTATACACTTCAACACTGAATGAAGAAAGGTTAGATTTCTGAACAATGATCTAAATTATAAGATTTTTCCATAAATTAGAACTTTTGTTCTAAATTAGAATTTTGTTCTATAACAAAGTCTAATTCATCTTGTCTAAATAAATTTATGAAATACCTGTTCATGAAAAAAGTTGCTTTGCTATAACAATTAGTTACAGGGGCTAGTTACAACTTTTACATGGTTTAAAATACTCTACATTTCTGCATCTTGTCATTCTATTGCAAGTACTATCCTGTTTTCCATTTGCAAAGCATACATACCAAAACATTTGATCACTACTTTTGTCTGACAAAAGCACAGCTCTAACAAAGGCATTCATTAATGATACTTTTGCAGATTAAAATTACTTTTACTTACTTTATAGTTTTAGGACTGGAGTTAGTAAGTTATAGCAAAAACAACAACAACAACCCACCCCTATTTTCTCACAAAAATATAGTGAATGTGATTGTCACTATGTAACTAATAAAAGTACTTAACTGTTTACTATACCAATTGTGACCCAATTCCTCCCTCCCCAGTCTATGCAGCATAAATGAACCCTTTTACTAAAGTGAATTCTTAAACAAAACCTACTGGATTCCTATATATTAAAACAGTGTTGGCTTTCATTTCCGTATCCTTTTCTTCATCTTCAGGCAACATTTTGTTTGCTCTGGAACAAGGCTCCTCACACTCTGACCCCTCCCCCCACAAACCCACCATTGTGCTTTACAAATGTTGAAAATTATGAATGGTTCCTTGAACCAAGAGGGGAGGGGGGAGGGGAGAATGGGGGTAGGTGGGTGGATTTCTCTGTGTGCTATGGTAATCCGAGGGCTATGTTGTCCAATCATCCCCATTTTTTTTTCTGAGCTAGAAAAACCACCATTAACTCGGTTTAAAAGAAAAAGGGGAAGGAAACAGCTTGGGGTGGAGGTGGGGATGGAAGGAAAGGGGGGGAGGATGTGTCCGGAGTAGCACGCTCATCTCTGCCCCTGCGCACTCCCACTTTTTAATCACCCTCCAACTGGCCTCCACCCCCTTTGTCCTCTCCGATTCATAACGTTTGAGCGCTAGAACCGCTGCAGCCAACGCTCATCAAAACCGCCAGGAGCATTACTATGCAGGAAGGAAAAGCGGGTGGGTGGGGGTGGGGGTAGGAGCTGTTTCAAGGAGACCCTCGCTTCTCCCTCCCTCCCTCCCGCCCTCGGCGAGACCCCTCGCTTTTTCTCTGGCGCGCAGCCAATGGCGAGCGAGGGCGCAGGCAGCGCCACCAAACACGAAATCGCAGACAAAAAAGTGGCAGTGGAGCACATGGGTCGCCCCGACAAGGAAAGCATTGTAAGGGGGGGTCCCCCCTTCCCCAATCGAGCTCGCCGGTTCCCCTCGACCACGAGCTGCAGTTGGCACCCCGCGCTAAGCGGTGGCACTTTGCGCCAGGAAAGGCACCGAGTGGCCCTTTAAGGCTGCATTTGGCCTCCTTCCTTGTTCTATCTCGCCCCCCCCCCTTTAACCAACCAACCCTTTCCGATTGCGTTGCGAAACGTAGAGATAGTTCCCGCAGCCCTTGCTGTATAAGGTTGCTCCTTTGCCCCCTCCTCCTCCCGGCGAAGGATCTTTTATTTTTTGAACGTCGGAAGCGAAGCTTTTGATATGTGTGTTTGTGCGCGTGTGGAGCAACCAAACGCCGCCGCAGAAAGTAGTAAACAGGGGGAGGGGAGAGAGACCACGCGGTCCGGGCTCCGCGCCCATCCAACCTCCCAGTCTTAAAAACTTGTCCTGGACAGCCAAAGCCAACTTCGCTTCTCCCTCCTTTGTGTGTTATGCGAGCTTAAAACCTGCAGCTATCTAATTGAGGCGTTGGGATTCCTCACGTGAGAAGTTGATTTGTAGTTTGAACACGTGGCTCATTCAAAAAGCCGGAATATTCAAGTGATTTCTCTCTCTCTCTTTCTCTCTCTCTCCTCCCCTCTCCTCCTCCCACTCTGTTTTTTTTTTCCCCCTTCCCTTCCTCCCTTTTTGGGAGGGGCGGTGCCTACATTCACGTATTGTAACATTTTCATACTCCGCCTGCTGCTGCCAAAGGGGCTTGGGGGCAAGACAAAAAAAGTAGTTTCTCTGCCCCCCATCTCTCCTCCCTTTCCTATCTTTTCTTTTTTTAAACCGCCATCCTAGTTCCAAAAGCGTCGTGATTTCCACTATCGGTTCGGATAACGTTGTGAACCTTCAGTATTCGGATTTGGTCACGGGCTTCTTTCCTTTTCCTTTTTTTTTTAAACTGGTGTGTGTGTGTGAGAGAGAGAGAGGGAGTGAAAGAGGGAGAGAGAGGGGTGGGTGGGGGACGGACGGATACAAGCTGCAGTTGTGTGTTTGTGTGTTTTTAAAGCCCCTTGGCATTTTTATTTTACTCCCTGGATCGTTTGAGGGGGCGTTTATATATATTTTTTGCATTATTGTTACAAGACGGCGCGTGGTGGTGGCGTCGTCGCCGTCGTCGTGGTTTTTTTTATTTTTACAAAAACATTACTATTAAGCAGAGCTCTATTTTTTTAATTAAAACGAGAAGATGAACAAGCTGTACATCGGGAACCTGGGCGAAAACGTAAGCCCTCTGGAGCTAGAAAGTCTCTTTAAAGAGTCCAAGATCCCTTTCACCGGCCAGTTTCTCGTGAAGACGGGATACGCGTTCGTGGACTGCCCCGATGAGAACTGGGCTATGAAGGCCATCGAGGCACTTTCAGGTGGGTCCTTCTCCTCCTCCTCCTCCTCCTCTTCCACCGGCGTCTCCGCTTTTGGTCCCCATTATCCATCCTCCTTTCTTCCTGGGCGCCATCCTGCCCCTTCTCCTGCTCAGACCCCGAGCTATTACTCCTACCCACCCACCCACCCCTGGAGGGCCACTCGGCTGCCCGCAACGCTTTCAATCGAAATGACCGGCCGCGCAAGGATGCCCCGGTTTGTAGCCGAGGGCAGTTGCTCGGCCAGGCGTCGCCGCGCTGGGTTGAACTGAATTTATTTCGGAGGGCTTCGGCGGCGTTATAATCTGGGGCCTTGAACGAGGGGGGGGGGGTGAGGCTAAGGCTGCTGGTGCTGCTGGGCCGGCCTTCTGCTCTCCTCTTCTCCCCCACCCACCCCCATTTGCAACTCTTAGACGCGCAAACTGTTGGCTTTAAGAAAACCTCGCCCCCCTCACCCCCTCCCCTAATGGGGAGCGGGAATGGGGAGCGCGCAAGGCCGCTGCGCTTGGAAGAGCTTCTTTCCCCACATTCCTAGCATGAGTATATAATCTTAAAAAAATATTGGCGGAGAGGTGTGCGCGCGCGAGGTGAAAAGAGAGCTGCGTTTGCGGGAGGAGGAGGGGGTGGGGAGCGAGGCGCGCAAAAAACATCGCCCCTTCCGCGCGCGCGGGCGGGCACGCTCCCGTTCGCTCGCCTCAGACGCATGCCAGGGCCCAGCCAGCAACCGCCAGTCTCCCCCCCCCCACACTTGCGAGGGGTTTCTCCGTTCGCCACAAGAGCACCTCACACGCGCGCACGCGAAAACCCTCGGCCTCCCCGCGCTCTGGCGGGAGATGCCGGAGGGCAGGTGGCGGGGGAGAAAAGTGAGGGGGGTGCCCCCCCACAGACACCCCGCCAAGGGCAAACGCCCTCGGTCCGCGGCGCAAAGTCGCGCCAGCCTCCCTCTCAATTCGGTGCCCTCGCTCGGCTCCCTCTGAGCGAGGGCGCGCAATCTCCCGGCTTGCTCAAAGCCTTGGCGTGTTAACACGAGACGCCAAACTTTGGACGTGTAAACGGAAAGGCCCCCTGTTTTCCCGCTCCCCACGGCGCGCTTGGGAGAAGTCGAGGCCTGGAGGCCCGGCTAGGGTGCGTGCGCGCGCCTGCACCTTGGGGGTCATTTATTTCGCTTTCGCTTTGGGCTCTCGCGCCCCGAGTAAAGCATGTCAGTTTTTCTTAGCTTCTCTTCTACATCCTGTTTTTGTGTGTGTGCGCGCGCGAAAGGCAGCTTGGCGGGCTGAACGAGGGAGGGTTGTTTGGTTGGTTGGGCGGGCTTGTTTGGGTCTTGGTTTTTGCTCTACTCCGCTCCCTGGGGGACGATGGGGGGGCGACTTTGGCCCAGCGGGTCGTGGTAGGAGGGGGCTTATGAAAAGAGCTTAAACGGGTGCATTTCCAGGGAAAAACGCGTGGGGAGCACACTCCTTTTTCACCCAAACCACCAGTTCCTGTTTCCTCGTGACGAGTTCTTAGAGGCCTGTTAATCTCATCAGGGGAGGCGTACATATATGCATGTGTGTGTGTGTATGTACAACTGAGTTTTAACGTATCACGCTGGAGGATAGCAGAGGTTAAAAGAGAATAACTTCCTGCTTGAGAGTTGCCCTGAATACATTTTCAACCATTTCTCTCGGAACTGGCTCTACTGTACGCCAGGTTCTTGGCGTGTGGCTATTTATCATTCCCACCATGCTTCAGTTGCTGCCCTGTAACTTTTGGTGAGCAAACTCTATAACATGTTGCATTTGTGTTTCCTTTGCTGTTTTACATCATCATAAATTCATATCGGGAGTAGGGGTGGGAGAGCACCCAATTAATTCTAAAACCACTTGTATTACTGTTTGTAGGTAAAGTTGAACTGCATGGTAAACTCATAGAGGTTGAACATTCAGTTCCCAAAAGACAAAGGTACGTAATGAATTTATTTTCTTTTATCCCCCCCCCTTTGCGAATGGAAATCTTCATCAATCAGAAGAAACTGGAAGCAAGTTGATCTGATGTTTAGCAGCCTAAACATCAATTATTACTTTGTGATATTAAATCACTCATTAATTTGTGATATTCAGTAATGTTGTTCTTATATTAATGATGAATGCTGTCAGGTACCTGTGGCTTTAAAAGAAAGTTGAACAGTCATAGATGGTCAAGAGTAAAACATTTGAACAATTTCATATTGTAATTAGGAAGTAGTGGAGCATTAAGAATCAGTGTGTTGAACCATGAAATAGACAAACTACAAACATCTTGCCCATCTCGTGTTTTTGTTGAAGTTTGTATAATATTTATGTAGAGAAAGTTTTATTTGAGTCTGTAACCCCACTTATGTTGGAGTAAGCCCCATTGAGTAGACATGATTAAGATTGCACTGCAAGCTGACGTATTTCTTTATCACCAAATATTTCTGTATGGCAATATGGGAGCCTTTTTTTTTTAATGCAAGGTACAGTTGATACATAGTTAACTTTTTCTGTTTTTTGTGAAAAGAATACTTTACACTGAGTAATACAGCTTCTGTGGGCCAGGTAGATACAAAGGTTGCTTGAATCTAAATCAAAAACTTTCCTGGAGTAGTTAAATCTGCTTTCATAAATGCATAGATTATGAAGCAATCTTTATCGTGCTGGTATCTCACATTTAACAGATGCTTCTTCAAAATCGTATTCTGTACCTAGGCAAGAATACAGTCCAGATGAAAAAGCTTTTCTTAAAGAGACAGGCATTTTTAGGCCTCTAAAATACTTGTTTGGAAGTGTTAGCTGCTGATTGTTATCTTTTACTTTGTGGAATTAAAATATGCAAGGCTTATTGAACGTTGTATGAAAATTTACGTTGGAACCAGAAGAGATTTGTGGACAAATACAATTAGGAAGCAACCTCTGTTAATGTATTAAGGCATATTGTATCTATTGGCATGCATTCTGGTATGCTTAATACTTGTTTGGTTTACACACTCTGTCTGCATTGAAAATGGAGTAATTCAACTTTACTAGTAATATCTGTTTACTTAAAGGATCAATTCTTTTGTGTACCCAAGCCATTTTATAAGTATTTTCAGTATAGTATAATGTAAGGTAGTAAAGTAATGGTTGTATGTGTAAATGGAAATCTTACTGTACTCCAGAAATACTTGTAATAGTAAATTTTAATTATGTTGTCTTGTTGTTGTGGTGTAGTAATGAAAATGTGATTTAAAAATATTCACTTCCTGATTCTTACTTTTTTCTTCCTTTCCTCCTTTTTGGTGTGCAGTTAAAAATGATGTGCATTAATGCTACAAGTAGCTTTGAAGAAACATGTGAAAATTTGTTTAAAGTAATTTTGTGATGCACAAAATTTTCTTTTTTAAGATTTTTGCTATATTTTCATCCTTAATAGGATTTTATATAATGGAGATACAAATCTTTAATGAAATATACAGACACATGTGCTTTGTGGACTTAAGCATCTTTGATATGGAACCTAATTTAAAACATAGGCTGCAATTCTAGTTATGTTTTGGAATAATTCCCATTGAACTCAGTGAGACTTGCTTCATACTGAATCATGCATTGGACTGTAAAGTATAATCTCTGTGTTTGTGTTTTATAGCCAACATTTCAAAAGTGTGCCATTCTTCCGCTTTGTATCTAAGGAATGGACTTTCTGTGCCATGGAGCTATCTTGTGTAGTGTACAGATAAATAACTGTCGTAATGTCCTACCAAAAAAAGATGAAGAAATAATGTTATTTACAGATGTTTCTCTGAGTTCATGTAAGACTTCCAGATCAATTGATCTGTACATCATAAGATGTATCTAGGAATTTGCTGTTTTGGAACCCTAGGTTAAATTACTTCTTCACCCTTTCATTTCTTAAACTCTCTTCCTCCCTCCCTTTTTCATTTTAAACAGAGGGTGCATGCAGTTATTACCAGTGGGTCAGGGACTTTTGGTTGGATAAATGCTTCAGTTAGAATTAAGAAGTAGTTTGATACAGAATATGGTGGAGTCCCATAAAATATATTTATTTAAATGTATTAATATTTTTCAAAAAGTTCAAAGCAGTGCACAGTAGTATATTAATCTTTATCATTGAGCACTGCTGATACGAATGTTCTCATCTGTCTGGTTATAGATCTACTTCTATAGAATATATAGTTCATGCTGTGTAGTTATAGATATTCTCCCTTCATTCATTTTGGTGAAATTGTGCACTAGGGGTAGACACGGGAATATTGTTAATCCATATCCTCTCATAATAGTGTCAGGAGCTCTTACAAAACTAAATTAAATTTGAAAGGCCAGTCTCTGTAAAGCTAGCCTGGTTTGTTATTTAAAGGGAGTTTTAAGGCTCAGCAGTTGCATTCCAGCAGTTTGGACTTTTAGATTGAAAGAGGACACACCCACACTCGCAAAAGCAACCTTTATACCTGCTGTGAAAGGCTGTTTAGGACTGTGGTGTTCTAGAATGGTCGTTGAGACAGGCAAATAGGCTATATTGTGATTGAGTTGGGGTAGAGGGAATGGTCTAGATTTTAGTTGAGAGCAGAGAGAGAGAGGGAGAGCTGTTGGTAATATGGCTCTAGCCAGAAGCTGATTTTTGTCTTACTATGGAAACCTCAAGGGAATATGAAAGGAATGTAAAATTTTTGCATTCATAACCTCGTGGATCATAGAAAACCTCCAGATACTTGAGGGAAGCTTGGATCACTTCATTCAAAACTTGGAAACGGCATTGTAACAATGTGGGCTGCTAGTCACATGTTATAAAAAGAATGTGGAGTATTCTTAGCTGTGATCATCAGCTACCACAAATGTTTGGGAAACAATTATGCAAAACAAGATAGTACATGTATATTGGAAAACTTTTGTACAAGCCCTTTAGATACTCCCTAGCTTGCCACAAGAGCAGCTGTTATCTTGGTGGGGCAATATACATACTGGAAACTGATTATTCAAATAGCACTGATGTCATTTGTTGTGTGATGGATGGTTTAGCTTGGTAGGGAGGTGGGTGGGGATCTGATACTGGCCAGCTGGGGGCTGCATATTGAGTCAGTACTTGATAAGCTTGAGTCTTGTTAAATCCTTGTAGATTTCGTATTTCTGACATTTATGCACTAAAACTAGAATCCGTATTATAGTACTGTTTCTGCTTCAAGGTTGGATGCCAACCCATTTTTGTATCACTTTTGTTTTCCCCTGTGGGTTTCAAAACAAAATTTCATGTTTCCCTAACCACATGGGAGTGATGGTTTGGTTTTCAGAAACTGAACCACAACATAAGGTTGGGCTGTGTTGTAATCAGGATTTCTCTTATTCATTGTGAATACCGTGCCAAGTGCAATACAGAATTTATGGAATCAGCAAATTTTAAAAGCAAAAACAGCTTAGCCTTTGGATAATTTGGTGCTGAAAGTATTTAGGCAAGGAAGAAGGCTGAGGATCCAGTGATGATTTGGGGTGAGGTGGGAGCTCAGGTAGCTATTACAGTTATTACATTGAGCAGATGTTGTGCTCTATGTTCCTCTTCGTGTCTTCCATGCAGCAACACATTATTTGCTTCTTGTGCTTCATTCTACATCTGCCTTCCTATCCTATACAAAACTGGTCTTTGCAAAGCATATCAAGTTTTGTTTAGAGTCACTTCAAGCCAGCAGGTTACAAAATTCAGCTTTATAGTTTCCAAATATTTGTTTATCAAAACATGTGTATCCTTCCCTTTTGGTGGGCTAACAAAATTTTAAAAAATATAAAAAGAACAATATAAAACATAACAGTTTAAAAACAAACATAAAAATATTATCTGCCACATATACCAAAAGCCTGTCAGAATAAAACAGTTTGTTTCTACATTAGTTATTTAAAAAATTATGTGAATACCTCAAAGATCTGTTAAAATGGCATGTCCTAAAATGGGATGGGGAATTTATGACCCTCCAAATGTTGTTGGACTCCCAGCAACCCAGCCCCCACATGGTTAGTGATCGGGAATGATGGGAGCTGTAGTACATCATCATCATCTGGATAGCCACAGGACTCTTGCCCCTGGTCTGGAGAAAGTACAAATCTTTTATAAAGTGTAATTTACAGTTTGCAGTCCTTCATATCAAAGAAAAAAAACCTTTAATGTCTGTGGCAGCATGATAATCTTACTGTATTTTGGGCAGAGTTCTAAGTAACGTTCAATATAAATTATACTAAACATCCATAGAAAGTATATGGCTATTTGGACCTTTTTAAATGTAGGAAACTGAAACTCTTCTGACAGTTCTTGTTAATTTCTGTGTGATACAAAGTAATTTGTAATTTCAGTGTGATACAAAGACTGACCCTTCCAAAATGGAATGTAAGGTATGGTGCTGCTGGAAAATGTCTTTTCATCAATATGTTTTCATGTTAGTAGATAAGCTTGAGGATGCTTCAGTAAGTCAGTATGACTAAAAGAATAACCATGGGGAACCACATCTAACACCTTATACTGAAGCAGGATTGTCCATTTCTAAACCATCCCAATACATAGATTTGGTTAGTAACACACAGTTAGCATTTAAATTTGTTTCCTTCCAATGTAAGCCTTTTGTATATTAGTTTAGGAAATAACACTTCTGACCCTTGTTGCTCTTATTAATTGGTATCCCATTCGCACTTTTTCCTGATCAACAAAGCAACCCTAAGTTTGTATTCATATAATGTGAATCTGCCCCTGGCTCCATTGAATGGAAGGGCAGGGTATAAATTTTATAAATTCAGATAAATAAATCTGTCCTCTTACTTGCCGTTGCTATTCTTCTAAAAATAGTGTTTGTAAAACCCAAATCCAGACTTGATTACATGTCTGAGTTAGAATAGGATGCTTTCTCTGAGTAGTAGAAAATGCAATTATATTTTGTTCAGAATGAATGATATTATTTCAATAATTCCTTAAAGAACTGAAATGTGGCATTGCTGAACTATTTGACTGCGCTTTGCAAGTTATAATTCAGGAGGTGATCAGTGCCTTTCTCCCTTTAAAGCCATCAGAAACGGAGGGTGCAAGGATGTGCAGCTGCTAACTCTTGCAGCTTCTTTTCTACTTTGTGGCTATAAAGTCAGATGGTAGGGGAGGGAGTGACGCAGTCTTTGGTTGTATATGTTGCTGTACTAGGCTTCCTTGCTAGGAATAAATGCCGGCATGCTGTGGCTGCCCACGAACTGGGCACACTCTGTTCCTGCCAGGTCTGAGGGAGACAGCACAGACATGGCAGCCACTGTGTAATGCTGTATTTCACCAGCTGGATTAACACAGATGAACATTCTACAACATATTCTGAGGGGGCCCTCAGGCCCTATAGTTAATACTTGTAGATAATTATTACTTAAATTTATTTGTTAAAATAGCTTTTCCCCAAAAAAGTTTTCCAAATTGGTTTATGTAACAAAATGCACAGGCGCCAAACAACAAAATTATATAAATAACAGTATAAAAACAGACGCAGGGGATAAAATTGTTACAAAAGCCTTATGGAAGAAGTGTGCCTTTTCTTTTTTGATTGGGGAGAAAGGGTCTAATTAGGTTGTGATTACTTGGAAATCAGATCTCAGGGGCATTGTAGATAGAAGGCTGAGTAAAATAAGCGGTACAGTGTGGTGTGGCAGTGAAAAATTGCAAATTAACTTGTTAGGAATTGCTGGGTAAGGAGTTGAAGCTTTTAAGTACCTGTGACAAAACGTTATTGAAGGGGAGAAGAAGGTCAAGGCAAAGAGGATGAAATTGCTTTCGTCCTTTTACCATCCCATTTTCCCACATTGCCCTGCTCAACAGATAGCTCAGGTTCTCCTCTGGTTGAGCAAATGAGTCAGAGTAGTGGCCTTTCAGTCCCTACAATGCCTTTGTTGGCTGAATGTTGTATATGTGAGCTCTCTCACTCCTGACTAAGCCTCAAAGTCATCTTAGGGGTTTGTCTTGGAAATGAACATAGCAAAGCATGCTGCCGATCTCAAAACACTCAAAACAGTGGCATAGTTAATGAAGGGGAAGATCTGTTCTCATTCCGTTTCCCCTCTGGCAACCTCCCTATTAAACCCAACTCCAAGGGAAGCAAATTTTGTGATGTGTCACTTCCTGAAGCCAGCACACCTCCCCAACATCTTTACATTTTGAGATGGAATGGTCCCTCGCGACTTTAAAGATATTCTTTGGCACCTTAGGAGGTGCCCATTTCATGGGGCCAATTTCATTTTACCTTGTGAGATTCCTGAAGTTGAAGAATAGGTTCACTCTGGTCATTTAAAGGAGTCTGTATGTGGTGAGGTGATAGGTTTGATGAGGTGCATATTCTCCAAGGCTGCATCTCTCTTTTGCCTCAGACACGAAGACCTGCCAGTCTCAGCTTCTCTTCAGCCTTGATTCCATAGCCTTTGATTTCCACAGCTCTTTGGGTACGCTAATGTGCAGGAACAGGAGCAATCTGCTGCCCTGTATGTAACATGCCATTTCAGTAGTATAGGATGTGATGGTTGAACCTAGAATTGCGTGTGTGATTCAGTTTCTCCCCAACCAAAAAAGGAAGACCTGGGAAAAGTATAATAAACAAAATTACAAATGCTTCCCAGGCAAAGGAAGCTTAATTAATGCTACCTGTACCTCTTGGGTGCTGAGTTGAATAATATCCAGAAGAATCTTACTTTTGATCAGCGTTACATTTAGTTATATACTCATCCTCCATGTTGATTGTTGTAATGTGGTGAACAGAGTCTACGGTATTTGTCCTCCTGTTTTTTAAAAAGTAAATCAGAATGCTCCAAAGCAAAAGTTGATACCTGAGTGTGGCTTCTCTAGATATTGTGGACCTACTTCAGGATTTCCGATATTTACTTCTAACTTGGATTACAATCATTTAAATGGAACCCAAAGGTTCAGGTTGCTACAAGTAAAAAGTAAAGTGCTTGCAGAACAGGTATCACTAGTTGACTGAACTGGCTGTTTTCTTTAGAAGATACAGTTGTACCTTGGAAGTTGAACGAAATCTGTTCTGGAAGTCTGTTCGACTTCCAAAACATTTGAAAACCAAATCACGGCTTCTGATTGGCTGCAGGAAGCTCCTGCAGCAAATCAGAAGATCCGTCGGATATTCGACTTCCAAAAATAGTTTGCAAACCAGAACAGGCACTTCCAGATTTGCGACGTTTGGGAGCCAAAACGTTCGGGAACTAAGCTGTTCGAAAACCAAGATACGACTATTCTTCGTTTATTTAATCGATACATTGACTACTTTGAATGTGTACTGACTCTTGGACCTATGCACGTCTCTCTTTAATGGAGAAGTAACAAGTACCAAAGTTGCTTTAGTCAAATGTCTGCATTAATTAGCTCATCATGTACAGTTTGCATATTGAGAGTAGTCTGCCAAAGTGATTAGTCCCTGTTTGTCTGTGAATGGCAATGGACACATTTTCCTATATCTATTAGAAAAAGAAATAAAATAAACCACAGGCGCAAAGGCTATTTTGGTGATTAATATTTCTGCGCTGGCTGAGTAAGCTAACATTGTCTCAGTGGGATGGTTCATTTGAGATTCCTAATGTGAAGTTTTTGGAAATGCAAGTGCTAAACCTTATTGGAACTGGACAGATGTTCTTCAGTACTTTGAGGTCTAATCAGCACAAAGGAACATGGGACGCTCCATGTGAACATTTTCTAAGTATTATACCTGTGCATTTACTTTTTGCTTGAACACTTCATCAAGAATTCCTCTTTAAAGAGAGTCTGGAGAGCCTGTGTTAGTGAATGCTTTTGATTATTACTCCTTGTCCATGTAATTTGTTTCTCTCCTTGGTCAAATGAAACGTGCTTCATTTAATCCTGAATAAGGTGTTCCTCTTTCTCTGGCTGTGTGCAGACACAGGGGACTCTCAGAGAAATAATGATTTGCTGCTTGTAGTTTGTGCTCTTACTCTGTCGGTGCACTTTGAGTTTTATCATCCTTCGGTAGTACACAATTATCAAATGTAGATGATTCTATAAACAGTCATTCTATAAATAGGCAGGAGTAGAAGAAAGTCACAAAAAAGCTAGTTTAAATTGTGTAGAGAAAATTTACAATATGTTTTGAGAGAAGCTTTCTAATGTTCCTTTTATAAGCCATACAAATGTTATTATTTTCCTGCACCTTTTAAATACGTGAAAGTTTAAAATACTTACGTTAGAGCCCTTTAATTCTAGAAATCTAAAAGATGAGTCTGTTAATGGAGCTCAGTTCTTGCCTATCAGATGTGTCTGAAATGGCATTTACTTTACATAAGGAATATTTTGAAATGTTTAGTTTATATAGAAGATGTCATTAATTTTGGCTTAGATGTAGCATATTCATGTCTTGCTTCACACATGAAAGCACTTATCTATATGTAAAAATTTCAGGGAAACTACAAAATTTATCTAAACGTGTGATTTAATATTCTTGTTTTTACACTGTGTGTATGCCTGCCAGGCATAAGTGTGTATCTTTGAGTATCTGTGTGTGGTTATTTTTTTATTTGCTTGGAAAAATGTATTAACTGCTTAATCAAATAGCTTTCTAAATGATGTACATAATAAAATTGTAGATAAAACACAGTTAAAATCCACAAACTGTTTTCAAATATATATACATAATTATAAAAAAGATAAAATCAGTTAAATTAAAAAAATTAATATACTAACTAAATCATGTGCTTGGATAGGCTTGCTGCAACTAAAAATTTTTTGGCAGGTGTGTAATGCAATGTAGTGAGGGCATCTTCCTAGTTCTATCCTGTGAACACACAAATGCCTTTGAACTGGGATTCGGTAAAGTGAATTGCTCCTCACTTTTTTTGAGATGCGTGAGATTAAAAACCTCATCAGTGCATGCTGGTTTAATTGCTTGTGGATGTGCCTAGAACCTTTCTATCCTGGAAGCAGCGTAGAGCTTGTCTACGCTGGAAGTAGAAGTGTATTGTCTCATGGATAAGAATTTTTAGCAAGCTTTTTAAAATTACAAGGTTGAGTACTGTTAAGAACAAATCTGCAAAATGGCTTTTTGTTGACTGTATGCCCTTTTTCTTGATCAAATCTTTTGGAAACTGTCTAAGGAGCTTTTTAGTATAATAGCTGATTTGGTGTCTTTTCTGTGTTTGTGCTTTTTAAATTATGTACTGCTAAGTTGATATTAAGCAGTTCCAAATTTGTGGTTCATATGTAGTCCAATAAAATGGAAAAGTCACACTGGATAATGAAAGGGAAGTCACATTTTTAAAACTTTTGTCTATATATCGAAATCACTTTGCAGTCAGAAAACTAGCACTGCAGGGAATGAGCAGGATAGATCTTTTTTTCCAGTGGTGTTTTCACTTGCGGGAAGTTTTGAACATGAGAGAGCAGTAAACCCCCCCTCCCTCCGAAGTTTGAATTGGTGTAGTCCATTGCAGCACAGAATATAGTTTGGGATCTACTGGTTGCATCTCAGAATGGGCTTCCAGTTTCCAGTGGTTTAACCATAGCAACAATAACAAATCTTTTTTTTTTTACTGCTTTGGTAGTATAAACACTATACCTTTAAGGCACATTTGAGGCATATTTCCATCCACAAAGAATTCTGGATACTGGAGTTTGTAAGGGCTGCTGGGAATTTTAACATTGTAAGGTGTAAGCTACAGTGCACAGAATTGTTTGTGCTTTAAAGGTATTCTGTGTGCGCAGCCTAGTGGGCTGCTGAAATCTAGGAAGCTTGAATTCTCAGCCTGAGCATGTTCTCAGAGCACCTTGTGTCATAATTCTGTGTCTGTCTTCCTGAGCCACACTTCACAGCTCTAGTTAGTGGAAAAATGAAGTGCCTCTTGCAAGCCTTAAACCTGCCCACCCTATGTGTTGTCTTAGGACTCTACCAGAATCTGCTGCATTTAGATGCTGTCAGAATGCGACAGCAGCCACACCCTGGAAAACTGCTTTATCTGGCTTGCTAAACCAGGTGAAGGTAGCTGATGGGTCTCAGTCCCTCAGTGAGTTAGGCTCTGGTGGATTGAGCAGAAAAGACCAGTAGTGGGTCCAACAGTCAAGAAGGTGGTTTCTGCACATGGCACCAGATGCATTTTGCACCTGGCTGTCAACCACTTGTGACCAAGTGAAGATGCACTTGTGCTAGGATGGCGTCTGAGGTCTCCACCATCTAGAGTTGCATGCCTGGGGATCCTTGGATCTTTCCTGTTTTCACACACTAACAACACATCCTGTTGAATTCTATTTGTGGTATTTTATCTACACCATCAGAACGAATTTCAGGAACCAAAAAGTTGTGTTGAAAAATAAGATTTTCAAGCCATCTGGCCCCACACTGGCAACCAGACATTCTGTTTTGGTGACACTAACCCTGGTTTAAGGAGCTATTTGACACCTAGCATATATATATCTGAGTTTCTAACACGGCTGGGAAGGTAGCCCATCTAAAACCTCTGCTGCCTTGTGGGATCGCTTCAGGGGAAGAAAAAACTAAGAAGTAAATCCTACTTAAATCTGCAGTTGAGTCCCTTGCACACCTTTTTCCAGCAACTCCTGCAGCCAAGCTGGGTTTTCCTTTGGACCACATCAGCGAGGCTGAGGGAGGCGGTGTTGTTGTCTGGGCAGTCCAGGACCTCCATACACACTGCCCAGGCTTGTGTCCCAGGAAGGTAACTTCAGTACTGCTAAGTCAATAGTTTGACCACCCCTGGAGGCACACTCCATTGTCTCTTGAGGCAGATGGATGCCTGCAACAGCAAGAGGCAAAGCCTCACTTCAACCAGTTGTCTGTAGCTTTTCTTCTTCCATTTCTTTGTTTGGCTTCTCTTTATGTATTGCTTCCCAAGTTGTATATATAGTAAATAAACCACTTTTTCCAGAATAAGAATCAGTGGTTGAGAAACCTTTTTAATTTGTGCTAATGTTAAGGAGGTGAATATGGTATGTATTGTATTACAATACATAAATTGGCTAAGAGATTGATGAATGATTGAAACGTGTGTGTCTTTCAGCAGTAGGCAACTGGGGATCACCTGTGGAATTGGGCTAATGCTGGAAACTTTAGTGCAGTGAATACATGCATGCAGTGGAAAGAATAATGTATCATCAGAACATTAATGCTATTGTGCTATCCCCCCCCCATTGGTTAGAGAAACATGGTGCACAGTTTCTTGGTGTGCTCTGCAGTCTTGGTTCTCTGTAGTAACACTGTCATTTGTATGCAAAACAGAATAGCTTTGACCATTTTGGGCTAGGAGAACTTAACAGTACTACACAGAGGAAACGCTGAAATACTTGCAACTGATGCCTACTGTATTTAGCACCCCTAGCCTTCACATTTAGGCTAGCGTTTGCACAGAGAGAAGTAGGCAAACAGTATTTTAATGAAAATATGTCATTATCCCATTTGCATTTTGTGTGTCCTTTTCCCTGTAAAGAAATTATCAAATATTGGCAGGGCCCTTTCAGTATGTTTGATGACAATTGAGGCAGAGTGTTCAATTCTGAAAGAGCTATTCTCCCTCGCATCCCCAACACCAAAAATTGTAATTTTAGTAATTATGGTGTTCCCTGTGGTATTGAGTTAACATCCAGTTTTCAATAAATTGATTGTTATCCATTTCTTATTCCATCAAAACTCATTAGCTTTGCCATTTATTCTTTCTGTCAGGTAGCTCTAAAAAGTTATCTGAAGGTTTCACTGTTGTTCCTGTATATAATAGAAACAAAATAAATATTTAAATTCTACCCTTCAGATAGTTTAAAAGCGACAGACGAATCCAGTCATTCACATGCCTCAAATCTTTGTAGTTGTTATAATTATGTGTTTAAGGAAAGCACCATTTAATTTTTTTGCACTGCATCTCCATACAAATGATACCTTTTTAAAATTGGGCATTTCATGGTTTTAAATGGCAAAACAGCAGTTGCATTAAAGCGTAGTTTAATCTTATTTTTAAGGTATAGAGCCAGCACTAGTATCTTTACCTGGGTAACAAGAAAACTATGCCTCTGTTAGAATACACATTTCATAGTATTTAATGTCCGTAGTTCAGATTTGTGCTTTCCCACCATAACTCTTTATATGAAACATTTTGGAAAGGGGATCTTGCCACTTGGTGAAGAGCTTGCAGTGTTGCTTGTTTTTATGCTGTGTAAAGTTCTCAAAATGTAGATTGCAACTATCAGCTATGTTGGCCATAAATTGAGCGCCTTTCTTCCATCCAGCCCCCTAAAAATAGGTTAAAGAAACAAGAAGCCCAAAATGGATAACATTCAGTTTCAGGATTGGGCCCCAAGAGGGTTCAATTGGGCTGGACATAAAAAGGTATTGAAATGATTTTGGGGAGCTTCACTATAAAAATGTAAGACAAAAATATATTGTTTTTTAGATTTTACTTATGGATAAAATTGTTCCTAATGTGTCTTCAAATTGTTTATCATTCCTCACCCCGATTTAGCCTGTTATCTGACTGAATGATTAGTGACTGGTTATACTCCCACTGTGACAACATTCCTGGTGTAAAACAATACTATTTCTTCCCACCCCACCCCCTGCAAATCTGTCAGCACAGTTCCTTCCAATTACATGGGCCTTAAAATGGGGTTGTCAGTAACTTGTGGAATTAAGCTAGGTACTGTTTGTTTTATTGCTTATGATCCTAGTAAAATTATTAGCTGTAATGCAGGTCAGTCATGAATAGATATCACAGAAAAAGCACCTTGGCAAAATACAACCAGATTTTAAATTAAAGCTCTTATTTATTCATCCTTTTTGAGGTTTTGTGTCTGCAAGCCCTTTTGATTTTGTATTTGATTCCTGTCCTTTTGGTTTGTTACTTGGTAAAGTACAGTGTCTAGTGCTATTTGCATTCATTTTATTTTCCATATTTATATAGCAACCAAACACTTTGGGTGGTTTGCAAGTAAAAATCAAAGCAATAAAATGTCCAGAAAAGCATTTACAGTTTTCAGGAGAAATCATTTGATTTCTCCCAATGTTTTGTGGCCAGTTGATCTGAAGTGGCTTACAAGTTAGAAGCCTCTCAAATTATATTGAAATAGGTCCAGGGTTTTTTGTGCAAGAGGTATTTATAATTATGGGGTGTTTGTGGGGGACGGGGGAGGAATTTGCTGTGGTAATTTTGTAGGTTCCAATTCAATAGCCTCATACATGCCCTAGGTTGTACTTCAGCATCCTTCTGCTTAAGCAGAATTGGGATTGGAGAGTTCTGATAAAATCATTACCTCTGATTACAAGCTTGTCCTTTCTCTTCCCTTCCTCCCTCTACTCTGGCATTTTCAGTGTATGGTAAACTTTACACTATTTTCAGGTTTATCAGATACTTGCGTGCTGTGTTTTTTTGAGGGGTGTGATCTGAAGTGCCATGAAATGAAGTCCTTAATTTGGTATGGAGAACCTTGGACACGTCCAGCTTTGCTGGATTCTTTGAATCCACTGCATGCCGGTACTAAATTAAATGTTTAATACCAACACTCTGAAGAGGGCGCAGAAACAACTGGAAATCAGTTTTTACACAAAGCATTGTCAATATATGACTGTATCAGCCAGTCCTTGTGGGCAATCTTGCCTCCTTCTCTTCAACGGGATGATGCTTCCAGACCACATCCCCATGTACGGTACATTGCAGTAGACCAAATGGATAAGTGTAGCTAGGCTGTCTGTCCAATACAGTGGTACCTCTGGTTACGTACTTAATTCGTTCCGGAGATCCATTCTTAACCTGAAACTGTTCTTAACCTGAAGCACCACTTTAGTTAATGGGGCCTCCCGCTGCAGCGGCATGATTTCTGTTCTCATCCTGAAGCAAAGTTCTTAACCCGAGGTACTATTTCTGGGTTAGCGGAGTCTGTAACCTGAAGTGCATGTAACCTGAAGCATATGTAACCTGAGGTACCACTGTAGAGTTGTAGTTGGTATTGAGTCACAGAGCCCAGATCATCCTCAATACAGTGGTACTTCGGGTTACAAACACTTCAGGTTACAAACTCCACTAACCCGGAAGTAGTACCTTGGGTTGAGAACTTTGCCCCAGGATGAGAACGGAAATCGCGCGCTTGCGGCAGGAGGCCCCATTAACGAAAGCACGCCTCAGGTTAAGAACGGGTTCAGGTTAAGAACGGGCCTCCGGATCAAATTAAGTTCATAGCTCAAGGTACCACTGTATATGAATCTGATAAATGATACTTGAAAGCACTCACAAGTGTTTCAGAGAAGTAATATTTATTCAGATGAAACTGGCGATTTGTCCCATCAGCAGATATTGGCTCAGTATCCAAGGTAATCGGTTGTCATGGGGAGATAAAGAATTCGGGTTTCTCTTGGAGGTTTAATGTTGCCAGCCAGTATCTCTCAGCTCTGGTTCCTCATCTGTAAAATTGTAATAATAGCCTATATGTGGGGGCTCTTAACAGCTGCTGAGCTTACTCAGTTTATTTCCCCTATCCAGTCAGTGCAAGATGACAGTTGTCTGCTGCTGCTGCCCAAGGATAATGCTGGAAGTTGCTGGTCATTTGGGAAGTTGGGGCCTCGGTTTGATTTATTATCAAGCTATATTGCAGTTGTTATTTTGGGGCATTTCATTGCATAGTCAAGACTACGCCTTAAATACATTAACTGAAATGGGAGGTGTGTATGATATACTTTAAGGAATTATTCACAAGAGACACCATGTAAAAATTAATGCTTTAAAATTTACGCACTTCTTCCTGATATACTTTACATTAATTTTAAATTACTTATAAACAATATACATTGAAATGTCAGATCTTGGCTCATAGTGCAGTTGCTGATGGTTTTCTGTTGATTCATTGAATCTCCCAACTAACCTACTCTGGGAATTTTAAAATTCTTAAGCATTAATGCTTACAGATGCAAACATTGTTCTGTCTTTATTGATGGAACAAATTTTACTTTTAGTGTTTGATTCTGTTGCCACTTATTTGCATGCACATGGAAACTTTCCAGCTTCTTGTACGCTCCATTGCATGAGGAGTTGGTGCTAAAAGGGGAAAAAATCCTCCATACGTACCATGCTCATATAAGTACTTTGCTTATGTGCATGCTTACACAAATGTCCTCTCTGTATCTGGCATTTGTTTGCAACCTAAGAATTAAATAGAGATAAATTGAACTCACATGTGAAAACTTAACAATAAGATATTGTCAAGAAATAATTACTATGCAAAAAGTGCATTAATAGAAATAATTTATGTACCAAGTGGATTTAGATAAACTGAATAATAAGTGGTAAAGCTAATGGATGATGTTTTGAATATGATCCTTTAAGTGTAGCCTCTGACCTGGTTTTAAAGAGTAGTCCTGTGATTTGAAATATTGCCATCTGGCAGTTATATTAGGACAACCTTAATGACTCTCAAAATGAAATTGTTACCGTATTTTTCGCTCTATAAGACGCACCAGACCATAAGACGCACCAGACCATAAGACGCACCTAGTTTTTGGAGGAGGAAAACAAGAAGAAAAATATTCTGAATCTCAGAAGCCAGAACAACAAGAGGGATCACTGAGCAGAGAAAGCAGCGATCCCTCTTGCTGTTCTGGCTCCTGGGATAGCTGCGCAGCCTGCATTTGCTCCATAAGACGCACACACATTTCCCCTTACTTTTTAGGAAGGAAAAAGTGAGTCTTATAGAGCAAAAAATACGGTAATTTTGAAGATTTTGTTTTTGTTGTGTATTCTTGGGTAATACTGGACGCTTAAAGAAAAAATAAAATAATTAAAGCATTGGTTAAAATACTGCTTTTGTTTGCTAACGTAGCTCTGCAAGGCATCTTTTGTATACCAGCTCTACAGGAATTGAAGCTACCGTCAATCATGTAGCCTATTATGAATGTATAGTGATTGATAACTTAATGGTAAACTTCTATATGTGTAGTTCTTGAGTGCTGCATTTGTAATTTTCATTAAATGATGAAAATTCATTATATGATCTGCAAATTGGGAAGTTTCAGAAAGTTACCAGTTCATAGATATATTTACTTAATTGACTATGCTTGTGTGCTGTATGCAGTTAGGACGCTGCTGTCCTAGCTTCTAGAGTCCAGGGGAAAGGAATAGATAAAGAAAAGGTGAAGCATAAATAGCAGTGTTTCCTGGTTGATCAGACGAATGAATGTTCCCTGGATTTTTTATATATGTTACCCCATTCAGCAACTGCTTGACCTGCTTAGCCTATTGCTAAGAGGTTTGCTGGATTTTATGTATTGAGATGGGTTAAATAATTGATTGCTGAGGAAATGAAATCCAAGGATTTTAGCCCGCAGAGGAGCAAAAGAGGAAACAGGTGTTGGAAGAGGAGCAGGTTAGCCCCTTCAGAAGAATACAGACATTCCCACAATCATGACCACCACTGCAAGAGGCAAGAGCTACTTTGATGGTTTTAAGCACAGGAGGGATCCATCTAGCAGCCTTTCTAGAGATTTTTATCATTCCTGTTGTGGCCCAGTTTTTAGGCATCTAGAAGAGCATGGTCATCATCCCCAAAGTCTCAATCTATTCCCAGTAAGTGTACCGAGTAATGGAATGGCACCCCTGTTGATGCGTTTCCCTTCTGAGCTAGATACTTCTATCATCCCTTAAAACTAGGAGAAGGATGAGTGGTAAGGGTTCATTAATGCACTTGCTGCTTGCAGGTCCACCTTTTAACATGGCATGTATAATGAGAGGAAGAACGCTCACACTTCCCTCAACTCTGGCAAAGGGAGAGGTGGCACTGTTTTCTCAATGTCTGCAAGGTTTAATTTTATGGGAACAATCCCTTGCCTTTCCTACTCTTTCCAGGTGTGACCTCCTAGGGCACAGAAGTGGTCCTCTCTTCCTTTAAGGTAGATGTAAGCTTTTGGTTGGTTTAACACTTTCTCTGCAAAGTAGAATCAGACTAGTTGTCTGTAACCCTTTGTTACAGGGTTTTAGGCCACAAAGGAAAGTTCCCACCCAACACTTCCTTTTTCCTTGAGCTAGGAGTGTTGGGGCTTGACAGTTGAGGCATTTGGATCCATCGTATCAAGAGAGGAGTAAGTGACAGTGGGAAGAGATGGGAAATCTTCTATGGTTGAGATAGGTTATAAAGGCACTTGGTATTGAAATTTGTAAAAGAGGCCCAGGAAAACTGTTGAATTGATAGTTTAACATAATCCCTGAACTAAAGTAGAGTTGTCTGTCTGTTTGTTGTAGTGCTTTGCACACTTTGGTGAAAAAGCAATCCGTATTTCTTAATGTGTAGATTCTCACATATATGGTGGGAAAAATAGGATGTGAACCATTTTGCTGAAAATCAGAATTAAGAATGGAAGGAAGATGATGCAGTGTTGATAGATTGCAATGTTTACCATAAACCATGTAAAGTTTTCTATCACTTTTTAAAGACTTGTTTCAGTTGTATTCCATTATGTAAATTGGTAGGAAAATGCAAAGATATATTTAAGTATTTGGCACAAGAGTTGTAGCTGCTTTACTAAATCCTTTTGCTAAGTCACACTTGGGAATTATCAAATTATGAATGTAAGTTTTTATAGCCTAAGAAGTGTGAAGAACAGTTGGAAGTCCTTGTGCAATACTTTCAAGTACACATGTTGTACAGAAGTTAATTTTTTAAAGACATAGGACGACACTATTAAAAGCTTGACTCCTTACAAGCATGGGGAAGTTACAAGCAGCCTTCTTCAACCTGGTTTCCTCCAGAGTAAAAACAGTATTCAAAATCTCTAGAGGGCACCAGGTTTAGAAATGCTGCTGTTCAATTTTCCTTCCATGTGTTGACCTCATTTTCACATCTAATTTTCATGAAGGAAGATACAACTTTTCTACTTGCATTCCATCTTGTATGGAATTGCTCCCCCCCTCCCCCGTTGCTTGGTTTTACTATATAATAGTGTGGCTGGTATATTTTAGCTCTTAGCCAATATGGTTCAGAAGAAAAACATAGTTCCATGTACCCAAGGGAGGTTGTGGCTTTTGTTTTTCAAACATCAGGCCACCAGGCCACCTAGGAAGACACTTTTGAAATTGAACCAAAAGTGGTTGTTATGGGCAAGGGTCTACTTATTGAAAGGGGGAAAATCGCACTGGGCATGTTCCAAACCCTTGGACATGTCTAAAATAGCTCTTTTGATCTCAGCCATGTTCTAGTCATAATTCAGCATCCAAAATGGTTTGCATGTGCCCAGCAGTATGTCAGTTTTTGTTTTGCATGTTTCTGGAAAGTTGTCTTTCAGTGCAGTCTTACACTCCTGTGGTACTCCATTCCTGTCTCTCCACCCCTTCCCCTGTTGCTCCCTTCCCAGTCTTACCAGATCAGTCTTATTTTCTTCCTGCCCTCTCAGTCATTCTGCATTCAGATTTAGCTGACTGGCAGCGCCTTGATAAAGCAGTTATGGAAGAGGAAATGGAAGAGGAAGTGGGAGAGAGCATCACTCTTCTAGCTTCCTCCTTCAACCTTATGTACAATATTAGCTACCTAATATTGAAACTAGAAGGCTAGTATAGAGGGTGGAAATTCTTAAAATAACCGTGTGAAATTTGTCCTAGCTGCTTTTGATTTTGGCATCTAAAAATACTTCTGTGGAAGAAAACTGCTATATTATGTTTATTTTTGAAAGGACATTTACAACACTATCACATGTATGTTTATTGAGAACTAAATTCTACTGTGTGCTGTAGGACTTGCTACCAAAAAGAGGTGTGAAGGCTCAGGAGGAAAAAAACAGCAGTGGGGAGGAGTACCCCATGTTTTTTCTGAGACTTCTCCAACCTTTTCAATTGAAAAATTGGAAATTTATGGGGATTGCTGTTTCTGTTGTTTCAAAAAAAGGAGAACCTGCTTGTTCTTTGGCAAGCAGGAATTATATTTATTGCCTTTTAAGAATAATGCACGATGCAAGCTCCCACTTGAATGGGTTTAAGAGGAAGCATTTCCTTCAGAAAGCAGGCTTGCATTCAGCAATGATGAGTTGGTTGGTGCTTATTGCTGGGATTGGCAGCACTCAGGAGTTCCCTATCAGGAGCTCCCAAGTGCAAGCCCCAATTTTGGCAGGAATCTTCTTTTTAGCAAGGAGAACTGCTGTTTTGCATGTGCTATATGAAGCTGTGCCTGCAAGGAAAGAAATAAAAGAATCAAGAGCACGTTTAGAATGTGCCCTGATTCTTTGCTATTGAAATTGGACCACCTGACATCATGGTGACACCAGGTGATTGACAGGTGTGTCACTGTCAGGGGGGTGTATTGTGGATATTCGAGCTGCCGACCTTCTGATCAGCAAGCCCTAGGCTCTGTGGTTTAGACCACAGCGCTACCCGCATCCACACACACACACACACACACACACACACACACACACACACACAACATATCTAATACACATTCGTGTACCTAGAGGGTACTGTTTTCATGAAAGGAGCAAACAGGGTGTTCTTGCTTGTGAATTGCTGCTTGCCTTCCTTTGGTGGCCATTTGATCTAGTGGCTTCTACTTTTTAAGTGTCTATTTTTTGCTTGTGAATTGCTGCTTGCCTTCCTTTGGTGGCCATTTGATCTAGTGGCTTCTACTTTTTAAGTGTCTATTTTTTGCTACTTCTCAGACAGCAAAAAACTAAGATGCATGTGCCTCAGTACATATTGTGCAGCTACTCTCCGTTATTAAGTATATATATTCACAATTATGCTGATAAAGAACCCAAGGCATGTATACTTTTGAGGTCCTGTGCACACTTGCCTGGTGATAAGCTGAGTGCATCTTACTTCTGAGAAAACTTGCATAGATAGCTTTATACATCTCATAACCCAACTAGTACTATTGCACATGCCTAGTTATAAATGATGTAGAAAAGCAGATTTAGGTTTCGTATGACAGTAAATACAGAATGTATTTCAATTTCCCCCTCAGATTAGTTTTTCTCCCTCAGAGGGCTGATGTGGCAGAAAAAAACCATATTTTCTCATGTCTTCTAAGTTTCAGGAAATCTTAACATTTACACTTCCAGGTAAGCGTGCATAGGATTGCAGCCCCAAGTGCTGCTTAACAGGAAGAGTGACATTGTCCTTCAGCTATAGTCAGCATAAAGTCTAAATACTTACTCTGTTATCAGACAAATGTTCTCAAGCCTAAGTATTTTGGTGAAATGCACCATGCACTCTAATTCACATGTGCACATTTCAGCTAATCCTACAGTCTTTCTGTTGAAAAGTATATACTGTCCTTGGTTACAGACTCAATTGAATTCTGCTGCTTTAAAGTAGTGTGAAAATTACAACAATGCATTAGTATTCTGATTATGTTCGAGTGTTTAGTAATGACATAATTCAAGCCACTAAAAGTTCAGTGCACAGTTGCCTCCATAAATTACTTTTAAGATTTATGCACCTTGGGTACATAAGCAAGAAGCTAATCTTACTGGGTAATATCTAGTGTAAGTCATACACAGCGTAGACTTTTTGAAACCAGTGGATTTAAGTTACAGATGGTCATTTTCAGTTTACTGATACCTGGCATATGAACTACCGCAACTTACGCTGATTTTACTTAAGTGATCATAGCTTTATACGGATCCTCAATAAATAAATAAATAGGGGGCAGGAGGCTGTTACTTATTGGGCTCTGAAGGCTTTCACAGGGCCCTGTGAGATCTCGTGGGAACCTCCCAGAGCATTGGCACAACCATCTCAGAGCCCGGCAAACTTTTTGTACAGGGAAAAATTGCGCAAAAGAGCTTTATTTAAGTTATTCACCTTACTTACCAGGTTTTGGGAGGCTCTGAGTTCTTGGGTGATGTGAGTAGTTCTGATTTTGCTTTTACACTTAACCCCTGGTAGCATAATCCTTGCATAACCTATGATTGCACTGTACTTAAATACAAAGCCTAATTTAAAAAGCAAGTTATTGTAACAAGGTTATTATATGTTAGGTGTTCAGTGCTGATACTGGGGATAGTGGACTACCAGTAGTTATGAAAACTTCACCTCTCGAACACAACCTTTTACCCTCTCAACTAGCAGGTTTCCTCAGTAACAAATTATATTGCCCAAATCTTTAGCTTTTGATTGCCTCTTTGTGGGCATGCCTTATACACTGTTAAGCATTGGCACAATGGTTTTGATGGAGGATTTATTATTATTATTTAAAATCGTAATAGCACGAGTAAGAGTACTGGAGTCATTTAAAAGCAGTGGGTTTGGACTGCATCTTGTCTGCTGTCACACAGTCCATAAAGCTAAATTGCTTGTGGTCAAGTTAGACATGAAATGTTTTAAAGCAAAATTAGAAGGAAGGTCCAAACAGGACACCAAATAGTTAATGATGAAACTTCATTATGAAAGTTAAAACCTCTTTTGTAGGAAAGGAGAATTTATTCCATAGCATATCAAGCGGTAGTGCATGCATTTCCCTATGCTCATTTATGTAAGGCTGCTAGAATTTATGTTTAGGATTATTGCTATATCTTTTAAGGGGTATAGACCTTGGAATAGGAAATAATGACATTGAAAGCAAAGCATATCTAGAACTTAACACATCCGTTAGGAACTTCTTTCAGCAATTCTTGCCCAAGAGAAATTTCTGTTGGGTTGTATGTAGTAGACAAAGCTACTACTGCATCCCTGCAATATAACAAACTAGAATCAAATATTTTTTTAAATAAAACTTTTCCAGGTTCTTCATTTATAGCAGCCCTCCCAACTAAGTGCCCCCAGATGCTGTTGAACACAACTGTCATCCCTGATTATTGGCCATGTTGATGGGAGTTGTAGTTTGAGAAGGCTGGATGTATAGCAATTCACCTAATGCAATTTCCTGATGCACCTTAAACACTAGCGTTCATTGTACCATATAACCTTTCATTGGTTTACATTCCTTTTCATTAGTGTAATCCATGAAAACTTAGGCCATAATTAATGTCTTAGTCTTCAAGGTGCCATAAGATTTCAGTTGTTTTCACCTAAATCCAGTTGACGAGTGAGCAGTTCTTACGTAACTTTAAACCACAGTTTAAAATATAAAGTATGGTTTAATGTGCACAAGAGCTTTGCTTCCACCACATTTCTGACTTTGCCACACAGGGAGGGAAGCAAGTGAACCCTAAACAAATCAAGAGTCTTGTAGGTCCTGTGGGCTCATCGTTTGTTTCTCTCCAAAGAAACAATGAGAAGTCAACATATTATGAGTGATAAGCATTAAATGGCAACAAGGCTTTAACTTGTTTCCTTTCTCTCGTGTGGCATAGTCGAGAGTGAGGGAAGAGTGAATTGCTCATGCACATTGACCATAGTTTATTTTGTATGTGTTGTATACGACGAAGTCTTACTCATTTAAGTCAGTGGATATGACAAACTTAAGTTCGTTGAATTCAGTGGTTCTACTCTTAGTATGACTTAGTTGGTTTAACTTTTGTGAATCACACCAACGTAACATTTGCAGTATAATCCTATGTCTGTCTGTTCAGAATTAAGTCTCGTTGATCTCAGTGGGACTTTTTACTGAGTATGTGTATAGGGTTGTTGCCTTGATTATATTTATTGCATTCTATTTTTTTGTCTAAAGAAATCTCCTTAATTGTGAATTTACTGAGTTCTTGTATGAATAGCCTTTCTAGCTTTGAGGAAGTACATACACTTCCCATGTGATGTACAGAACCTTTTTTATCTGTACATTGCTGAAGATCCCAAGGTTATGTAGCATTCTGAGTGTGCATTTATTCTTCTTCAGGTGAAAAGGAATGAGAGGTGAAGAGACAAAAGGTTTGGCTATTATTCCATTCCGGATGCCACTGGGCCTTGTTTATACTATTACAAAGCAAATGCTTTCATTGCAGGATAGATGAGTGAGGGCCAATATATCTTTGAAACAAAGGTGACAATACAACAGCTAGTCAAGATTTCAGAAGCATGGAATGTTAGGAATTCAAGTGCTAATTAAACTGACCATGGTTTTAGAATTTACATATTCTTTCTTTCTCTCATGCACCATTTTGTGAAGTTTCAAATTTGGGGATAGTTTTTACAAGTCTAAAAATAATGCCACCATATTTAAACAGTATGATAGGAGACACAATATTCTTGAAGCAAAGATGTTTCATGTGTTAAGAAATGCTTCAATGTGCCAAGAAAATACTGTGAAGAGGAGCGGCTTTTTTAGTAGTATCTCTTCAGTTGACTCTTACTGGTGAGCATAAGGTATATAATTATTTGTAGGCATATAATGAAATTATTTTGTGATAATTGCTTCTTACTATAGAACTCATTTTGACCTCATAATTTTCAGAGATGTGTTATGGAGTGTACATTTTTTGTGTTTAAATAACAGGCTCTCTCTCTCCATCCCCAGGAGTCGAAAACTTCAAATCAGAAATATCCCGCCACACTTGCAGTGGGAGGTAGGCATTCATCTTTGTTTTCAGCCTGTTTTAAGAGGATAAATTGGTGCTTTGTTTTTCACCTTTTGCCTCTTTCGCCCTCTCCCTTGTTTTCTCACTCCTTTTTCTTGGTCTTCTAACACATGCAAATTGTTGGCAAGAGCAATTTTGTTCTTTGAAGGGTAATTTGCAAAACTGAATAACAGAACCTTCCAAATATTTCTTAACTGCTGCCGTTAATGTTAGGCAGTTGGAGATATTTCAGGGTTCTACAGTACATTTTCAGGTGACTGGCAATTTCCTGATTCATTTTATGTCTCAAAAGCTGATCTGAGTCCCTCTTCTCTGTATAAACATTTAACATTTTAGCAAGTTTTAGAAATAGAAACACTCTAGCTTTTTCTTGTAATTCTTCTGCCACTAGTTATTTCCATAGCAGCACATCATAATTTCAGAAGCTCTATGATAACTAGGTAACAGAATATAGATTATTGTAAAAACGTGTCTTTTTATTTGTGCCTCTTAACCTTAATATGCCAGGGATGTGGGTGGCGCTGTGGTCTAAACCACAGAGCCTAGGGCTTGCCGATCAGAAGGTTGGCGGTTCAAATCCCTGCGATGGGGTGAGCTCCCGTTGCTCAGTCCCAGCTCCAGCCAACCTAGCAGTTCAAAAGCATGTCAAAGTGCAAGTAGATAAATAGGTACCGCTCTGGTGGGAAGGTAAACGGCATTTCCGTGCGCTGCTCTGGTTCGCCAGAAGCGGCTTAGTCATGCTGGCCACATGACCCGGAAAGCTGTCTGCGGACAAAACACCAGCTCCCTCAGCCAGTAAAGTGAGATGAGCGCCACAACCCCAGAGTTGTCCATGACAGGACTTAACAGTCAGGGGTCCCTTTACCTTTTTTAACCTCAATATAGTTAGATATAAACAAGCCCCTTGCTGCTGCAATTTGATGACACACGCGTGACTTGTATAAACAACTGATCAAGCAGAGGTTTGTGTAGAGAAGATGCTCAAGAACTGGCAGTATTTTTAAAGCCAAAATTAGTGAATATATGTATATTAACTTACAAACTTTTGTGCCACTCTTTAGTATAATATTTCCAAGATGACTTTTAACATAAAAGGGAAAAAATGCTTCAGTGAATTAACAGAACATTTCTCAACAATAAAACAGCAGATAAAATAACAGGATTAAAACAACTTGTAAAATTTTTAAAGTCCTGGGGAAATAAAAAGGTCTTTGCTTGATGCAAGAAGGATATTGAAAGAGGTATAACACAAACCCCCACCTCACCCTTCAGGGAAGAATTTGCATGTGGGGTGCCACAACTATAAAAGCCCTTTCCTTAGCCACTACCTGTGGCAACTTCCCTCAGTAATGATGGGAGTGATGTAATGTGACTGGATTTCTTTTAGTGTTTTTAAAATGTACGCTCTCTCTGTCAGAACACTTGAAAGGTCTGTTATTATCTCTTAATAACAAGCAGCAAGGTATGACAGTTATGTGAAAGGAGAATTTGTCCTCACCCAGAGAATCGAAGTAAGGATGAGGCACTTTCAGAATAAAACTAGAATTTTGTTTACATACAGATGATGAGGGTTATATCTTAATAATTACTCTAATAGGCACAACATAGAGACGCGGGTGGCTCTGTGGGCTAAACCTCAGAGCCTAGAGCTCCTATTGTTCGGTCCCAGCTTCTGCCAACCTAGCAGTTCGAAAGCACTTCAAAGTGCAAGTAGATAAATAGGTACCGCTCTGGCGGGAAGGTAAATGGCGTTTCCGTGCGCTGCTCTGGTTTGCCGTAAGCGGCTTAGTCATGCTGGCCACATGACCCAGAAGCTGTCTGTGGACAAACGCCAGCTCCCTCGGCCTATAGAGTGAGATGAGCACCGCAACCCCAGAGTCGTCTGCGACTGGACCTAATGGTCAGGGGTCCCTTTACCTTTACCTTTAATAGGCAGCATGTGAATTACTTCATAAGTAAATAGAGAAAATAAACCACCTTTGCTATGGTTCTTTGTGGTAATTGGCAGGGATGGGGCAATTGCTTGCTGTGGTTAACATCTGCAGTTACTAAACATGTGTATCTGATATTTCTAACACAAGGTTGCCATATAGGGTCAGCTTGGCTTGATTGTGACATTTGGTTAAACCTTGATGCCCTTGGTGGATAAGGTCTAGAATTTCTTGCCTTGTAGATTGTGGTTCAGAAAAACCAAAAATATAATACATTTCCATTTTGTTATTAGGCCTTCCAATTCACTCACTTGTCCATGGTCAGGAAAGTACTTTCTAGTCATCTCTGACACATTGCTAAGGTATTTGATCTGATATAGTATAAAAAGTTGTGAAGTTCTGGAGCACCATGAATAGTTGTTTTGATCTAGTGAAACTGACTTACAGATGGTAATAGAGAAGCATGTACAGCACAAATGTAAGCCTTAACCTCCTTCTCTAACTTGTGTTTACTTACATTGTGTGGCAAAGTATCTGCTGTGAGGAGCTCTTTTCCAGGAACATACTGTGCTACTGGGTTGAATCATTCTTCTTAGAAGATGTTGGCATCATAATTGTACTTGGTTCAAATAATTTGTTTTCATCAAGGTCACCAAAGGTTTATAGTCTGTGATGAGTCATGTCCCTTTATCCTTTCCAGCTTCATTTTCACCTTGTGTTGAGTAAGGGATTGAGGATTCCACAGAGTGTTTGTACACAGCATGGTTTGTCATAAGGGCTTAAAACAATATCCATAAGATTGGCTTTTAGTAGTGTAGATTAGTGTCGCCAAAACATTCAGTTTACTCCCATTGTTTTCAGCAGTTCATTCTAGCAGTTACTCCACAACTTAGTAGATTGTTTTTTGTTTCTAGGTTATGACCTTGTATCACATGCATGTTGAACACAAAAATCCCCTGCTGATAGCTTCTTTGTGTGGTATCCCAATAATAATAGTAGTAGTAGAAGTAGTAGTAGTATTTTAAAAATTGTACCCCCACCCATCTGACTGGATTGCCCCAGACATTCTGGGCAGCTTCCAACATATATAACAACATAAGAGATTGTAGGTGATTTCTTCCTTGTGCATGTCTGAAGGGTCCTGAAATCCTATGTACATATTCTGATGTCTGCTCCTGAATTTATTTTTAAATAAGTTGTTATACCAACAATAGGTAGGTTTGTTCTCCAGGGATAGCGCCTTTATCAAATACGATGCCTTAGAAAAACTTGACACACTACTGCTATGATCACCAATACCAATGCAGTGTAGAGATTAGATTATCAGACTAGCACATGGGAGTAGGTTTAGCGTTAGGGGTACAGTCTGAGGTACACTTGCTTAGCCAGTGCTCGAAATTCTCCAGGTGCGTTTTGCTACTGGCATGGGTCCAATTGCAACCAAGTGGAGATTTCTGGGCGCCCAGTTAGCAGAGCTGAGTACAGATATATTTGACACTGCTGCAACCTTTCCACAGGCCACCCAAATGGAACTAACGAACCACAGTTTAAAAACCTCTGCCTTAATCCATAGTTAATACCATTTCCATTTCCACTGTGCATGTTTCTCCTTCTTGCATGCTGGGACAAGTGAATTGTTGAAAGAGCAGGCTACAGTCAAGCAATGTAGCTGAGACCATAGAATTGCAGTGTTGGAAGGGACCCTCAAGGTCATCTGGTCCAACTCCCTGGTGAATAGACATTCTGGTGTGGTGACTGTAATCTAGGTTAAAATGCCATTTTGCGCCTAGCTTATAGATTCATGAGTTTCTAACACTGTTTGCTCTGGGCCTTGGAGGGCTAAGCTAGCCAGAGGGCCACATCAAGGGCCTGCCAGACTTATGCTATCATGCCAAAAATGCCCCGTATCTCCCATACGCTCCCAGCCTCATACCATGAATTTAACAAGGTTAGAAAGTAATATAAAAACTAGGTATATTTGTGGCATAAAGCTATACATTGCATACAAAGCTGGTGCAATATCTATAAAGAAGTCAAACATTTTAAAGCTTTCTTCCCAAAGGAAGGAAACCTTTGACTCAAACCCTTAATTTCCGCAGACAAAGTACAATAATAATGGAATGACAGATTTCATCAAGTCAACAGCAGATTTCTGCTCTTAATTTTCATCAGCCCCATACTTACCACATCACACTACAGTGCTCAGTGCTTCAGTCTTGCCATCGATTCCCCACTTCTTGGTTATAATTCAAGCTTTCCTTCCAACTATTCAGTCCCTTTCATATTCCTTCCTGTGCACCATGCCAGCCCCCCCCCTCAGCCCCCAGTATTATGTAGTTCTGACATGTTGCCAAGCTTACTGAACTTCTCATTCTGCCTAATGCGCACAGCAGTAGAAGGAAAATAGTTTGATGGTATATATGTCAAGACTCCTGGATAAGGGGCAAATCCAGATGCAATGGCGTAATGATAACGGAAGTGCAGTGAAATACCTGATACTGAAATTAATGGTGTGAGAGGAGATATATGACTTTTGAGAGTGAATGGGAAATGGACATGTAAGATTGTTGTACATACAAATCAGATCTGATTTTTTAAGATTTTCATGAACTACAAAGAACTTTCAATTTCTTTCTTCTTTTTTCATCAGATTATAAAGTATTTTGGTACGTTCAATATAAAATGTAAAACAATATGTTTCTTAAGGGAGGGGAAGAGGGGTTTTCACGTCGGTGTCAATTCTGTATATTTGTTGGTTTATATTGGCGATAAGAGAAGATTTGGAGGGGGGGCAGGGCATGTTTGTTTGCCTTTACTTGCCTTTGATTAACCGTAGTGAGATTTGTATGTGTTTGCGGAAGGGGGATATGGAATATTGGGTCAAGTTAACCATATTGATCAGTATGCTGGTGGAAGATCCCTGCTATTACTGTTGTCAGTTTGAGCCATGACTGTGTCATCTTTTTGTCCTCATGTCAGTTTTAGTCTGTTGGTTAACTTTTCTAACAAGGCCATTTCCCATACAATTGGTACCAGTGGTCCATGCTTACTCCAGACAAGTCACTTCAGTGTCTTAACTATGACGTTTCTGGCTGCTGAGAATAGGTGGGTTATAAGGTCCTTATGGTGCAAGTGAGCATTATTGTCTTGGAAAATATTTAATAGGGCCAATTCTGGGGTAGGTTCTAATAAGTGTTTAGTTGTGTTACATACTTTTTGTAGGACTGCTGTCCAAAAGGGTTGGATTCAGGGACATTGCCACCACATGTGGAGGCATGTGCCTGTATAAGTACAGCCTCTCCAACATTTTGGTAAGCTTCCTGGATGTATTACATTGATAACTCCGGTTACGCCTCGCGCTGCTGCCATGCGACTTCCGCTCGCATCCCAGGGCAAAGTTCGCAACAAGGGGATCTACTTCTGGGTTAGCGGAGCTCGTAACCCGCTGCGTTCGCAAGGAGGATGGTACGTAACACGAGGTTCCACTGTAATTTCAATTTCCTTGGTGTCAGATGCTATTGTTAAGTTTCAAAACGAGTTTCCTTCTTTTGGCTGAGATTTGAAGGGAGATTTGGACCACATTGGGCAGAGTTTATTTTGTAACCTTTGTCATGTTCCCATTGTTTTTTAATAGTGTTAGGTGATATTGCGGGGTTGTGAAGCAGTATATTGCAGATACCATCCCCCAACTATGTCCATCTGCCGACAAAAGAAGGCTTTCAAAAGTGATCAAGGGCCTAGTGGTGGGTGCTTTTACTGCTAGGTTAATTAGAAAAGCATGTACTGTATTTTTCTGTCTATAAGACGCCCCCCCATTTTGGGGGACTCAGATTTAAGAAAATGGGGGGGGGGTATCTGTGTATAAGACGGCCCCTAATTTTTGACGTCATTTTAAAGGGAAAAAAAACTACTCTTATACATGGAAAAATACGGTAGCTGATGTGTTTTAACCAGAGTAAATTGAATGTCTCCTAATTTATCCTATATTTCCTATGTTGCTATGTGTATAGGCCTTTGGTTTGCCATGTTTCTATGTGGAAGGTTTGAGCTGCATGACAGAATAACTGGTGATGAGCCAAGGGGATTAGTGGGGATGGGTTAGTGACAAAACACCTACTTTTTGTTTCCAGACCTTAAGCATGGATAGTGTTGAGGGGAGTTTTCTCAGCTTGTGTTGGAGGAGTGGGTATGCAGTAGTGGGAGTGCAGTCCAATGTGTCCATTTCCAAGTGTACCTATTGCATGGTCTCATCTTCCAAAATGTATGGGATTATGTGGCACATTTGATAAGCGCTATAATATAGTTCTATGTTGGGAATTCCCCAACCCCCTTCTGAACGGAGGAGGTGCAAATATTTTGGGCTTATTCTTGACTTTTTGTATGAGAAAATGAATAACTAGGGGTTTGGGGTTTTTTGCCATTTACGGAGTTGGATCCAGATTGGAAGGGTTTGGAATAAGTAGGTTAATTTTGGGAGAATGATCATTTTTATCTGGCTATTTTATCTGAGAGAGTAAAGTTAGATTTATTCCATCTTTTCAGGTCTTTGTCAGTTTATTGCCAGAGAGGCTTGTAATTTTGGAGGTGTAATTTGTTAAGTTTTCTGGTTATTTGTACCCCTAAGTATCTAAACTTGGTACGGCGGAGCTTTGTCTTTGTGATGCTGTTGAATTCTTTTTGGATGTGAGAGGGAGTGTTGAAGCACATTGCCTCAGATTTAGCAAAGTTCACCTGAAGGCCTAACACCATTGCAAAAGTGTTGAGTTCTTCAGTCAGAGTGGTTGCTGTTTTAATTGGGCCTAGTGTCATGATCATCAAATCATCCGCAACGAGTCCTAGTTTATATGTTTTGCCTGTTAATTCCATACCCATGATATTAGGGGCTGCCCGGAGTCGAATTGCTATGGGTTCCAGGGCCAGGATGAATAGAAAGGGAGACAGCGGGCATCCTTGCTTCATGCCTCTTTGGATTGCAATGGTGGTGGAATCCATATTGTTGATTATGCATTTAGCTGAGGCTTGGGAGTAAATTTGTCTGAGGGTTTGTAGTACAGAAGGACTGAAGTTCATGCTGGTTAATACTGCTAGTAGGTATTTCCACTCGAAGCAATCAAAGGCTTTTAGTATATCTAGGGACATAATTGTTGGTGGGTTTTTAGTTGTTTTGCTATGGTTGATCAGGTTCAGTAACTTACTGATGGGATTTGTTATGTTGCAACAAGGGACGAAGCCAGCTCGGTCTGGGGCTATTAGTTTGTGCAGGAAGACTTAGCCAGGATTGATGTGAATATTTTGTACTCCTGATTTATCAGTGAGATCAGGGAATATAATTCTACTTTGAGGCTATCTTTGAATGGTTTTGGGATAGAGACTATTTTGGAGGAGGTCCAGGTTTTTTGGGATGGGGGGCCCTTATAGGATGTCAGTAAATAGGTGAGTCATGTAGGGCGCCAGACTTACCTTGATTTTTAGATATATATAGAATTCTGCTGTGAAGCCATCTGGGCCTGGGGTTTCAGATTTTTGAGGAGCATCTTGTAATTCCTCTGAGGTGATAGGACTGTCCATGAATTCTTGTTGCTCTGCAGTTAAAATTGGCATGGATAGTCCTGCTAAAAGGGTTTTGATTTCTTACTTATACGGGTTCTGGGAAGAGTATAGATTAGAGTTAAATTCCACAAATTCTGAAGTTATGTCTTTGGAGGATAATGTTGTGTTTCATCTTTTTTAGTAATGCAGTATAGTCTTGTTTTAAGAGATTTTTTTTCCTGCACCTGTTTGATAATAGTCTGGAGTTTTTCCCTCCATACTTGTAAAATTGTTGTTTTGAGTATAGAATGTTGATCATTGTTTTATTAATTTCTAGTGAGTCAATCTCCCTTCCTTTTGTTCTATGAATTTATGGAGTTTTTTAAGCTCCTGCTTGTTTGTATCGTGTTGAAAGAGCTATGATGTCTTATTCAAGTTTGCTAATTTTTGAGGTTTGTTTTTTGAGTGATGCTTTCTCTTTTATGCAAGCTCCTCTAGCGACCCAGAGAAGGGGGCTTGTTAAGTTGTCTGCATCATTTTCCTTGAAATAGTTTTGAAGAGTTTTCATGAGACTTTCTCTAGTTACTTGGTTTGTGGTTAGGATAGAGCTAAAGGACCATGATGGAGTGGTTTGTGTTCCCACCAATGTTTGTTGTTTCAACCAAGGGGATCAGGCTTTATGTGAGCAGAATGCTATCCAGTCTGAACGTTGTGCCATGGCGCCCGGACTGGAATGTGTGACTGGTGTCTCCTGGGTTTTTTTCACCCCAGATGTCCTGTAGGCCTCCATTTTTTAGCATTTTTTAATGATTTCCAGGTGGAAATCCTGCCACCCTCTCACATAACTTGGAACTTGTTAAGTAAATGGTAAGAATGAAACCTTGGTAAAATCCTTGATTGTTGCTTGGCCTCCAGGATGCTCATTATCCTAGCACAAAAAAATCAGGAAGGGACTGGTATAGTGGATTACAGCTGTCCCATTCCTAGCTGTGTGCATTTGAATCCTACTGAAGGCTGAGCTTGTGTGTGCTGAGTGTAAGATTGAACCATTGTTTTTGAATAAGCTGATCACTCTTAGACACACTCTATTCACTGCCAGAGCTTGACAAGTAAGCAAACTAGTCTTAGCGTTTTTCTGTGGATAAAAAACATTGCACCTCTTTAATTTGTGCAGCAGAGTAGAAAGCTAGTTCGTAAAAGAACTAAGAAATTTAAGAAAGGCTTATTTCAGTTACCTCTTGTACTTCCTCCAAGGAGCTTGGGGCCGTGTATGTGATTCTCCACTAACCAAGTTCATCCTCTCGGCACCCATGTGATGTAGGTTAGGTTATGAAGTGGTTCACCGACTGAACAGGAATTTGAACCCAGATCTGTCTGATCCTAGCCTGAGCCACAATTTGGCTATTCCTGCACTGTTCACTATTTCATAATTCTTCTATCATATTATTTTCACATACATATCCCAAATGCTATTTTCAGTTTCTCAGAAGGAAAGCCAGATGCATTCTAGATAAAGTCCAAATTGAGCAGGTCTGGGGAGGGGAGGGGCAATTTCCTTGCTTACTTTACTAACTAAAGCAAACTTCTGCTCCAGTGGTTTTCCTGAACCAGTATGCTGCCACCATTTAATATCACTTACACTCTTTTCTGTCTTAACTTACCAATACTTCATGGAACAAAGCCAATCAGGTCTAGGTACTATATTTAACAAAGATATTAAAAGTTTTATTTAATACAGGATTATATATTGCACAGGTTTGTGTGGGTACTTTAATATAGTACTGTCTCTTTAAATGGGTTTGTTTGTTTGTTTGTTTGTTTGTTTGTTTGTTAAATTTCTATCCTGCCCTTCCTCCCAAAGGAGCCTAGGTAAACACATTGATAACTTGTTACTGTCGCTTTAAATGCCAACAGCTTATTTTGCACTACTGTTACTGAACTAAGAGAGCTTAGAGGAATCAGTGATTATGAAAGCTCCTCTGCTAGACTGCTCTTGTATTTACTGCACCCCGTTTAAGCCCCACCAACACATTTGAGAGCTCTATTTCAAACCCTACTTGACCGATTGAATTGAAGGTCTGTTTTTGCTGTCCTGTCCTGGACTCTTTTCTCTGCCTCTCCTGCCAGACACCAGAGCCTAGTATTCCATACTGCCTCTCACTTCTGCTCTTCATAGACAGGTTATCTTCTCATCATCTATGCCAAGTGATTCAGCTACCCTAGTAAGTCTTAGGCTACTAGTCACTCTGGCTTCCTTTCAGGTCTTCTTCCTTCTTCCTCAATTCTTCTCCTTTGTTTTTGTCATCATCTTCTGCATTCACCACAGAAGCCAACCATCAGCCAAAACAAACCGACCCTGACTGACTAGCACCCAGCCATATATTCATTTTTTCTGCCTCCCAACCCCCAGTCTAGCCCCAGCCAGTCACAATAAGAATTATGAGCCGCAACCACCAAGATACTATGCATACTTTCTATCCTTCTTTTGCATACTGAGACTTCTGTTTCCAACCCCTACTCAACTGTCACTTAAGGCCCCTCAGTGACAGATAAACCAAAGTTCACCTTACCAGACTTCCCCATCAAACACATTGCAACATACATTACAATACGAATGACACAATATCCATTAAAAGCAGTTCAAACAAATTGGTTTTCTTTACAAGGTCTAAAAGGGGTAGGGAGATTGTGGTGTTACCTCCAGTCCTGCTACTGCTGTATACTATCCCTCCCTTAAGAAAAAAGGTGCAGCTTCAACAAAAATCTGGAAGTTTGTGCTGCCACAACTATAATGGCATCCTGTGTAGGCAACTTTTCTCCAGCCAGTATCTCCTTTTGTATAAAGACCAGTTCTATATAAATCAAAACTTTTATCCTAGTCATGAAAAATCTGGTTTGATGCAGATATCAGCTAGTGGGCCAGCTACGCATTTCATGTTGAGCATACTCCCTGTGCAGCAAGAAAACTGCTAGCACATTTGCAAAGTTAAGTAGGGTCCGGTATGGTTTCACATTGGATGAGGAGCCATGTCTTTCAGTTCCTACATTGCAGGGGGTTGGACTAGATGACCCTCTGTGCCCCTTCCAACTCTGCAATTCTGTGATTCTGCTAGTTCAGTAAAATGTATTTTTCCAAACTTCCATTTTTGCCTACTAAGTTGCTACATGTGAGAGTCTTTTTCCTTCTTTTTCCTGACATAACTACCACTTTCTATCATCACTAGTTTTCCATTAAATTACAAATATGCACTAGGTACGTTTGGATGTTCTTATTCCCTTACCCCCATTTCTAGACTTCAGTTCTGTGGTCTAGCATAAAATTTTAAGAATGCCAGTGTAAAAATGTGTAGGCTTCCCTTTTAAACAAGCTGTTAAAAATGTTCCAAGTATTGTTTCATCAGTGTAGCTTGAAAGCATAGTTTTGCTTATGGTATTCCTTTTAAATATGAGTCTGTATTGTAGTTTTTAAAGCCTTTATTGATTTTCATGTATTCTCTTGACCCCGTGCTATAGTTTTAAGTTGCTCAGCTGACAACCATGCTCATAACACGTTGGCAACAACTGTGTGAATAAGATCGCTCCATGTGTGTGGTAACTCTATAGAGATAGAGATAGAGATAGAGATATGTATGAGAATGAATGAGAAAACTGGGTTTGAATTGAAACACTTCAAATATTAACTCCCTAGAGTTTTGGTGTAGGATAGTACTGTTTATAACACAGTCAAGGGTTGGCTTTTAGAGTCTGATGAATGAAAGTCCACAGTGTAAGACTGCAGCTTTTTGTGTGCAAGAAAGAGGCATCTGTGTTATAACAAGAGGAGGAGACCCAATGTAGACAAAGCCAGAGTTCCTTCATAAAAAAAGGAATGAATTATTTTCTAGCTGGAGTAAATATTTATACAAACAAACTTTTCTTTTCAGCTGCTCATCAGGATTGCTATCGCACTACCAACTTGGCTAGAAAATTGGTTTTCGTTGCCCAACACGGCTGCACGTGGTGCTAGGGAGGCAGATGAGGAGTTCAGACAAAACTGGCTTGTCTCAAAGTAGAGCGAGAGGATTTGGCTGTTTGAAATAAAATGTAAAGTGATTGGGGAGTGGGGGATATGTCCAAATCAAGCAGGAAGCAGGAGCTAGATAGTATGAAAAGTGTGTAAGGAAACTCAAGCGTATAAAGAATCTAGAATGCAAGAGCTAATTTTAATTAATGCTAAAGGGGTTTCTAATGCATTCATATACATGTTGCTTGAGGCGTGGTAGTTTTTCGTGCCATGGTCCTATCTTGGTGGCATGCTTCTTATTTGTTTTGCTTTCATGTGATGGTGTTGTAATTTGGCCTTGCAGTTTTCCAACTTGTCTGACATGAGCAAGGGTTTTATTGTGTGCTGGTGAACAGTGAGCTAAATATTTGGTGGCAAATTCACATATTTATATGCAAGCTTGGTTTCTCATATATCCTTCAGTCTGTGAGGGTAACCAGGGGAACCTGTGTGTTTGTATGTATGTATGGACACATTTTTTTATGTATGTCAACACAACAAACAATGATAAAGTCTCCACTATTGCAGTATGCTGATCTTTAGACTCCTTAACTATTTGGTCATGCTGTAATACAAATAACACCTTCAACCATGTCAGACACCTAAACCAGATCAACACAAAAGGCTGATGAAAATTAATAAACAGAATTTCCACTAATGATTTACCCAAACATTTCCATAACATTGTATCTACTTAGAAATGTGTATATGTGTTGTGCACATGTGTATAACTTTTCTTAAAAAATAAATAATAAAAGAAGAACAGAACTTTCATTATAAACAGCACAGTAGTTTATCTTGGCATTACTCTCCCCCACCACCACCACCACCACCACAAAAAAATGACAACCGCCTCTATAATTTCCTTTATAATCCTGAATTTTTTGAAGAATCAAGACATGTCTTGAAGAAGCATTTGACACCCCACAATAATAATATAACACTATTCAGCTGTCTCAAACATAGTATTAATAGTAAGAGAGGAAAATTACACTTCACTGTATTACACTCATACAAGAATACTGTTTTAACTTAAGGGAGAGGGAACAATGTTATATCAAGTCTGCTAGCAAATAGCTATGGTATTTTTCTTCCAATGTCCAAATAGAGGTTGTAGCTCAAAAGTGTTATTACCATATTTCATATATTAATAGCATCATGCAATCATGGAAGTTTGAAGATTATTTCCACAGCTAAACATTTATATTATTGTAAATATATCTATTTATTTAACTGCATTTTTATACCAATTGTAAATAAAACGGTTAACCTGCTTACAAATGTAGCCACCAAGAATTTATCATACATTGCCCCATACTAAATTGTTGGTCACACACAGACATGCCCAAGCCACATCAAATACCTTAAATCATTTCTGCCACCTCCACCCTCTGTTCTATATCAAAAAGGAAGCAAAAAGCATCATGTTACTTTATCCTGCTTCCCATTAGCCCCCAAATAATTTATTTTTGTTCAGCAAAATCTATATACCACTTGATTGTAGTGAAACCTCTAAGCAATTTACAAGAAATATTAAAATTATCAATAAGAACAGTTAAAAACAATTAAAATAAGTAAAATTAACAGTTAAACAGGCTGGCAAGCCCTAAAGTAGCCTAATGCTTATGGGGCAAAAAGCTGTATTTCCAAAAATTTGTTTCCTTTTTAAAGGGGTCGTTTGAATCTTAAAATAAGAGGGCTAAAGTATAAGTAACTTTTGTTATGCTAAAATCTGAGGTGTTTTAAAGTCCTTCCTAACGAAATATTCTTACAATTCTTGCTGAATTTAGTCTGAGTATGATTAACATAGATGTTGTAGGTTGGTTGGACTTGAAAGATTACATTCCAGGCATACACAAGTAAATTCTTATTCAGATGTCAGTGAAAATGTTTAAATAATATCATTCACTTGTTAATAACTTTATGATGCAGTCCTAAACATATTAACTACCATGCAAGATCCATTCAAATTAGTGGGATTACAGTACACCTCACTGAGTGAACATGTTTATAAAATAAAGATTGTAAAGTACTTTTTGCATCACATGACTTTTAGTAAGTAGTAGATACAATAACTGAACACACAAGGTGCATTTGAAATATTTTAAGGGTTGCTTATTTTGATTCAACTTTATGTTTAATGAGCATTTTCAGTTTTAATCGCACTATGATAGTTGTTGTTGTTGTTAATATAATTTACAATTTCACTATAAGGACCAAAATTATAAAATAAAGAGTAATTGAAAGACTGTGATATAGGAGCAAAGGAGTTAGAGCAGAGAACTGTAAATTTACCATTACACCAACCAGACTAGTTCCTGTTTTGTTTGCATTTTATTCTGTTTTCTCCTCTTGTCTAGATTTCCCCCCCCCCCCCCATTCATAGCTATGGAGAACTGACTGACTTGCTGTAAATGCTAGTTTTCACAGTAGGTTTGTTGTATGCATTTATTTTGTTGCTAGTCCTTGAGCTATACTTGGAGTTCAAATAGAAAACACAAGATGGAGAAACTTTCGGGCGGTTCGGGGGAAAGCCATACCCAATAGTTTTGTAAAAAGCAAACATAATTTGGGGTTTCTTACAGGCTGTTTTCACATACAGCTACCATAGAAACTAATTTTAATGTGCTCCTTTTTCACAGGTGCTAGACGGACTGTTAGCACAGTATGGAACAGTGGAGAACTGTGAGCAAGGTAACACTAAAGTCAGACAATTAAAGAAAAAATTTAGGGATGTAAGCATAAAATTACGCTGCCCCCCCCCCATAATAACCCTTTTCCTTTTCTTTCTTTTTCTAGTGAATACGGAGACAGAGACTGCAGTAGTTAATGTAACATATGGCAATAAGGATCAGGCCAGACAGTAAGTGTTTATTTACTTGGGTTTTATATCTGAGACTTACATCAGACTAAACGTGGCTAGGATTATACTATAAGATTCAATTCTATGGACTAAAATTCAAAATTGTGGGCTAATGCAATTGCCGTAACTTCTTGTTTGATTGAATGGCAGTTCCATTGAAGCTGATGGAAATCTTAATTGGCGTTTGTGGAAACTGCCATAAAAGTTTGTGCAACGTATATGTAAAAATACAATTTATATCTAGAAGACACAAGTCTTCTAGTCCAGTATTTTTCTTACCTTTTGGAGGATTAAGCCTGTTCCTAATTTCTAGTTAATATATCCGAGGATTTCAGAATTGGATGTAATGTAAGCTTGTTACATCGTCTGAGCATTCATAGTATTCTGTTTCATTCTGAGGGGTCAGGGAGAGGGTATTAACATTTATCAGTGGCTTTACAGCATGTCTGATGAAATATACATTATGATATAAAACTTCTGCCGTCACCCAAAATGGTCTGCCTTTAACCTTGGCTCTTAAACGCTAGCTCAAGCAAAATTTTAAAGTATTCTGCAAAATGATCAGGGTTCAAAATTTGCTAGGTCTCCCGCAGAAGCGAATTCCATAGTAGTAGGCAGCCACTGGGAACAATATTTATATGCCCTTGCTTTTTAAATAGCCTCTCTGTAAGTAAAGTCAAGAGAGTGCTTTTAAAGGTCACAGTGGCACATAAGTGAGGAAGAAGTCTCTGAGATATGCAAGATCAAAGGTTTTATAAGGATAAAACATCAGTTTTATTTATGCCCAGATGCTTGAGCTCTAGTGTAATGTGTTTTGGTTTGTAGTGCATTGTCTAGCCTCTGCAGCAACAGTACAGTTGTCAAGACTCATGAGCAGGTCACAACAAAAGGGAGAGTTGATAAAAAGATAACACCGGTCACAGTTGAAGATAATTTTCTAGCCCAACATTGAATGCTAGAACATCTCACACTTTCAAAGCTGCATAGCCAGGGATGACTGGACAGCATCAGTGTTCAGAATATTATTACTCCCATTCTCACTAGCTATGAACATTTGATTTGATGACCCTAGATCCAATGTACTGAGCTATATAAATGGTCAGATCCAGAGTTCTGTGAACAAGGGTAAATTTGAAACTCAATAATCACTGGCTTAGATTGATTCAGTGACCTGGTAGCAGTCAGGGAAATGCCTCTGACAAAGACCCTAGGAACTGCTGCTTCTCAGTGATGATAGCACAAGAGTGGACCCACCTTTTTATTTGTGACAAGGCAAGTTGGGTCTTTTGCCCTGTATTTGTATCCAAGGCAGCTGTCTACCAGTTCCATCTGGTTCCTACCTGCCTGCGCACTGTCTCACCAGAATGGTGCATGCTCTGGTTATCTCCTGCTTGGATTACTGTAATGCACTCTACATGGGGCTTCCTTTGAAGGTGACTCAGAAACTACAACTAATCCTGAATGTGGCAGCTAGACTGGTGACTGGGACTGGCTGACAGGACCATATAACAACCCCCCTCAGCAGCAGATTTTAAAATTCCTGCTCTATATTCCACCAATCTGCTATGTTAAATTGGATGCAGAAAATGCATGTATAAGTGTACCTTCTCATATGGACACTTTGGATAGAATTCTGCATCCCGTGAGCATAATTATTCTCTCCTTCCCCACCCCTCACTTTCACATGAACTTCATAAAAACAAAAAGAAGTTAAAAGATACAGTAATAGTCTGTCTCTTTCAAAACTTGCACTGTCTTGAATATCTTGTTTACTGTGCTGTTCCTTTGAAATAAGCTGCTCTTGACAGTTGTTCCATCCTCCCACCTGTTGTGTAACATCCTCTAGGAAAATGTATAGCTGCATTGCTGTGGAATGCAAGCTTTTAAACTGAAGCAGGAGTTATAAAATACTTAAACTACTCTCTCACTGTCCTGTTAAACCACTACAAAAGAATTAAAATGAGATCCATTGGAAAACTGAGAAAGAATTCAAGAACTGTTCTGTTAGTTTCATGTAAGAATGTTACAAAGGCGATACTGAGACCAGTTGTGTGTGTGGAGAAAAGCACCCCATCTCCCATGAGATCTGTTCTGGATCATATACCATGAAGGGACTTGTTGCATGCTACAAATTGGTCAGTGCTAACCAACTGACAGCTTAATGCGCCTTTATGCAATATTGCAATTAGCTATTTACGTGATTGCTTGTGGGGAAGTAGCACTTGCCTCTAGGCAACCAGGTGCAGCCCCGCAGCAGGTGTGTGTGAGCAGCAAAAGAGGCAGAGAGTGAGTTTGCCAAGTCTGGTTGGCTCCTTGCCCTGCCTGGAGAAAGCGAGTAAGGGTGCTATTCGCTGCTGTGTCTAAAAACTCTAACTGACTCCTTTTTATTATATACAAGACATCACTTCATTCCCCATTGACTTATTTAAAAGTGAGTACATCCTGATACATTAAAAGGGCAAATTATTGAGGCATGTGTTTTGGCTGCTATCCGTGTGTGTGTGTGTGTGTGTGTGTGTGCGCGCGCGTGTGTGTGTGTGTGTTCGCAAGCAACATTTTTGCATTCCCTCAGGTGAAAGTGATAATAGAATCATCGAATTGCAGAGTTGGAAGGGACCCTGATGGTCATCTAGTCCAACCTCCTACAGTGCAGGAATCTCAACTAGACCATACATGACAGGTGGTCAACCTCTGCTTGAAAACCTCCAGTAAAGGAGAGCCCACCACCTTGGACATAATCTCCAGCACAAAATCCAGTATTTGAATCCCATTGATTTCAGTGGAAGTCAAACATGCTTTCAGTTTTCCAGTTTTAATAAATGGGTCTTTAAAAGAACTTAACTGTGGCTGGATCGTGCACTTAGTTGTTCATCGATCTCTGTTGCAGAAGAACCAGCCAGATTGAAAGAAACCAACTTTCTGAGGGATTTCAATTTGAAACTCAGATCTATATAGAACAGGGGCTGGCAGCCTAGGGCCCCTGGGCCACAAGTGGCCCAGGGGGGTGGTTTAACTGGCCCACAAGCAGCCCTTGAACCGAGCTGCCCGTTCAGTGAGTCCCCGTGCACTGCGCAGGGACTTGCTTCCGCAGCGACGGAAATCTCATCTGCGTAGGCACAGACACCTGAAATCGCATCTGCGCAGATGCCGAAAACTGTGGGCACGCGCGTGTGCAATCTGGCCCACAGAGGAGTCTCTGCTGGAGTGAACCGGCCCAGGCAAGGTAAACCTTGCCGACCCTTGATATAGATAAGCAGCACTTTCTCTTCCATCAGTTTGCTGGAATTCTGTAAACATGTATTTCAATCCGCTTAGCACTAGCAAGTCATTAATGGGGGCACTGGTCTCAAAAGGCAGAAAATATGAGTTCTGGCCATGAGGAGATAAAAACAAAGCATTCTACATTCCAAAGTATGTTAATAATAAAACATAGTGATATATTCATTGGAACATAGGATGCTGCCTTATCCCAGGTCTGATTGTTCAGCAGCATAGCTCCATACTGACTACTGGCTGACTGGCAATGGCTCTCTAGGATTTGAGGTCGTTACTTTCCCCATCATCTGGTACCTGATCCCTTCTATCTGGCGATGCCATAGGCTGAATTTGGGATGTTCGGCAAAGCATGTGCTCTGCCACTGAACAACCGTCCTTCCTATATGTTGGGAAAGCATTCTAGAGTTTCTCCCGTATGACCATGGGAATACATGGAAGAGTGGTAGGCAGTCAACAATCCCTTCTTGCAAGGTTCTTCATGCTTACAGAATTGATTTTGAAGCGCTGAAGCTTAGTCCAACATTGCCCACTTCAGGCCGTGACAAAAATCCCACTATTGAACAAGGCTTTTAAATTATTTGCTAAGGTGCTTGAAGTCTGCCCCAGCCCTCTTCTTTTTGTACTCTGTGTATGGTGAATAGTGACAGAAGACAACGTGACCAGGTGGCAATTGTAAGACATCTTTTTGAAAGTCTAAATATAATGGTGCTTACTTCTGAATGAATAGGATTGCACTGAAATGTCACCTTGTTTGTTGACCCTTCAGTGATAGGGAAAATAAGGCGACCAAACAATTCCCCTTCCCCCGAAGACATAAGAATTTTGAGAACAGTTAAATCTTTCATCATAGCACTTATATTTGTTCATGTTAAAATTCTATTATAATGCATACTACTCGGGAGCAGCTCAGTTGCTATGGAAACTTTTAACTTCCCTTAATTTCCTGAAATTAATACTGTTGGTCATTTGTGTTTTTAGAGATGTTTGTTGCTATTTGCTTTCAAGTACTCCATACAGTTGTACTTTAAAGTAACTCAGTACAGCTAACCAGAAAGGATTTGGCCATGCCTTTTCCTACATTGAGATTGGATCTTTTTCTACACCAAGGTAATGTGTAGCCAATGCTCATTTTAGAGCCCCAGCCTTATTCAGTTTCCCATCCCTATGAGTGTGCCAAATGCTGTATAAAATTGAGCTGTCAGTTGTTCACTCATGTACAAAAGATTGTGTGGTGTGATAAAAGTCAGAGTTCAGTTTCTATCTGAAACCTCCTTTTCATCTCTATACCTCACTTCTTCTGAAGACCAGATTACACTCATGTGTTTCAAAGAGGATTTTACTCATTTGCTGAGGTGGTTAAGTACTACTTCAGAATTTATAGTTACTTACAATATGATGGTAAAGGAGTTGTGTTCAGGTATGTTTACTTCTAACACCTTTTTAACAGTTGTAGGGAAAGCAACTCACACTTGTCACGCACGTAAATGTGACAGATTTTAGCAGAGGTTGAAAACTGTAGGAACCACAGAGAAAGAACTGTATTTGAGCAGGAGGGAGGGGGGCTTCCATTAGCATGCCTGAATTGATTCCCAAAGGAATTGTTCTCCAGTACTTAAAGGCTTGTGTGCTTTATGGGCTTGTGAAAGTTAGCAGAACCAATATAAACCATAGTGCAAATTATGAAATTTGGTAATTAGGCTGTGCCACTTGACCCCAGGTGTCCTGATATTTTGAGGTCCTTGTTTCACAGTATGGGAAATCATAGGATTGTTAAATAAATAATGAAAAGAACAAATACTATTTCATGGTTCAAGTGCTTGTTTCTTGTTTCAAGGGCATTAATATGTTTTACATGATGGTGAATAAAATACTAGAGCTCTCCCTACAAGCTTACAGTTTAAAACTGTAGGAATAGAAGGCTATGATGATCTCTGTGTTATGGGTCTGTTACTTGTGAGCGAAAATGCCTAACATAATGATTTCTTGTTCTGCCAGCTCCCACTTACAAAATCTTCCCTTCCTTGCAAACCTGTACAGAGCCATAGAAAAACTGAACGGATTCCAGCTTGAAAACTACTCACTGAAAGTTGCATATATTCCTGATGAAATGGCAGCGCAGCCACCTCCTCAACAGCATCCACAGGGGAGACGTGGATTTGGGCAGAGGGGTCCTCCCAGGCAAGGTTCGCCTGGCGCAGGTACAAGGCAAAAGCCACAGTCTGATGTTCCACTACGGATGCTGGTTCCTACCCAGTTTGTAGGAGCCATTATTGGAAAAGAAGGAGCCACCATAAGGAACATCACAAAGCAGACACAGTCAAAGTAAGTTGTCCCATTACATCTTTCTAGGGTGTTTTTATTTCATGGTTGCTGAGGTTTTGATAATAAAATAGTTCAATACAGTGGTACCTCTGGATGCGAACGGGTTCCGTTCCGGAGCCCCGTTCACATCCTGAGTAGAACGTAACGCGTCTGCGTGGGTCGTGTTTCGCTGCTTCCGCAAATGCGTGTGACATCATTTTGAGTGTCTTTGCGAGCGGCGAAACCCGGAAGTAACGCACTCTGTTACTTCTGGGTCACTGCGGAGCGTAACCTGAAAATGCTCAACCTGAAGCATATTTAACCCGAGGTATGACTGTAGTTTAACAATTGGGGTGTGGTAATATATAGGAAGAGAAGAACTCTTTTCTGTTGGATCTTGTTCAGCAGGTCATGTGAGCAAGGATTCTGGTCCTGACCAGGCATGCCTCAGTACTATTGCTGTGAACTTTTGCTTTACGGTATATTACCAAATTTGAGAAAATAGATCAGTATTGGGAATATGTCATACTGATGCTATGAGTGCTGAGGCCTCAGGTAATGAAAGTGAAACAGAACTGTCAAAAGAAGTACAGTACCCGTATGTGAAATAAGATTGATGTTATATAGCAGCAGGGATGGGCAACATGAAGCCTGCCTTGTACTCTTGCCCTTTACGTCCAAGTTGTTAGCATTGCTAATTTTGGTGGTCACGGCCAGTGTGTGAAAGCCAAGTACTACTTGCTTTGGCCATTTTCCATGGAGAGATATCACTACATTATTATCCACTCAGTATTTTTATGTCTACACCTGGCCGTTATGTTACAAACATGACCAAGCCAAACGTTGCATTACATTCAGATATCTTTTTAAACCAGGTTGTTTTAAAAATAATTTAATATAACTGCTTGGTTTTTTGCAAAATATTTTAGTATCACTTTCTCATCCTGGTTTCAGTTTTCGGTTTAGTGACTACCTACTGTTAGTGATAATTGTTGTATGTTGAGCCATACTTAAAATGTGAATTGAAGAAGGGAGGGAGGAATTTTCAAGGACAAGGCAGGAGAAGAGGAGAGGAGCATGCCAAGCCTGCAGGATAGGTCCAGTGTCTGATCTGGGCCAGTGTGGATCTGTAATAGATTCTCATTAAAACTTAGTCAAGGGATTCTATCCAAAGAAATCAAGACTTTGTATTTCAACTTAGTGCAGACTTTAATTTATACAGCCATGTTAGTGCTCTAGGGTTATTTCAGAACTTCGAAGTAAGACATTCAACTGAATTGGAGGATTTGTAGTAGAGCAGTGGTACAAGTAGTGAAATGAATGACAAGCAACTGACCAAAGTTTGACTTGTCTTGTCACTTGCAACAGAGAAAGAGCTTGAGGGTAGTGGTTTATAGGAGTGCATAACAAGATGCGGACAGTCCCTTGATATACTATATTAGCGGAACTGCCTAAACTGCCCATGAAGTTAACAGTTTGAGCAATGTGTTGCTTTATCCAGTTTTATTGTACATAGTGAGTGAATATCATTTTATAGAATTTTGCTGGATACTCAAACTTTAAATAGAATGACTTTCTTCAGAGTTGCCATTGTTCTGATGCTGTAAGAAATGTGTACAGAAATTGTTTTTTGCATGCATGCACAGCTGATGATGGATGACCACTTTTTTGTATTACAATATTCATTTGGGCCCCACTGAACAGGATAGATGCTTTTTTTGTGTATGAATGAGGATGCATATCCACATCTGGAACCATCAGCTGTTGCATGCAACCTGAACTGTATCAAGGCCCACAAGTTCATAGACAATTTTCTCTACCAAAGCAGAACTCAAGACTGCTCTCTCAAGACGGAATGCACAATTTTTACTACTTTTTGTTTCTTTGCAGAATTGATATTCATCGTAAAGAAAATGCAGGGGCTGCTGAAAAACCAATTACGATCCATTCTACTCCAGAAGGGTGCTCAACCGCTTGTAAAATTATCATGGAGATAATGCAGAAGGAAGCGCAAGATACTAAATTGTGAGTAAAGAATGCTTTTATTAAGAGGTCATTGGGTTTTTTAATAGTCCATCTGAAGTAGATAATTGACAGTTTGTAAGAATGGAACTGAAAAGTGAACCCATAGGAATGTCAGGTCTTGATCCTTGTACTATGTTTATGTGTAATATAATTATAAAATAGCAGAAGACAACTGGTGAGCAATTCTGAAGCAGAAAAGTAAGAGATTTTTGTTTGTTACACCTTTCAGCACCTTTTTGTGCAATTAAAAGAAAATGTAAGAGGATGGGTGGTTGGTTGCTTTTCAGATAAATTCCTGACATTTGATGGTTAGGAATGATACTCCTGAACCAGGCATACAGGCTTCCATAGTGAGCTATTCCCAGGCCACCTAGCAAAGGTTAGGTAAATAATGTCTGAAAAGCCAGATAACTAGTAGCAGAAGTAATTGTTATGGTATTCAAACCTAACATGCAGCAAATGAAAGACAAATATCCTTTGTAAAAGAAACCTATGGGAGAAGGGCAACCTTCTCTCTTCCCACACTTCATGCCTGTTTTTCTTCACTTGTAAGCTGGAAGAGGGGAATACACCTGAGTTCTTGCTTAAGCTCTGTTGTATCAAGTTGAAACTAAAGCAGCAAATGCCTTACAGCTGTTGACAAACTCATTCTCCTCTTCCTCTCACCCCACCCTCAAGCTGGTGTCCAAGAATGCCTGTGGCTGTTGGGTAGAAAAGAAGACTGAGCTTTCTTTGGTAACTGAGAATACATGAAGTGTAACAGATGCAGCCTGCTCTGTTTTCTACCCAGAGATGGAAGGAATCTGCGTCTAATAAGTGTGAAGGAATCCCGCTCAAGGGTCATGGAAATGGCAGAAAAGTTCCTTCTGCAAAACAGCCTTTTCCATTAGTTATTCCTATGGATTAAGCAGAACAATTAATTACACTTGAGGAAATCAAGCAGGTTTTTTCTTGACTTAGAGGAATTTATCATGACAGTTTAAGAGTCTCCTGATTACATGGTTAACTGTCTGAGCCCTGAGTCATTGGAGAATGACTCAACTTTTTGATTTGTTACTGATAGTGAATTATGTGACTCTTGAGTTCATGCAATTCTCTGGACTGCTTACAGTACAGAAGAAATTCCCTTGAAGATACTAGCACATAACAATTTTGTTGGCCGCCTCATTGGCAAAGAAGGAAGGAATTTGAAGAAAATCGAGCAGGACACAGACACTAAGATCACAATATCCCCGTAAGTATTCAATTCTTGTGAAATGGTATATCTTAGTTTTTTAAAAGTGCTATCACTTTTTAAGAGCTTCCTCCCCAAGTTTCAGCCACAGCTAATACAAATTAACAGATGCATAAATCAACACCCAAATCCACTTTTTACTGAGAATAGGATGAAACCTTTTCTAGGAAGCCATATGATGAGCTGGCAACTTTAAATGGTGTTTTTATCAGAATTAGTTTAATGACCAGTGAGGTTTCCTGAAAGCTAGTGTCCCTGTGTTGAAAGCATTGCTAATTCCAGTAAATATATTTGGCTGTGCATAGAAATTACTTACTAGTTGTCTTCAGTATGTTACGTCCTTTTGTGTGTGTTTTTATAGTAATTTTTATTTGCGTGTTTTACATATTTTGCATGTTAAGTCCTTTGGGTTCCCTTGTCTACAAATACTATCATAAAAAATATTTATTAAGGCACAACCACCACCTCCCCCAATTTGCCCCATGGCACTGATCCAGAGAGCATCAGGTTGACCTGACTTGGGAACCACCACCCCAGATCTAGTCCTAAATAAGTTTGGGGCCAGGGCCACTGTTTAAATAGGGTTTCAAAACTTGTGGTCTGTCTTAATAAAGGTGTTTAAGAGTCTTGGAATTCCCAGGAATGGTACAAGAGCCCCAACAGGGATCGGATCTATTGAGACCCAAAGGGGCAATAGTAGTATCCCCTGGGGAGAAGGTTATACAATGAAATCTTACTGACCGTTGGAAGTTATCCATGGGCCTTCTAAACATCCTTCTCCACGGACTGGTTCTTTTGACACTAGGCAGCTACTAAAATATGAATAAGGAGTATCTTCAGTTTTGCAAGATGGGGGTCCCTTTTTCTGCATTGCTTACTGTCCACAGACTTCTTTCATGGAGGTTGCACCTGACACACTCACCCATATGCCCATTGTCCTTGGAAGCTGACAATCCTCAAAAGTTTTGTTCCAGGCTGCAGTGACTTTGGCTCAAAGAATCCCAGCCTCTTGTCAATTCTGCAAGATCTTTGTGTTTTCTACATAGACAGATCTGCCTGCCATTCATGTAGGATATTCTGTGTTTCTCAATAGGTTTGTGTCTCCTGCTTTTATCCCAGTCCTTAGGAGAACAGTTCACATGTTTTGCATGCTTGTAGAGTGATCTGGATCTGGTGCCTTTACTTGGATCCTCCTTGGAAAGAGAACAGAATACCTTCAGAAGACAGCCTGATGACTCATCTTAGCTTATTGTTTTTGTGAAACGTTTCCCAGTGACTGCTAGGGACTTTTGGTTTGCTGCTCTATTTCCTTGACTGCGGTACCACCTGGAGCTCAAGCCAGCCTTCCTCAAGAGTCTTTGGGGAAGAACACTTCTTTTGTCCCCACTGTTGTTTCCACATTTTTCTCCTTTTTGGAGATGCTAGTTGATACAAGAAACATTTTCATAGGACTTCTTGTCTCTGGAGAGAAGTAGCACTGTTCAGTGAGTCCAGTCCTCCATTCTAGTGTCTTGAAAGGTTGCTGTAATTGCTTTAAAGCCCTGCTTCTGTGGAGGTCAGGCAATAATGCATTTTGACCATTGCATCAGCAAATACGAGCAACTACCAATCCTTACTCTTTTCGGGCAGGGTTTTTCCTACTCTGTTGGAAACTTAAAGCTTTTGCTTTACGGCAGTGATGGCCAAACTTGGCCCTCCAGCTGTTTTGGGACTACAACTCCCATCATCCCTAGCTAACAGGACCAGTGGTCAGGGATGATGGGAATTACGCTTTATGGGAAATACCCCAAAAAAGTTTACCAGATCACATCCTATAAATTTATTGTAATGTTCTGCTGTAGTTGAAATATCCCTTGGATCAGTTCTGTTTTAATAATTGACAATACGCGAGATTCTGCTTGCTGGATTCCCAGTGAGGCATCTAGTCAGCCACTGTGAGAACAGGAGGCTGGACTGGGTGGGCTCTTTTCAGGCAAAGCCCTGGTCGGTGCAGGAGGGAGCCAGACCCCAGAGGCCAGGACAGGGCCGGATTGAGGTTGGATGAGGCCCTCAGCTCCTGAAGTTAATTGAAACTAATAAAAAGAAGTTAAAGGACTTCCGGCGAGGCAGCATGGCGGCTGCAACAGCAGAAAAGAGCTCCTGAAGCCAGCCAGAGTAAAAGGCTCTGTCTGGCCGACTCCCGGGCTCCCAGGACTGCTGCCGCCAGCACCGCCAGCGGAGAGGAATCGGGGGTGCCCGGGCATCTATCAAAGGAGGCAAAACACACACACCCCACGACTGAGATTGAGCCGGAAAGGCACCCGACCACCCCCCCAACAGCCGAGAGGAGCTCCAAAACCAGGAGGACAGTGGAGCTAACGCAAAGAGGGAGAAAGAAAGGGGGAGAGAGGAAGAAAAAGAAAGAAAGAAAAAGGAGCCCCAAATTTACCGCTGCTGCCCCCATCTCTGCCGACGGGAAAGCAGAGGAGAGGTAGGTGAGCACGGCAAGGCAAAAAAGGCTCCGGAAAAAAACACGTGGCTGAGCGTGCAAGGGAAACTCAGAGAAGCCGCATAACAAAGGAGATCACAGAAAGGAAGAAACTACCTTTCCCCCCCCCTTTCTTTTTTTTTAACCCCCTTTTTTTAACCCCTTCCTCCCCCTCCCTCCCCCTTTAAAAAAAATATATATCTTTTTTATCCCTCCCCCCCCCATATACCTACTTTTATCGCATTTCTTTTTAAAAGAGGGGCCACGGCTGCTGCAGCCACCCTTTATGTGAATCTTTATTTTTATTTCTATCTTTTCTACACACTATTTAAAGACACACTTTTCCACACACACACCCTCAATTTAAACCTCATTTTATTTCCACCTCAAACTCCCCTCTTAAGAATTAAAATGGCAGTACCCAGAAAACAGCCCTGAACCATCACAGGCCATTTCCTGGGACTGCCACTTCGCCCCAGACTTTCCACTCTCTTTTACCTATCCTCTTTTACCTATACTTTACTCATTTTTTAAAAAAATAAAAATAAAATAAAAAGCTCTATCTATCTATCTATCTATCTAAAGAACCCCCCCTTTTTTTTACCTTTAATTCTCATTTTTATCTTTTACCCGTACATTTTTAATTACTTTTTTACAAACAAAAAATAATAACAATAATTAGGGGGAAATATTATTATTATTATTATTATTATTTTAAAAAAAACCATACAATTATTTTTTCCCCCTCTTTCTCTTTTTAAAGCCCTTTCTTTTCTATTTGTTGGCTTGTTCTTGAGGGGGGAATCTTTTGCCCCCAGCTACGACCACCACTCTCTTTTAAAACAAAAATTTCCTCCATATCACTGCTATTGCTATTGATACTCTCCCCTTCAACTTCCCCCCTTTTTTATTTTTCTCTCCCGTTTTGCTCTCCCCTCTCTCTCTTCACCCCTCCTCATTTTTTCCTTTTATCCCACCTTTCATTTTCCATCCCCAATTTTGTTTTCTATCCCTTTTATTTTTTAAAATCAACCCCCCCTTTTAGCCTGTTCGTCAGTTTGTTTTTGAGAGGGGAGCCCTTCCCCCCCCCACTCCCTCTTTTAAAATAAGACTTTCCCCCATACCATTACAGCAGCTCACCCTCCCTCCCTCCCCTCTCCCCCTCTCTTTTCTTCTCCTTCCTTTTCCCACCCTTCCCCCTCCTCCTCTCCTTTTCTCTCCCTCCTCCCTCTCTCCATCCCCCCCTTCCCCTAAAGGAAACACATACACACATTCATATCACCCTATCATAATTTGCCCCCCTCATACTATAGCTAAAACTACTGCTGCATTCTAATACCGCTGATATTACTGTACTATCTCTCCTCTCTCTTTCAACTCTCTTTTTGTCTCTCTCTCTCTCTTCTCTTTTACTCCAATCTCCCCTCTCCCCTTCTTCTTTCTTTCTTCTTCTTCTTCCCTTTTTTTCTCCCTCCACCCTTTACATATAGCCTATTTGTCTGTCTCTGTTTCTGAGCGCACTCCCAACCCCAACTTCCACCTTAACTGGACCCCAATACCCCTTTTGGGCATATACAACCCCTCCTAAACACATATTTCCCCGGCCCCACCCCTCTAATCTCTTGCATCTCTACCTGCTAACCCCCCTCCCTTTATATGAACTGTCTGTCCGTTAGTCTACCCATCTCTGCTTACCTGCCCCCCCCCCCGCCTCGGCGGCACCGCTGAGACATCTACAAAAGCCCTAGAGAAGTTCTTAAAACACAGGCTAGAAGTGACACAAATGACCACCTAATCCAAACGCTCTGTAAAAGCCACCAGCCAACAAAGCCTGATCAGCTCAGCATCCCAACAATACCCAGGAATCACCACTGCCACAACTCCTAACCACCACACGCCCCACCCCAAGAGGACGCCAAGCCAACCTCAAACCAAAACCATTAGGGAGACCGAGAAGACACCAACCAGGGAGATGGCAAACAATGCTAAGATGGTAACTCCCCTTCAAGATGATGACCACCCAATAACGAAACGAGATCTGAGGGAAATGGAAGCAAGATTAGAAGCACGATTAGAAGAAACACTGAAGGCCACAATGGCTCCCATGCAGGTACTAATCAACAATCTAACCTCCAAAGTGGAAGCTCTAGAGAACAAGAACCAAATGCAAGAAAGAATAATAGAGCAATACCGGGAGGAGAACGCACGTGTGAACAAGAAACTGGACGAACTGGTAAACCAAATGGAAGCAGAACACAGAGAGATGAAAATTAAGCAAGCCGACCTTGAAGACCGCAATAGACGTTGTAACATCCGCTTCCGCAACTTTCCTGAAAAACAGAGGAGAAAAGCCCAGCAGACCTAATTATACGCTGGCTGAAAAACACAATCCCAAGCCTGAAACTTGAGGCAGATGACTTGGAGAGGGCTCACAGAGCCCTAAAACCTATGCCAAAACCCAGCGCCCCCCCAAGAGACATCATTGTATGCTTCACACGCTACAAAAGAAGGAAGAGGTATGGAACCACCTCAAAAACTCAACCAACCTTCGATATGGAGAAACCCCCATTCTGGCCTTACAGGACCTATCTCAGGATACCCTAAACCGGAGGAAAAGCCTGCGCCCATGCACCCAGCGTCTCCAACAAGCAGGGATCAAATACCGATGGGGCTTCCCTTCCGCCTCATTGTAACAACCAATACAACACAACACATGGCTACCAACATACCTGAGGCCCTGCAAATACTAAAGAACCTTGAACTCGACCTCCCACCGGAATGGCAACCGACAAACCCACCAAGTGACAGCCCCAACCACGAGGAAACAACAGCAAACAACTGGACAACGGTACAGAAGAAAAAGAAACAACAGAAGTGGCACAACAACGCAAACCAATACAGGCAAGCATCATGCTCAGAACCGTCCCGCCGGCCATACGACACAAGAAACCAGACCAAGATTAACCAAACCAATTCATCGCAGATGGACAACCCTACAACAACAACAACCCCAGCTGAATGAAGCAACCAGGAAAAAACCACAAACTGAAGGACTGGTGATTTCCCTCCCCTTTCCCCCTCTCTCCCCCCCCCCCAAAACATAGATTTAGTTAACACCATCAACATCCCCCCCAGCCCCGCACCCCCACAGGAATCCTCACCCCAACACCTGTCCAGACGACCTCAACCACATTCCCCATCACCCACACCTTCAACACCCCCATACTCCATACTAGGGAAAAACAACTCCTCCAACCTTAATAACACAACCCACAATCAGGCTAAAATCTGATACCCAACCAGCACTATGGTGGCACCAGAGCGTACCAGCACCCACATCCCCACCCCAACACACCAACAATGTTGCTCATAACATTGGCAACATTGCTTATGAACCTTATACCTGACAGCGACGTTACAAAGTCACTTCACACTGTCTCACTGATCACCCCCTATCGCAAACAACAGGGGGGATGGCCTGTCCTTGAACACGGCCTTCCACACCAGCTGAGACCTAGGACCAACTGGCTAAATGCCAGATGGCCTAAAATACCCCAAACAAACACCTATATGACTACATATAGGAAACTCTCTACAACTTACCCCCTACTCTTTAACCCAAATCTTACTCTAATCCCATTAGCCCCCCACCCACCACACCCTAGGTCAGCGCAACCCCACTGGTTCTTTAAACAACACGAAGAGAGAGACACAAGACAACCCGAACGGGTTGGCAGGGATCGCCCCACATAATAGATAAGCAAGATGGCTAACCTAAAAGCAATTACATTAAACGTGAGGGGGCTGGGAAACCCCATCAAAAGAAAACGCATCACCTCATACATAAACACCATGAAACCACACATCACCTTCCTACAAGAAATACACAACCCACCCAAAGGCAGCAAACTCCTGAGCGACCCCTGCTTCAGTCAACAGTGGGTCGCACAAGGCTCAGGGAAAGCTCGTGGTGTAGCCATAATACTCAGTAGAGACCTGAACTTCACTGCCACAACAGTCCTCAAGGACAAAAAGGCAGATTCATTTTCGCTAAAGGGACACTAGATGGCAAAATCAAACTGACAATCGGCTCCATATATGCCCCAAACACGAAACAATTAGAATTCTTCCAGAAGACACTAAACAAATTCCTCTCCTTCTCTGAAGGGGAAGCAATCCTAGGAGGGGACCTCAATCTAAATATGAAAGGTATATCCCTGAAAGATATCCACCCCACAACCCCATGGGCAACCTTCCTCCGAAGGAAACCCCCAACAACCAGGAACTCTTACAAGTTACTAAAAATGCTAAAAAAACGGGTCTCTACGACATTTGGGGTGAGCAAAACCCGGGAGACATCAGCCATACATTCCAATCGGGACGCCATGATACAGTGTCCAGACTGGACAGCATTCTACTCACACAGGGTCTGATCCCCTCAGTAGAATCAACAAACATAGGTAACATTAAAATCACAGACCACGCCCCAGTAGAAGTCATTGTTAAAATAGGAGAAGGAACACAAACCACCCCATCATGGTCCTTCAGTCCCATCCTAACTACAAACAAACAAATTAGAGAGAGTCTCACAAAAACCCTCCAAAACTACTTCAAAGAAAACGATGTAAACAATATAACAACCCCCCTCCTATGGGACGCAATGAAAGCGGTCACCAGAGGAGCTTGCATAAAAGAGAAAACATTCCTTAAAAAACAAACCTCCTCAAAAATTAGCAAAATAGAACAAGACATCACAGCCCTCTCATCACGCTACAAACAAACAGGATCTAAAAAACTCCTCAAACTTATAGAACGAAAAGGAGAGAACTAGACTCCCTAGAAATTAACAAAACAATGATCAACATTCTATACTCTAAACAACGTTTCTACGAATATGGAGGAAAAACTCCAGATTACTAGCAAATAGATGTAGGAAAAAAGCACTCAAAACAAGAATACACTGCATCACCAAAAAGACGGCAACATAACATTCTCCCCGAAGAAATAACCTCAGAATTTGCAGAATTCTACTCCAACCTATACACCTCCCATAACCCACCAGAGAAGGAAATCAGAACATTTCTAGCAGGACTGACCATGCCTACCCTAACTGATGAGGAACAGGAATTCATGGACAGCCCTATCACCCCAGAGGAAATAGATGCGGTCCTCAAAAACCTGAAACCACACAAAGCCCCAGGCCCAGATGGCTTCACAGCAGAATTCTATAAGAAATTCAAAGAACCCTTGATGCCCTACATGACCCGCCTATTCAACGACATCATAAAAGGGGGCCCCATCCCCAAAACCTGGACCCACTCCAAAATAGTCTCCATCCCAAAACCACTAAAAGACAGCCTCAAAGTAGAATCATACCGCCCAATCTCATTAATAAACCAAGACTACAAGATATTCACATCAATCTTGGCCAACCGCCTAAAAATCTTCCTACACAAGTTAATAGCCCCAGACCAGACTGGCTTTGTCCCTGGCCGCAATATAACAGACCCCATCAGGAAACTACTGAACCTGATCGAACACAGCAAGGCAACCAAACTCCCATTGACAATTATGTCCCTAGACATCCTCAAAGCCTTTGATTGCTTGGAGTGGAAATACATATTAGCAGTACTAACTAACATGAAATTTGGCCCCAACTTCCTACAAATCCTCAAACAAATATACTCCCAAGCCTCAGCAAAATGCAGAACTAACAATATGGATTCTAACACTATAGCTATCCAAAGAGGCACGAAACAAGGATGCCCACTGTCTCCCTTCTTATTTATCCTGGCTCTGGAACCCCTAGCAATCCGCATCCGAGCAGCCACAGACATCAAGGGAGTGGAAATAAAAGGCAGAACCTATAAATTAGGGCTCTTTGCAGATGACCTAATGGTCACAACACCAGACCCCATAAGCACAGCAACCTCCCTAATCAGAGAACTCAACACATTTGCAATGGTGTCGGGCCTACAGGTAAATTTTACAAAGTCAGAAGCTATGTGCTTCAACACCCCTCCTCACACCCAAAAAGAACTCACGAAGGTCACCAAAATAAAACTTTGCCACACCAAGTTCAGATACCTAGGGGTACAAATAACCAGAAACCTCAATAAATTGTACCTCCACAACTACAAGCCCCTGTGGCGACAAATTAACAAAGACCTAAAGAGATGGAATAACATGAACTTCACTCTCTCAGACAAAATAGCCATGATCAAAATGATCACACTCCCAAAACTAACCTACCTATTCCAAACCCTCCCAATCTGGATCCCCTCAACCCAACTTCGCAGTTGGCAGAGAAAACTACACTCTTTCATCTTCTCACATAAAAACCAAGAATAAGCCCCAAATACCTGCACCTCCCCACCTCAGAAGGAGGATGGGGAATCCCCAACATAGAAGCATATTACAATGCCAACCAAATACGCCACATAATCCCATATATACTAGAAGATGAGACAAAACAATGGGTACACCTAGAGAGGGACACAATTGAAAACACCTGCACCACAACATACCCACTCCTCCCAAACAAACTAAAGAAAATTCCCACAACACTTAACAGGTACACACAGACCATGCTCAAAGCATGGAAAACACAAATAGGCAAACTATCCCCAACCCCATCCCCACTAATCCCCCTGGCGTACCACCCATTATTCCACCATGCAGCACAAAACCTCAAGATAAAAACCTGGCGAACCAAAGGCTTATATCGCCTAATAGACTTTTATAAAAATAACAAACCCTTGTCAACACAAGAAATACAAGACAAACTAGAAGACACCCAAATGCCCTGGTTAACACAACACCAACTACATGCCCTCTTAAACAACCCAACAGTAAAATCAGCAGCAACTAGGCCCCTGACAACCTTCGAAAACCTCCTCCTAACAACAAAGGGAAACGGTAAAGGGACGGTATCCGCAATATACAAAATACTACTCCATAATCCCGCAAATCCCATACACCCAATCAAAAAACAATGGGAGAATGACATAGGCTATGACATTAACCACACTCAATGGACCAGAATGTGGTCTAAACCCCCCATTAAATCCATATCAACGAAAAGAAAAGAACTCACACTGAAACTCACCTACAGGTGGTACCTAACACCAAGGAAACTAGCGCTAATACACCCAGGAACCTCACCAAAATGCTGGAGAGGGTGCACCTCCACAGGCACATACCTCCACATGTGGTGGGAGTGTCCCAAAATCCAACTATTCTGGACAACAGCCATACAAGAAATATGTAAAATAACTAAGCAAGTAATAGACATCACCCCAGAATTGGCCCTACTAAACATCTTCCAAGACAACAATGCCCATTTACACCACAAAGAACTCATAACCCACCTGCTCTCAGCAGCCAGAAACACCATAACCAGACACTGGAGAGACCTGTCAGGAGTAAGCATGGACCAATGGTACCAAATAGTATGGGAAACAGCCCTACTAGAAAAATTAACTAATAAACTGAAACTGACACGGGGACAAACAGAAGAAGACGCCTTCACTCCGGTATGGCTCCCCTTTATCACATACACAGCCCAACAGGACAATGACAATAATCCACCAACAGCATACAAATCAATATGGCTAACCTGATCCAAAACACCCACCCACCTCACTCACACATGAAAAGAAAGATCACCACAGCCAATCACAAGCAAACAATCACACCCTAGGCCAACCCCAACCTCTCTCACCACCAAAGGAACACAAGTGAACAACACAAGCAACGCTAACACCAAACTCTACATACATTAAACATAATAGAAACACCGCCACCCGACCCCACCCCATCCATCTTCCCTCTCTCCACCCCCCTGTCTTTTTCTTTTTTTTTTCTTCTCCCCCTAATGCCTCAACAAATGAAACGGATTTGTAAAAATGTTACATGGAAAAAAAAAATACGAGGCACTACACTTCTGTAAAACAAGAAAATCCTTAATAAAATATTTTTAAAAAATTAAAAAATTGACAATACACTTGGGAAAATGGGGTGCCAGGTGATTTGGAGCCTTTTGCTTTATAGGACAGGAAAGGTAATTTTATCTTGGTGTCTTGCGGTCGAAGATTGTTAACAAATGTTTATAAATTAGATACATTTCATTTCTGTCTGAACTATATATGTTTTGTTGGATTTTTGTTGTTGTTTGCCAAGTTTATGACTGGTAGCAATACAAATGAAATGAACTGTGAAGTCCTTTTCATCTGTAGCAAATTGAATTCAACACATATATCTTAAACAAAAATGCAAATCATTGTGCAACACTAAGACACAAATCACAACAAATTATGTTGTGTGTTTGATGTACTAGTATGCAACAATGTGTTCTTCGCTAAACAGTAAATGATTTGAGAAGTGATTGTCATTTAGCATACATATGGGTATCTTTAAACTAGCAAAGACTAAAAGCTCGGACTCCTCCTTCGCCTCCTGGGGCTAGAAGGATTCTTGGCTCTGCTATTTCTCTTTGGCTAGCTGGACTCCACCTTATGGTCAAGGCAGGAACAAACACTTTGGAAGTAGGTTGATGCTGCCATGATGCTGTGATTTGCTTCCTGCCTCCATTGAATTCAGTCATGGTTGCTGTTGCCTCATGTATGCTCTCCTCGGACTAGTTATTCTCAACGTAATTTCTGTCTTGTGCCTCCATCGTTTCAACTTGTGTTTTCTTCCTCTGTCTGCCTCAACTTTGAGTGTGATGTGTGTGTAATAGTGCTATACTTTTATTCCTGGTGTCCACCCACCATTTTAGTGCCCATTTCCACCACCATTTTGTTGCATCTGCCATTTCATTTCCACCCCCTCGAAACAAAAATACACGCTTTCATCCTCCTTTCAACCATTTAACTGTTATTTAAGTTCTTCTCCATTTTCTTTGGCTGAAATTCAAGGAAGGGAATAGACAGGAGTGCCTTTTTCAATTGTTTTCTGAGTGGAGATGGGGAAAGTGCCCCTTTAAATCTGAACAGTATATCTGTTTGCAATCCATGGGTGGTTTTTTGTTTGTTTGTTTGTATGTATGTATGTTTTGCCGCCTTATTAGAGACACCTCAGCAGGGCAAATACAGAAAAGTAGGCAGGCAGATTATTCCCATTCGATTGCTGCACAGGAGAAGGCTCCTTCCTTGAGCCATCTAGTTCTGCTTACTTGGCGTGTTGCTCTGGCCAAATGTGGTTCTCGAAGGAGGCTGTGCCTGCTCCAACAACTAGTAGTTTGGTAACACCCAGCTATAATGTCTGAAGGAGGGCTGGCTTGCAGGCAGTCCTGGCCATGGGATCCCACAAGCAACAGTTTCAAGGACTACCTCTCCCTGGGGCTTCAGCAGCTAGGATAATTTGGTTGTGCACATTCCATAGAGTGCATTTCTGAAGTTTTCAAGGTATAATTACTTTCTGTTTCAGCTTTAAATACAAACCATTACATGCATAGCAGTTGACTGCTTTCTGCTTTGTAGATTACAGGACTTGACGCTCTATAATCCAGAAAGGACCATTACAGTTAAAGGCAGTATTGAAACATGTGCCAAGGCTGAGGAAGAAATAATGAAGAAAATCAGGGAGTCGTATGAAAATGATATAGCTGCTATGAATGTAAGTTGATTTCTAATTTGGGGGTTGGGAGGCGGGTAAGTTAGTCATTTATTTGATTTCCTCCCAATAAATATATTGTGTCTTTTTTACTTCAGTGGAGGAAAGCATTCAGGTTGATACCCAACCATCAGCTTCATAGAGAGAGACTGATGCATATGTTTGTCCCTTCAGATGGAAAACCAATCTAGTTCAGTACACACACATCAAACCCATCATCCCTGGCCATTCGCTGCATTTGCTTGGGTTGATGAGTGTCAGAGTCCAACAGTATGGGGCCACCATTTCCCCATCCCTGTTGTAGGGTGCTTCTGGAAAATGTTTCATTACATTTGTTGAACGAATATGAGTTTGTTATTGGCTGTGCTGCATGCATTTTACAGTGATTGCTTAATCTGACTTGCAATACTGCCACAGCACCATAAGGTGCATTTTATTTAAACCTCTTTTTTTGGCTAACACAGTGGTTCATAGAGTCAAAGTACAATTGCTTCTAGCAGAGTAGTGACATCTGCCCTACTTCACGTTGAACATTTAAAAAATGATACAGGATTTTGACACTTGTTGTTTGCCAAGTTGAATGTCTCTGAGTTAAAATGTTTTGAAATTTGAACGAGAGCACGTTATTAAGAGGGAGTGGCTAATCATCTCCTGTATCATTGCAGCTTCAAGCACATTTAATTCCAGGACTAAATCTGAATGCCTTGGGTCTCTTCCCACCTTCTTCTTCAGGGATACCACCTCCCACAGTAGGTGTTGCTTCAGCTGCTGCTGCCTCTTCATATCCTCCATTTGGGGTAATTATATATCTTCCTTTATTGCAAGCACTTGGTTATAGCTCTTCATGTTTTGAATCACTGGTACCTATAGGTGAGAATTGGGCTTATCATTGGATTGTAACAGGGAGCTAGGTTGTACCTCACCATGTGTTCTGATCCAAGATTCCATTGAGCAGTATACAAACAAGAAGGAATGAAAATTATTCCAACAGACATCATATGTAGGTGACTCACCTTTTGTATTTTTGCATAATAAGGGCATGCCCAGCCATGTCCCCCATGGATCAGACATTAGTGTTGAATCCTGAGGTTGGTGTATGTGATTCCTTTCCCTATACATCTTGTTAAGCAAGGCAAATGATACAGGACTGCACATCCCTCTAGTGTGCAGTGTATAAAGTAATGTGTAAATTCAACACAAGAGGGAGTAGTAAGGGGAAGTGAATAACTGAAACACCATTAACAGAATTAGCCAAGTCTTTGGACAGCACTGACACATTTGCATGTTTGGGAAATTGGCAATCTGCCCCTTGTGAATGGGGTTGCATTCCCTCTGAAGGAACAAGTGCATCGCTTTCAGGTACTCCTGGGTACATCTTTCTCACTAGAGGCCTCAGTGTCCTCTTTGGCTAGGAGTGCCTTTTACCAGCTTCATACCACCAGCCTGACCGCTTTAGTCCAGGTGTTGGTAATCTGAAGGCTGGATTACTTTAATGCACTCTATGTGGGGCTGGTTTGTAAGTTCCAGCTGGTGCAGAATGCAACAACCAGATTGCTGATGGGAGCTTCTGGTCAAGAAAATGTGACACAATTGTTAAAACTTCCTGTATTAATTTACAAAGCTCTGATAAACTTAGGACCAGAGTAGCTCAGGGACTGCCAGAACCCTGATATCCCAGCTGGATCACTGAGATCATCTGCAGGAGTGTCAATTGTCTTTCCCCGACTTGGTGAGGTTCATTTGATAATGAGAAACCGAACCTTTAATGTCATCAGCCCAGTCCTGTGAAATACTCTGCCAATAGAGATTCAGCAGATGCCTTCTGTGCCAACTTTCAGACGCCTGCTGAAAACTTTTCTATTCTGTCATGTCTTTGCAGGCAATTAAAAGTATATCCTACCACCGTGGTTTACTGATATTTATTTTTGAGTTGTTTTTAAATTTTACTGTACAGTTTTATGTTTTTACTGTTGTAAACCACTTTTATATAGCTTTATGATATAGTGATATACTAATATTTTTATAAATAACTCATACATGTGATTATAGGCTGCCTTTTAGGGCATAACCATTCCAACCGTCAGCTTACATAATCCAAAATACACTAGAAACAAGAAAATGAAGATATTATAAGAGCAACATATTTATTTATTTTTTAGGCCACAATTGAAATGTTAATGCAACAGCAACATGGATTCTATAATAGAGGAGGGAAGATAAACAATGCAGTGAGAAGCCCTGCATTAGAGCACACTCTAATGTAACAGAAAGGGATGGAACTACTAGTATCATTGGCAGTACAGAGGAGAAGCTAATTGGGGCATTAAGTTTATTCCCCAAAGACATCCTTTCTAAAGTCGCTTTGATGGGAGGACAGCAACCGGCATGGGAAGAGGGCCTGTCCCCTGGGCTGGAAAGGGAGTCTCCAATTTCATACCATAGGAGGCAAAGTCTCAGTGCTCACTCCCAAAACAACTTCTGCCTTTGACATAAGAGGCAGGTTCCAGCTAGACTGTGTTCTAGTGAGCTTGCCAAAAGATGACAGGCACATTTAAGAAAAGAAGAAAACTGGAGCGAGGCAGAAGAGGGAGCCATCTAAAGATGTTGTCTAGAACTATGCAGATAATTTCAGCGTACCTGATTTTGTCCGTTCATGGGAATGAGGGACAAAATAGAAATGTGCCAAAATAGAGGGGGAAATTTTCTAAAGTTTTGAGGTGTTAGGTGTAGCTTGCCCTAGTAATTACTAAGACAAGGGAGGAAGCTTTTTCCCGCCCCCCAGCTTAAAAAAAGTGTTGCGTGTCAACTCCCACCAAACCACATTCCACTTCTGGGTCATGATTCCATGGAAATTCTGGACCTGGAATCCTGGAAGTGGAGTACATCGCAGAGGCTTGGAAGGAGATGGTGTGTGATATTTTCCTTTAAAAGGAGGAGATATAAATGTCCCATCTTGTTTAAATATAAACCATCCCCATCTCAGCCCTAGAAGGTATTTTTAAGGAAAGCCACCACCATCCTGAAAACCTCTGAGAAATGTTAACCCAGAAATCACCCTGGGGGCACAAATGGTCACTCAAAAGAGGGGTGATTTTCAGGACAGTGTTCATGTTGCCACTCAAAATGCTGTGCAGACAAGTATTAACTGTGGCTTAGGCATCTAGAAATTTGCATGTCCTGGAAGGCATCTTAGTCCGCACTGTAATCTCTTCGGAAGCTTTTCTTTTACAATGACAGTCAACATCACATAATATCAAACAAGCTGAGCTATTAATGGGTGGTCTGGGCCTATTGTGATAGTTCTTCTCCCCTGCCCCCAGCAGTTGTCTCGTTTTTGCTCCAGTCCTATTGGCACTCACCATCAGAATTGGCTATTGGAGGAGCTTAGACCAAAGAGTTTCTACTAGTGCATAAGTATGCATATGGCGACATATGACAGGGAAACGTGGTGTTTCATCCAAAGCTTTTATTCCTCCACAGGAACCTTTGGAGCTAACAAATTGTGAAATTGTTTTAGCTATGCTTAACATAACTGATTATTTTATATGTGTTTACTTGCAATATTGTTTGTGCTTCTTTCAATATGTGAATCAGAGCCTACACTAGTGCTCTAAGTTCTGTCACCACCAAGAAGTTTGTGTTTGGTTTTGTTCCCTGGATTTTCTTTGTGTGCTTTGGTTTTCTGTTTTTAAATATAGCTGAAGCATAATACGTCTGCATAATCTGACTTCAGTAAAGATAATGAACTCATTTTATAAGATTACTTCAGGATGTATTGGACATAGTAACTGAGTCCAGAGGGGTATCTCTTACAATAAATGACTGAAAAAACAATTTGTTTCGTGCTACATATGGCTTTTCAATAGAGGTAATAATGGAATCGTGTATTAACAGAAAGATGTCAACCCAATATGTCAGACATTGTAAATCATTGTGTATTAAATAGTAGAACACCTTAATCAACCAGTTATTCTTTATAAATCAGTCCATGGGGTCATGAAGAGTCGGACACGACTAAACGACTAAACAAAACAAAAGATAGACAGATACATAACAATGAAGTTAAAGTCCTTTTTTAATGTTATGGGACTGCTGCCAAGAGAATCCAGGTGCTGCCCGCAAGAGACTTCATTAGTAATAATAAAACATTTTTATTTATACGCCACCCTACTGACAGGGTTGCCCCAGCTACTCTGGGCAGCTTCCAATAAATTTAAACATCGAACAGAGTAAAATATCAGACATTAAAAACTTTGCTATATAGGGCTGCTTTCAGAAGTCTTCTAAAAGTCAGATAGTAGTTTATTTCCTTGACATCTGGTTGTAACCTTAAAGTTTGCCGCTGATCATGTAATGCAAATTTTTTTGCTACATTACTCTTGTGAGTAGTTCTTAAAACACAAAAATCTAGAGTTGCATATTTAGAAACCTGGTGCATTTAATCTTTCAGGTAGAATGCATTTCTTTGTTGTTTGAAAACAGCTACTCAGCCACACAGGGTGGTTGGAAATAAGGCGTATCTGTTTGCTTTCAGTTGGCAACTACAGCTTGATTGCTACCGTTCAGATGGTTCATTGCCTGACCTTTCCCCCCACTTACCTATTCCAGCAACAGCCAGAGTCTGAGACTGTTCATCTGTTCATCCCAGCCTTGGCAGTGGGTGCCATTATTGGCAAGCAGGGGCAACACATCAAACAACTTTCTCGTTTTGCAGGTGCATCTATTAAGGTAATATTAAACTGATCAACTTCGAATATCCCCAATCTTTATAACTGTCAGCAAGTTTCTGCAAGTTTTCTCTGTTCCTGCGTCTACCTTAGACACCCTGCTTTGACTGTAAAGCAGTAAATGGTACTCTCTGCTTCAGAGACAAGATAATTGCAAACATGTTTCTAGAAGTTCTTTGAGGGGTGAAATATAAGCTGTTAAACAAACCTGCCACCTTGGTGGGCTTGACTTTTTGTTCTTTAAGATGGTTTAGACCTTTGGGCCATGTTTTTTAATTGAAGCTTATTTTGCCATAATGTACAGAGCTGAAAATGAGATTTTAGTTAACAAACATGAAAGCAATTTAACTGTTGGGGTTTTCATGTTGCTTCAAATGTTTTTAGTTCAAAATAAGACGAGCGTATAGTTCGCCTGTGAGGTGATTACAGTTTGGAAAATCCACTCTCTAGAATTAAGGCTGCAACCCTTATTACCTGGGTGTAAGCCTTGTTGAAATCAGTGGAGTTTCCTTTTGCATGGGCAAGTATAGGATTGTGCTATAAATACAGTTCATTATCAACAATTCTGAGTCTGCCTTGATGGTTGAGCCAACATAGCAGAGGGTATGTGGGTAGGACTTGCATTCACCTTTCTTGTTTTGAAGTAGGGATAAGAGGTTATTGGTTAGAATTTTTCTCTGTTAATGTTCAAAGGATTTTTTCAGTGATTGTGTCATACAGTGTATCTGACTAGTGATCTTACCTCTTCATACATCATTCTCCCTGTCTCTCTCTCTTCCTGCTCCACCCCCCAGTTCTGCTGGCGCTACTGAAATTTTCCATGATCTCACCTCTCAGCTTTCTCCAGCTCCATTTTCTAGGAAATATAGGCTTAGCCTATAATCACAAATCCATGGATGGAGTAGTAAGATTGACTGACATCAGGAACACATTATTTCCCTTTTTAAAAGCAATCACCAGTGGATTTGTACCCTCATATATGGGTTCACAATTTGTAGGAAAACATTAACACTAATATCCATGCTTAATGTTGCTAGTGCATTTGTACTGGAACAGCAGGATGGTGGTGGTTTTCATTTAAAAACACCACCCTATTATTCATCTCATTGAATAGTGAGGAGAGGGCATCCAAGAAGTTCCTAATCTGTCACTTCTTTTCTAGATTGCACCTGCCGAAGGACCAGATGCAAAGCTGAGAATGGTGATAATCACTGGACCACCAGAGGCACAGTTCAAGGTATAGTGTTCAGCAACTATCTGGCTCTTGTGCTATCTTGACTTTCATTAATTGTTTTAAGACAAAACATGCATAGTCAAGAGAAGGTGAAAATCCTTCTGCCTCGTTGAGTAAGTTGCTTATGTGTGATGTTCCATTTGTTGTTTAGTCGTGTCCAACTCTTCATGACCCCATGGACCAGAGCATGCCAGGCACTCCTGTCTTCCGCTGCCACCTGCAGCTTGGTCAAATTCATGTTCATAGCTTCAAGAACACTGTCCAACCATCTCGTCCTGTTGTCCCCTTCTCCTTGTGCCCTCAATCTTTCCCAACATCAGGGAGTCTACTCTTCTCATGAGGTGGCCAAAGTATTGGAGCCTCAGCTTCAGGATCTGTCCTTCCAGTGAGCACTCAGGGCTGATTTCCATAAGAATTGATAGGTTTGATCTTTTTGCAGTTCATGGGACTCTCAAGAGTCTCCTCCAGCACCATAATTCAAAAGCATCAATCCTTCGGCGATCAGCCTTCTTTATGGTCCAGCTCTCACTTCCATACATCACTAGTGGGAAAACCATAGCTTTAACTATACGGACCTTTGTTGGCAAGGTGATGTCTCTGCTTTTTAAGGTTTGTCATTGCTTTTCTCCCAAGAAGCAGGCGTCTTTTAATTTTGTGGCTGCTGTCACCATCTGCAGTGATCATGGAGCCCAAGAAAGTAAAATCTCTCACTGCCTCCATTTCTTCCCCTTCTATTTGCCAGGAGGTGATGGGACCAGTGGCCATGATCTTAGTTTTTTTGATGTTGAGCTTCAGACCATATTTTGCGCTCTCCTCTTTCACCCTCATTAAAAGGTTCTTTAATTCCTCCTCACTTTCTGCCATCATGTTAAGCATAAAAGCGTATACCTGTTAACATTTTTAAATGTAGGTAGAAGAAACTATGTGGCGACTGTTTTAAATGCAGCCAATCAGCAAAATCATGGTAGTGTTATTTGCAGTCCTCAGTTCAATTTGCTCCTTCGCAGAAACAGTACTTCCATGTCTCTCTGCACTGTGCTTCCATAACTGCAAATTCAATGCTCCTGGTGTGGTTTAGGGGTTTTCTTTTTCTTTCTCCTAATAGTTAGTTCCACCCTCTTCTAGTCACCACCAGAAGCTTGTACATTCTCATCCTGATGTCATTTGTGTCAGGTGCCAAAATGTAAAATGATGGTATGAATTTATCAAAACTGTAATTTAATTATTTTGAACATAATCTTCAGATTTGTTTCTACCATTATGCCTACTGCTGATAACATGGAATTAGAAAGGAAGCATAATCTTTTCTGTAGCTTCATGGGGTTGGTATGTAGGGCTGAATTTAGTGCCAGACTGATTTGATTGGCATATATTTTATTTTAAAGGCCCAAGGAAGAATCTATGGGAAACTTAAGGAAGAAAATTTCTTTGGACCTAAGGAAGAAGTGAAACTTGAAGCTCATATAAAAGTGCCGTCCTATGCTGCTGGTAGAGTTATTGGTAAAGGAGGCAAAACGGCAAGTAGCTGACGAAAAGTTGACTAATAAACCAATTATTTTAAAAAACAACAACCCAACAACCCCAATTTATATTATAAAACATGGTACAGCAGTGCAGTGATTGTACAATTTGTTTTACACAGGTAAACGAGCTTCAGAATTTGACAAGTGCCGAAGTTGTAGTTCCTCGTGACCAGACGCCAGATGAAAATGATCAGGTGGTTGTGAAAATTACTGGCCATTTCTATGCATGCCAGGTACGTGTAAACAGAGGCCTTCAATTTTTTCAGTGATGTACCCCAAAGACAAGAATAGAAATGTAGTTATAAATGAGCTGGCATGAAATTTTCCCTTGAACCCATTGAAATGTCACTGTTATCTTTGTAGTCCTGACAAGAAAACAAGGGGGAAATACTGTTACTAGTTCAACTATCAATAAATACTGGATTATTTTAAATTGTGGGATTCTCTCCCCTTGCTTCCTGCCTTTTGGTGAGCAGCAAAAACTCATTTTTACACATTTACTGTGTAAGTTAATGATTTTTATGTGGCTGGTTTTATATATGTACTGGTATATTTAATTAGCTGTTGAGAGAGAACATTTTAATGGTTTAATCGTTGTAGCAGCATTTTTCAGGGACCAAATGTGCTATCTGCTGTGCACATTTATAATTGCAGTCGTCTTTATTTTGAAGGTATTTACAGTTGCAAATGCATTTGAATAACATAATGGGGGGGGGCAGGGAGAAAGAGATGAGAAAGCAAGCAGTACGAAAGTCAACCTAACATGACAGGTGATGGTTGGAATTTTGTTAACTCTCTGCAGCTTGCCCAGCGAAAAATTCAGGAAATTCTGGCTCAGGTAAGAAGGCAGCAGCAGCAACAAAAGACAGCGCAAAGTGGACAGCCACAGCAGAGACGGAAATAAAGGTTTAGGAAAAGACCCTTCGGAGACAGATGCCAGACCAAAGAGAGAGACTGTAACGGACAGGTTCTGGGCACCTGTTGGAATGATATGCAGATGTTTCACAAAGCCAGTCACTTGTTTGAGGACCAGGCCACAGTTGGCATGCTGTCTCTGAGAATGTATTCTTTAGGCTCTCTTACTTTTGAAACCCAGCTTTAAACTTAAGGACCCCTTCACTTCCCTTTTGTTCTATTCCTCACAGTTTAACATAAACTTGTTAGTCTTCTTTTATTGTTCTTGCTATTTCCCAGCAATTTTAGAACTTGGTTTAATGAAGCTTTCTCTTCTGAGTTCACTGATTTAACAAGAAAAGGCATTGCTCTTCTAGGTCCATTTGTAAAAGAAGAAAAGACCATTGGAGGGTGGGGTTTGGGGGGGAGGGTGGGGTTTGGAACAAGGGCATTGACAACGAGGTTACGTGTTACTCCCAATGTTAACCAAGTGGCATTTCTTTTAAACATTTGGTTGCATTTTTACATAACACTGCCATGTATAAACTAAGGGAAGTGTTCATTGGTGTTGGCCAGGGCATGAAAAGATAAATATGCATTTTACTAAACTACCTCAGGCATTTAATACCTCAAATAAGAAATTCTTCCTTTTTTGCTTCTTCTTTTTTCCTTTTTTTTCTTTTTGGTATTTTGTATACTTTATAAAGCTAATAGTTCTTAAGCATTTTATTTTTTTAAAAAAAGAAAAATTTGATCAGCCAATAGTCAGGAGCACTACAGAGTTTATTGAGCGGGGGAAGGGAAAGAAATATAGTAGATTGCTTCTAACTGCTGGCTGACAGGAGTGAGATGGAAAAATAGAGTCTTTGATTATATCTGAGGGTGTCAACACAATCATTTGGGGTGGGGGTGGGTAGGGAATCAGTGAATGTTCAAACGATACTTAAACAAATGCCAACATTCTGATAGCAGCAATGCCATTATTTTTTCTTTTACGATGGGATGAAAAAGTTTTTGATGGTACTTTTGTTGGGAACAGAACAAGGAAGTGATGGCAAGAGGCTGGGGCTTGGGGGTAAATTTTAGAAGGTCTTTTGGAGACTGGACTTTTTTTTCTTTTTGTACTTGATTGAATGCATGAACCCTTTGTGCCTTTGACCATCACAACCTACCTACTAACGCTACACCTGAACATTTGCAGCCCATTTGTACTTTGCCAGTTCTGTTTCAGAGAGCAAGCTTCATCTTCAGTTTGGTAGGATTCTTCATCTGCTGGAGCAGTTTAGAGGTGTGGATTCTCTGCACTTCCAGCAGATAGCTCCATACCATTTTCAGTTACCATAATATTGGGTGGGGGGAGGAGGAGGAATCGAACGCTGTTTGATCTCATTTAAAGGTATTGAAAGGCTAAGTTTACATATCCAGCCGCTACTAAGGGCCACACTAAGCCACTTCGAAGGTTTTTTTAAAATAAAATTAATAAAAAAAAGAATACAACCTCAGGCTTGGCTAATGAAATAAGATAACAGCAAGATTTATGCACATTCTGCAACTGACCACAAAAAAGGAGGAAGAAAACTTATCAAAAGGCAGGGATCGCAGGAAATTTACCAAATTTATTTTTATTTTTAATTTCAGAATGTAATTTGAATCATGATTGTGGTAATATGCATTCGAGTTTCTACAATAAACTTCAGTCTACCTCAGTTTTAACAATGTGGCAACACATGGTGCATAAAGACTGCTGTGTGCGTACGCGCCTGCCCGTGTACACGAGCCTTGCTATTACCTCGGACCCTTTTGTTTGTGATGTTTCTGTGCATGAGAGGATTGGAACTGCTACGCTGCACTGATTTGAGGGGCACAATTAGCAAAAACAACAAAAAAAGTTTGTTTCACCATTTTGTTGATCTACCTCTTAGATTGATATTAAAATAGAGGCATTTCTTCATAGAATAGATCATTTTCCCAAAGATCGTTGTTGTGCAGGTTAGATAACTTTTGAAAAATGATCTCTCTCTCTTTTTTTTTTACTGGATCTTTTCTTTACTAATTGGTTTAAAAACCACAAATCTTTGTTGTAGTTTAGCAGAAGGGAAAAATGAAAGTTTCTTTTCTATTTTGGACAGTACTTAACCTAATCTTTAGGAGACTTTTCTTACAATGAATTTACAATTACTGAAGAATTGAGAGAAGGTCATAGTGTGAATGTTTGTTGTCTGAATTCAATATCCTTTTCTTAATATTGGGGAAAGATTGACTTGTTTTCCATAACAGTTTTATTTTGCAAAATAAGTGCTGCATTTACATCTGCTGGTTTAAATATTGTAATTTTTCTTAAACTTCTAGGCTTTAGAATGGTAAAATCATGTCTTTTACTTTCAATTGAGACTTGGTAATTTGGAGTACTTGGAGATAGGTAGGAAGTGATTCTGTAAATGACTTCAGTATTCACAAAAGTATTGATCATTTCTCCTCTGTAATGTGCCCCCAATGCAGCTTCACTTGCCAGATGCCTCTGAATGGAATAAAGAGTTTAACTCCTATTATCAGACATATGTGACTGCTTTTGTGTTCCCTTCTTCCACAACATGGCAGTTAAATGATTTGTTGTTGAAATGAGATCTTAGCCTTATTTTGCAACCTTACAGAGAAGGCACTGGTTGTTCTGTGTTATGGCATCCTTGCCTACCTTGGTTAACACTGAATAACTGCAAGCTTCTGAAATTTGCTTAGGGGATTTGGACTTGAAGAAAGCAGCTTAAACTGCCCATCAACCCAATACTCTCCATGTACAAGACCTTCAATATAAGCTTAAAACTTAGCAGTCGTAAGATAATGGGGATGAGTCCTCTTCCAGTGGCCTATGACAAGAAGGAACTGATTTTTAATGGCCAATGAGATGCAGTATAATGGTGCACATGGAGACAGCTGCAATTTACTTGCATGCATAGGGTTTCTGCAGTCATCAGTGTGCTGTGGGGCAGTAAAAAGAACAAACGCCAAATTTATATGCTAAGTGCCACTGTTCAAATAAGTGTCAAGCATCAGAATGCAATTATATAGACCAATAGCATGTCAACATCTAGAAGACAATGGTAGTTCTATCCCAATGTAAACTTGTTTCATACCATGTGCCACCTCATTAACAAGATATAAAGTAAGGCTGTCAAATGCTTGCTTGCTTTTAACTCTCTCCTAATGTTACATTTCTCTGAAAGATAATTTACAGCACACCTTGCACTTCCTTGAAAGTAGTGTGTAAAGTATCCAATGCAGGGACAACTTGCACTTAGCCGACAGCAGCAATGGTGTAGAAATGAAAAACAAAATCCCCAGTCCAATGGTAGAAATCAGAGGGGGGAGAGAACAGGACCCATTCTCTCATGACAAAGTAAAATATTTCAAAGCATTAAATTGATGTATTTCAAATGTTTAATGAACAGAAACATGCAAACCAGTAATGAGAGGACAGAACTATTGCAATATGGCTGCATGTTGCTGCATACTGGTTTTTGAGTTAGTGATCCTTTAAAAAGCTAGAATGGAGAATGACACCCACCCACCCAAATGCCACTTTAGGGTCCGCACTCTATAGTCTAAGGGTCCACACTCTTGGGTAGTGGTGGCTACCTAAGGACCACTTCCAAGTGTTGCCTTAACCCTCCATGGGTTACATGCCAGTGGTACACATTGCCAAATACACATTTACGCATGCAAATACAGGTGTTGGGGTGGGGTGGGGGAGTCCTAGCCATCATAGTGCTGAGATGGAAGGAAAGGTTACATTGGGTGCAAGCTTTAGTTGTCAAGAACTCAACTTCCATTTTAAAGTTCCAATTGCCTTATGAGCGCTTTTTCTTGTGACAGTTATTTCACTTGCATGCAATAATAGTGGTGTTCAAAAACCATTTCTTTTGACTGTTTTAATGAAATTAATGTTTGCCACATTTTTCTAGAACAGAATGGAGGACTTCACCAGTGTGCCTGGAAGTTAGTTCTTCTGTGCAGAGAAAGCAATAAATCTAAGTTGTATTTGTAGCAACTTTGTGACATTAGATCAGTTCATTCTTCCTTCCTGCCATAGATGAAATGAAGGAAGGTTTTATTGCTCAAAACCGGTTGTCTGCTCTTTCAAACAAGCCTTTATTCATCATGAATTTAAATTCACTATCCTAGAATGTTTTCTTCCAAGTTACCTTTAATTTGTTTCATCTATTGTATATACTGCTTATATTCAAAATATAGAAGCATTTATGCTTTCTTGAATTTCCCACATTTCCATTTAAAGTGATGGCAGAGGAGGAAACTAGCCCTTATGTTAGTCTGAAAGCCTGTACTCATACTGGCTACGACAGGCATCCCCAACCTGCGGCCCTCTATATGTTTTGGCATACAACTCCCATGATCCCTAGCTAACAGGACCAGTGGTCAGGGATGTTGGGAATTGTAGTCAAAAACATCTGGAGGGCCAAAGGTTGGGGATGCCTGGGCTAGGATAATCACACTTGGGCCACTAGCCATCTAGCACACAACAACCTTTCTGCCTAAATTAGTTGGCTTGACCTTTGAGTTCCCTAAACTTGGGTTTGTCGTAGTACTTCCAACATTCATGTTGAGACAGTTCCGTTAGACATGGCTCACTTTTGTGGTTTGTGTAACAACAAGGCGACACTCGTACAGCTCTGGGTGGCTGTTGAATGGGATGGCGGCGGTTGGTGAGTAGGACAACTCAAAGCAGTTCTGTTGTTGCGGACAGATGGCTACGTGGTAGTAGGCCTACTGAGCTTTCTAAACTCTGCTGGGCCTATTAGAATGGTCTGCACCAAAATCCAAATGGCCCTTGTGGCTGCTCCCGTTTGCTCTTATAAACCTCTGGAAAAGGAAAATGGATCAGCCAACCATTACCCCCAAGCTGATGTTATAGGAGCACCTATAGCAGGCATAGGCAAACTCAGTCCTCCATATGTTTTGGGACTACAACTCCCATCACCCCTATCTAACAGGACCAGTAGTCAGGGATGATGGGAATTGCCGTCTCAAAACATCTGGAGGGCCAAGTTTGCCGATGCCTGACCTATAGCAATAGGCAACATGTGCCCAGGTTAATGAATAAAACTCAGAAACCATTTTAGAATGAATGTATTCCTTCCACTTTGGGCTAAATTACTAACCAAAATACCTTTCAGACAGACTTTCACCTGTTGCCAATAATGTAGTACTGCAACCAACTTTTGTTCCACCAGCAGCTACTGGTAAGAAAGACCCAGATTCGGGGGTGGGGTGGGGAATTATGACTAGGCTCTCAGAAGTCAATCTCTGGTTTATACCCACAACATATGCTTTTTGCAATACATAAACCAAGTTTCCTTTTTTATATGCCACGAATTCACTTGAGGAGTATTCTGTATGATTCTGTTTGCCACCAAGGTCTCCGATTGAGGCTTCTGTCCTCTCTTCCTGCTGCATTTCCCAAGAACTGACACCCAAGTCTCAGCTGTGCGGTGTATTTCATGCAGACCTGTTCTTTCCCCTACTTGGGAGGCCAATCACTGCTGTTCAGGAGTTAACCCAATTATGAAATCGTCAGGCAAGGATTCTGGCAGTATCTGTGCCAACTGATCATCGTAAGATCGGAGCGTCCACAGCTTTTCCAGTTCATAGATTTCGCGTGTCTCTGGCAACATGAAATGGATCACAATATTACCTGTGAGAATGAGAAGTGTCACAGTAAGCAACAGTGAATTTGGTCTATACGGTTGTCCTACAGATAAGTGTGTTTTGAGTTGGACATACCCCCACTAAAACTTCTAATCAACCCACCAGCTAAGCATCTCACAGGCTCGCTGTAATTGGGGGTGAACTGATGTTAGCACTCCCTTTTCCCTGCCCTTTTTTGCACACGAGAAGAGCAATGTAAAGGCTTCCACTTAACCAAATCACAATTTCCTGTTACATGTAAACTCGAGAACCATTTTACTTAATTTAAAGCAGTTTAGTCCATAAGCTAAGAGGAAACTTATTGTCAAAAGTGGCAGCTATTGGTATTCCTCCCCCAGTTACTTGCTTGCTCATCCCTGCTCCCATGGACCTGGTTGGTGGTTGTAATGAACAAATCCAGCAGGTTATTGTCAACGGCCCCTCTGCAAGCATGTGAGCCCTTGGCAGGTGCCTGACCATGCCAGCTCTCAACACTGGCCTGCTTCCAGTCTATGAACACACAAGGACTGGTGGAATGGGAAGAGGGGAGTGTAAGAACCTGAAGCCTGCCACAGCTTCCTCTTCCTCTACAGTTCCAAACTATAGTTTAAAATTGAATCAAGCCACCCACTTTCATTTCCCCTTAAATAAGGGCAGGAAACAGACTTTTCCCTCCTACTGAAAAGGCATTTTAATGCTTTAATTCTCATTAAAGTAAACCAATTTATTTCTGATCTTCAGGGGAAGTTATCATGCTTACGTAGTATGTCTGTGGCAATGCAGCTTGGAAGGAAATGTAGAAGAAAAGTGAATACTACTGGGCACTGAGCTGAAACAACGTTTTCAGCCCCACATTGGCAGCTGGGTTGAGAGCGTAGTATACAACAATCCTGCAATGTAGTTCACTGCTACAGCACCAGAATTTAAGTTCTTGGAATCCAAGCCAGAACAACTTGCCAAACTGGCACATGCCTTCTTTAGGGCTAGAAAGCAGGATATGAATACCTGTGTTAACAAATTATGCACCACTGCACAATTATGCAAGAACATGCACCACTGTATGTTTGGGTGCAAGAAGCCACTTCTATCCAAATGTGTTTTGATAGTTTGTAGTTATACCCAGGACGTTCTCAAGCTCCAGACTGACTCTTCATTACTAGAAACAAAATGATTTACCAAAATCTATGCAAATCCAGTCTTCGCTATCTTTCCCTTCAATTACAACATGGGGGTCCCAGTCTGTCCTCAAATGCTTGTACTGAAACAGAAAACAAGTCAGTGTAAAAAGTCACATTCATGGGCAAGAGATCAGTAGTTATTAAACCCATTAAATGGTTGCTGCCACTCACAAGTGTGTTATGCTATACATCGCCCTCATACAACATTGGCAGTAAATGAAACCTATGTCACAATTCATGTTTTAATAATTGTTTTAATGTTTGATGTTTTACTATGTTTTTATATATGCTGTAAGCCACCTAGAGTGGCTGGGGTAACAATAATAAAAAGTATCATTTATTTTATTTTATTAGGTTATTAGGTTTCTGCCATTTCATTTCATATATTATATTTCACTCTTACAAGTCACAAAGTGGCATACATACAATAAATAATAACATAGTAGAACATCACAGCTGCAACATAAATTACATTAAATAATCAATAAAACAACTACCTTCTACAAAACACTATTAACAAAACATAAAAAATAGATTAAACAGCACAACCACACAAAAAGTCACGTTGTAAAATTTGCAAAGCATTACACAACACTCAATCCACAAAATATTAACAACGTTAACAAGCAAAAACAAAACAAGCACTGCTGAATTCACACACACGCTCGCCGCCCCCATGACCTGAACTGAGCAGAAGACTACATCAAAACACATTCACAGAATGGCCATGGTAGCAACTTCCTTCTGAAAGCTCCGAGCGTTGGAGGATAGGTAAAGACAGGTGGAACAAGCTCTTCACTGGTGGCCACCATAGAGGCCCATTCCTCTCCCAGCTCCTCTGGAAACTGCTCCCTTATGAAGGCTGGAGGGTGGGGAAAGGCAGGCGGAAAAAGCTCTTGCCTGGTCAGCAGAGTCCCATTCCCCTGCTAGCCCTGAAAAGTAATTATTTGAGAGCAGCATAGTGCCACTAATGGCAAGGAGTTGCAGCCCAGCAACATGGTGAGCCAGAGGTCCCCCATCTATGGGATAAATCGTGCCTTTTCCTCCAGCCTTTCCCATATTCCTCCAATTTCCTGTTGGGGCACCTTTTTTCCTGGAATCCCACTCTTAGTTGAAGCCAATTTATCTCCGTTGTAATTCAGAAATCTTTGGTATACTCAGTGCCTTATATTTTATTAATCTACTATTTTTGCCCTAATGGGCAAATTTGCAAGTATACACCCAGCCATCCCTGTTAATAAGCTTCTCCAAGCTAAGAAGAGTGCAGAGCAGTTAACTTACCATTTTGACCAGGTACTGAGCCATGGCATGGAGGTGCCTGGGAGATGTCCCGCTGACAATTATAAAATAATGGCTGTATTTCAGTTCTGGAGGCAACTCAATAACACAAATGTTCTTGGCATTTTCTTGTCTCAGAAGCGATACCATGTAGTCAATGCTGAATACTGAAGAGACATGATCTGAAAGAGGCAACAGAATGATAAAAATGAAACAGTGTGGAAAAGAAAAAAAGATTGCAGGAAGGAAAGGGGTGCATGCATTCCTGGGGTTAGTTCCTTATTTGCAAATTATGGTTTACAAAGAGTGCCTCTGTTAACTCTGGAGTAGGATTTTGGAATACTGTATGCCGTTCCAGTATTTGGTTTGCCAAACTCAAACTGAATTATAATCCAACCCATTTCCATTCTGTGGCAATTTTTAAATTTGACACCAGTGTGCTTTTAAATGAGTCACATTTGAAGAAGAGAAAAGCAGCCACGCACATCTGCCTTATCCTTTCAAACTGCATAACAAATCCTGGGGGGAAATGTAGAAATCTCTGGAAAGAGTTAACTGCTTAATATTCTGAAGGGACTAATTGAGATAATCAGTGAGGTTACCCAAATAATGGATAATCCCCAAAAGATTTTATTTACAATTTAGCTCAATGTGTTGTGTGTTACCAACAAGAGCAGTTGACGGTTCACTACTGAAACTAAGCAACCAAGATTCCTCATTGCCTGTAAGCAAAAGTACCCCAGGCTGTAAGCAAGAGACATGCTATTGTTTCACAGTTTAAACTTTCCCGCCACCCCTTGAAACTTGTGATTGCTTAAATTACAAATTGTTTGAATTTTATTCTGGAATGGAATTTGCCCTCTCAAGTTGCACTCCTGCTCTCAGTCCCTTCTCTTCCATTGTTACACCAATGTCCCAGGTTACGTACACATCATACCCTCTTTCCTTCAAATAAATCTGGGTTGACTTGCTTCTATTCTAACAGAGGTTTAATAGACAGAAAGCAGCTTTTCATGAAATGGCGCTAAACCTAGTGTGGATCAAGCTACAGGTCCTGGTAATATACCGTCTTTTTCGCCCGAGCTTTCCCAGCTCCCAGAACAGGCAGCTCTCCGCAAGCCTTGGGAGACCGGCGCGACTTCCCGCCGGGCTCCCACGGCTTGCAGATATCTGCCTGAAGCCCAAACCAGGTCGGGGGACAGCGGGAAGGCACGCTCCGCCTCCCCACTGTCCCCCGAGCTTGTGGGGCTGGCGGCGGGGAGAAGCGCGCCTCTCCCCGCCGCCAGCCTCCAAACCAGGTTGGGGAGCCAAAGCCCGGGGCATGCTGTGCAGCGCGCCCCAGGCTTCGAGATGCAGGCTGCTATCTGCAAGCCTTGGGAGCCCGACGGGAACTACCGCGGAGCTCCCAAGGCTTGCGGAGAGCTTCCTGAAGCATGGAGAGCGAGAGGGGTCGTGCGCACCGACCCCTCTCGCTCTCCAGGCTTCAGTGAAAGCCTCCATTCGCCCCATAGGACGCACACACATTTCCCCTTCATTTTTGGAGGGGAAAAAGTGCGTCCTATAGGGCGAAAAATACGGTACGTAGCCTTTGGGGTGTCAGCTAAAACTCAGTAAACTCCTGTGCACTGAGCTTGCAAGGATCTGAAAGCTCACTGAAGAGGAGGACTTTTTGAAAGCGAAGTCTGGTGAGCTATGATGCTTTTGGATCTGCTCTCTGGTGGGAGGGGAAAGCAGCCAAGGAACTCATCCCTTGTCCTTGGCCTTACTGGCTGGGGCTTTTAGGAGGTGTGGTCCACAACGTCTGGAGGGCACCAGGTTGGAAATGGCTCCTCTACAAGTATGGAAGCAGTTGGCCAGCTGCCTCTCCTCCAGCACTAGCTATGGGGAGAACATTTGAAAATATTACATGCTTTGATGTATTTACTGTATTTATCTTGATTTTTTTAATGAGCTTGTGGTGGGTGTGTGTGTGTGTGTGTGTATTGCTATAAATAAAATTAAATATGCACAGTCTCTAAGGGTATTAATGGAACATAGCCACCACTTCCACGAACAGGGTGGATACCAAAGGCTTTAGAACAGTGTCCCTCCAGATCTTTTCGGACTACAACTCCCATCAGGCCTGACCACGGGCTGGGACTGGGGCTGATGGGGTTGGAGCTCAACAGCATCTGGAGGGTCATGCATGTTCTCCATCCGTGATGCAGCAGAAAGTCCATACTGCAGTTTCTACAAACTCTTCTTAGGGCAATAGCAGCATGCTGTAACTCCTGCACTGCAGGGGGTTGGACTAGATGTCCCTCGGGTCCCCTTCCAACTCTATGAAAGGAGGGCCCGTCCCCATCGCACGTGTAAAAGCTTAGTAGGGTTGCCCCTGCAGACGGCCAGTCGTTCTGGCCCTTGATCATAGGAGAGCAGCTTGCACCGCCAAAACTACCCGTGCTTCCAACCTACCGATGCCCCCACGAACAGACAGCGGCGCTCCAAGGTTTCCTTCCCGAGCTCTACCTGGAGATTGCAGGGGCTGAACCCCGGGACCTTTCGCTCCCCGATCCTGCACCACCGCGCGAGGAGGTTACAGCTGTTCAAGGCCCACCTGCCTTGGGCTTCGGCGCTACTTACCAGACGCACCCGCGGCCTCTCCGGCACCGGAGCCAATGCGCTGCTCTTGCCCGGCTGCCCCGTCTTCTTGCAAGCCGTGCTCCACCTCTGCATCCCGCAGCTCCGAGCTGCCCGCCGCGCTGAATCTCCGCAACCCCAGCGAGCCCGCGCACGACGGAACGCGGGGAGCCGCCGCCGCCGCCGCCTCACGCAACCCGCTGCTTCCTCCTCCTCCCGCGGCTTGCCAAGACCTCAGCCTCAGCAGCGCCCGCAAGCAGCGGCTGCTCCGCCACATGGCGGGCCGTCGGTTCCCGAGGAGGAGCCCCGACGTTCCGCGGATGGAACTTGCGAACACTCAACGTTCCGAATGGAATCTCTCCGGGAAACTCCCCCTCTCCTCGGCGCGCAGGCTGACGCGAGTGCCGACGCCGCTGCCGATTGGCCGCGCGCTTCTTTCACGTGAAAGCTGGGGGGCGGTGAGCGCAGGCGCACAAGCTTTTCGGGAAGCCACTCAAGGAGCAGCGGGGGTGAGACTGAGCTTTCGGGGCGCCTTTCTTTCGCCACGGCACGGCGCGCTCCTTCCCGAGAACCTGCTCCGTTTTCGCCCTGCCTTGGAGACTGTGGAACAGTTGATTGAAAACACAAGCCAGCTAAGAAAGTTTGGTGGCTGCCCTGAAGACCAACGATGCAGCTGATGAAATGGACTCCAGCCCACAAAACTTTGTGCCATCATCAACTTGCTGGTCTTAATGGGGCTTAACGAGACTCTCGGCTTCGCCTTGGAAATCGAGTTTCTTTTTTATTATTATTATTTTATTTTCAATGCAAAATCATAACAGAAATTACAAACATTGAATCCAAAATAATACTATACAAACAAAAAAGGAAAACAGAACATACAAAAAAAGGAAAACAAAACAAAAAACAAGACAAAAAAACATACATCTACAAATAAAACCATATCATCATTCTAATCTAGTCAATACATACATATACACATATTGACTTCCTTCCTTTGTTCTAAGACCTCAGAATTTTTACTCTTAATGTATTGTTGTGTCTAATGTAAATTACTTCCATCTTTGTACTTTTTTACACCATTTTTCTTTTTCTTTAACCCTGTAAAGCATCATTCATTACATACCGATCTGCTTATTCCAGAACAATGTTTTTTCATATACTCTTTAGCACATCCCCATTCTTTTAATAATTTCTGAAATCAAGTTTCTTAAGGCTCTTAATCTCAGGGTCGTGAGTTAGAGCTCCAACTCTATATAATTCTGTGATTTTCAGGGGAAGGAAGTGGACTCCTTGAAAGCCATAAAATCAGGCTGCACAAAGAGTGCAGGTATTTCATTCTAAGTACTGGAACCACTACCTGGCCAGGTACCCTAAGGACCAACTTTTTCCATTCGTTCCTTCTGATAATCTCCAGTCATCATCCAATACCTTGCTCTAAAATGTGAGAGGAGCCCTGCTGGATATAGCCCAGCATCCTGAGCTCATAGCGGCCAGCATAATGCCTATAGGAAGCCTGTGAGTAGGACATGAGCACAAGGGCCATGTTTTTATTGTGTAGCACGCACCTATATACAACTAAGTCACATGTTCAAGGCTGAGGTGTCAACTGGTCATAATGGAATAAGGAATAAAGTAATAAAACCCAGGTGTTTTTCTGCTGCTCCAGAGAAGCGGACACGGAGCAATGGATCCAAACTACAAGAAAGAAGATTCCACCTAAACATTAGGAAGAACTTCCTGACAGTGAGAGCTGTTTGACAGTGGAATTTGCTGCCAAGGAGTGTGGTGGAGTCTCCTTCTTTGGAGGTCTTTAAGCAGAGGCTTGACAACCATATGTCAGGAGTGCTCTGATGGTGTTTCCTGCTTGGCAGGGGGTTGGACTCGATGGCCCTTGTGGTCTCTTCCAACTCTATGATTCTATGATTCTATGAATTTTTGAAAATCCAAAAGAGGAAATTTCCATTTTGCAGAGCACTAATTTCAAGCTTAAATTTTCCATAAAGAACTTTAGATACATGATAATTTTACGATGCTAACACTGTATTGAGTTATGTCAACCCACACGCAACTCCCAGCGGAGGATAAAACCTCATACAACTGATTCATTTCCAGTATCTTTAGAGGGGTAGCCCTCTTAAGCCTGCTGCAGCTCCAGCAACAATAAAGCTTGTGACATTTATTTTTACAATGTTTTATTGGTTTCTATGATAAAATAGCATTTATCAACTCCAATAAAAGCAGTAAGGTGTTCCATGCATATATCAGTCATGTGGGGTGTGTGGAATTGAGCAGGGACATTGTTAAAGAACTGAATCATTGAATGCATTACCAGGGCCTCAACTATCTGTGACATAGCCTGTCTATAAGTAAGTGTGAGCGATATGAGGTTCAATATTAACAGCACTCCTGTTTACACACTGCTGATATATGTGAATCAAAATCACCCTGATTCTTTTGGCCTCTAACAACACTTCTCTATTGTGTTAAATGCACAGAAGGAGCCAGATCCCAAACTTTCCCTTGCCATCCCCATCAGAGGATCTTTCCAATGGGAAGCAACCTATGAACATGCAGTGAGCAGCATGGTAAGGTAAAGGGATCCCTGACCATTAGGTCCAGTCATGGACGACTCTGGGGTTGCGGCGCTCATCTCGCTTTATTGGCCGAGGGAGCCGGCACACATGTGGCCAGCATGACTAAGCCGCTTCTGGCAAACCAGAGCAGTGCACCGAGACGCCATTTACCTTCCCACCTATTTATCTACTTGCACTTGACGTGCTTTCGAACTGCTAGGTGGGCAGGAGCTGGGACCGAACAATGGGAGCTCACCCCGTCGCGGGGATTCGAACCGCTGACCTTCTGATCGGCAAGTCCTAGGCTCTGTGGTTTAACCCACAGTGCCACCCGCGTCCCTGAGCAGCATGGTACCTTATGTTAATGGGGGGAGGGAGTCAAGTGACAAAAAGGCTGGAGTAGGACTTGTGTCACCTGATACCAACATATCTCAGTTGGTAGAGAATAAGACTCTTAATCTCAGGGTTGTGAGTTTGAGCCCCACACTGGGCAAAAGATTCCTGCATTTGTAGCCCATGAAGAGGCCCTATGTAGAGAATAGAAGTCCTTTGATATGTATATTACTTCTTCCCCACTGAGGAAGGGGGGGGGAGCAAAAGAAGTCACAAAAGCAGATTGTCTTCAGACAGGGATTGATATAGAGCATTTTGGTCTTGGAAAATATAGCAAAGGACTTTAATAAAATCAGAACAATATATTAGATAAAATCAATACCTTTATTGAGAGTTGCATGAGGAAAATACAGAAAACATACATTTTCTCTTCGCAAGGAACCTGTAAGATTTTGCAAGCATCTCCATAGACTAAAATATCAACAATACTACATTTCTAAGTCATGCCAGGAAATGTTAGGTTATAAAAGACAGAACCCAAACTATAATAGTGTAGCTTTCTACTCCAACTTAACAGAGTTGCAATAAGTGGGGCAAATCATTCTTATTATTTCTTGTCTCAGACTGAAATAGTGATGTTTCAGTGTAAGGCAAGACACATTCAACTTACAATTTCTTCCATGACATTAAAACTATAATTTTTACACTTCCTCCTCTTCCTAGCCTTTTGTATAAAAGTATGTGCACTTCTACAAGATAGAAAAATAAAAGTTGATAATACTAATTCATACTTCCAAAGCTTTAAAATATACTTATCCTATAACGCTTGTAGACCCATCATACTATATTAAGACTGCACACTTACCAGGGAGTATGCCCCATTTAACTAAGTGAGACTTCTGATCTGAGCAGACATATAGGAGTGCACTGTATGTGACATTTTAATTTCAGCGGGGCTACCTCTGTTTAGAACCACCATTGGGTCATGCAGACTTTACACAGCTAAACCGTCCTTTGCAATACTGAAGATTTATTGAACAACATTCAGGTAAACATTCGTCCAGCATTCCAGTTCCGTGCCATTAGTAATTTAGGAGCAGTAATACTTAACACTTCTATAGCGCCCTTAGCATGCGTTATCTAGCTGCATTTTGAACAACAACCTTGTAAGCCACTATATTGCTTCAAGCTACTTAATGAGTTCATTGCAAAAGAGATGGTGCAAACTAGGGTCTTCCAGATTCACAGCTTGCCACTATGCTGCACCTACTATTAGTAAAAGATGTTTACACCAGTGTGGTGGCATACGAGTCATGTGCTGCAAAACAGCAGTTATGTGGGATGAAAACAATAATACACCATTGTTAACCTTAAATTGCCTGCATGACTATACTCTTAAGATCACATAACATCCACAGTGCCATGATAACTACACCGTTATTAAAGTTACAGGAGAACTGTGCTTCTTTGCATCTAGCGCTCACTGTGCCTATTCCTGCAGGGAAACCATCGCTATCAAAGAGGACACTATCTTGCCTATATCATAAACACCACTGCAAAGATTAAACTGGTTGGGAACAGGTGCTGTGAGGCAGTGCAAAGTGATTGCCTCCAACTTTGGGTGCTATGGCCATGTTTTTAACACCTGGAAAAACTGTGAGATGGGAAAGGGAAGGGGGAAAGGACACATATTTTTGGTCCTCCTTCCTCCCTGTCCCATCTCAATGATTTACAGAGAAGAGGGGAAGCAGACAAAGGAATAAAGAAAAGGCTTTCCTCATTCCTTCTATCCTGAAGTTCCCAAATCCTTCAACAACCTTTGTGTGCTCCCTTCATCCCAGTAGTTGAGATGAGGGCTTGGCCTCAGATATAAAATGTCTTCAGCAGCCCTGTGTGGACATGAGTGGAGCAAAGTATTCTACACAATCTGCAGGATCAGGCAGATACCTAAGCAGCCAAATAACTGTGAATCAAAATAAAGCAGATTTATACTGAACAGATTTAATCAAAAGCCCTTTGTGCATTTTCCAGAAAGGCAGGCAGATAGTTCCACATAATTTTCTTTAGTGGAATAAGCTGTAAGATGCAGAAAGTTCTGAAGCCAACCATATAAATTTATATAGTTGGCTTCAGAACTTCCTGCATTATAAATGGCATATTGCAAAACAGTATTTCATAAATCCTACTGTGCCTATTGTGCTACCCTCCTTGCTGCAGTTTTCAGCCAAATATATTGCTTATTTTCAAAGTCTGCGTATTTCCAGCATTGCTAAACTCAGATTATGTAGTACTAGAATCAACTTGTCCTGTGTGCTAGTGTGAGTTTTCCAGCTTGATGGATAGCATAACATAATTACTGCATAAAAGCAAGCAGCACCAGGGAAGACTTGCTTTGTCCTCTGGTTTCAGACTGAAATCGTGCAAATATATCTCTGTGCTAGGGCACATTTCTAAGAGAACTTCTCACACTTTCCGCTAAGTGCTTTGCCATGAAACCACAGGTGTTCAGGAAAGCTGTCTAGTAAAAAAACACACCATAGATCCGTGTAGGATCACTCCATGTCAACACCACATGGCATATTCTGCTGAGCAGAGAAGTGGGGACTAGTGTGGCCTAAAGACCTAGGGGCATGTAGACTACTCAAAAACAGTCCCACACAAACACATCCCAAGGGAGCAGAGCCATGGATATTTCAGTGCACATTGCCTACTGCTCCTTTGGGTGCACAAGGAAGATCCTGCTCTCATATAGCTCAAGTATAAGGAATATAGTAGGCAGAGGAAACAGAACCAAGAGCAGTCATGTAACTGCAAGTTGCTCAACTGGTGGAGAGTATATTGGATATGTCTACTATTCATCTGAAGCCATTGGGGTAAGGGATGTTACATGCTGATCATTTCTTAGGTACCTATTATAATTTTCAAAGCAGCCACATTATCACTAATTAGAGAACTAGGGAAATTCCAATTTAACAGCATGATCCTCTGCATGTTTACCCCAAAGCAAGCTCCCTCAAGTTTGGTGGGACTTGACTTGCTAGGATTTCAGCCTAAGCTTAAATTCTTTGGAGAAAATCTTTCTGCCAGGAAGACACTTAGCGATACTCAGGAGGAGTAACTAGTCTAGGAAACCGTATCAACCTTAAATGATTTATTAGCTAATATACCATAGCAGATCCAAGAACATAAGCAAGCAAAATGTATGATCAATTTCTCCATGAGATGCCATTTTAACCTTCTAAGACAAGTCAACACAACACCAGCCATTCTATTGTACTGCAAGCATACCACATAAATCCTGATTTTAACACTTAGGTATTCTTCCATTGAATGACAGTTCAATGCAAATCCCCAAATGCATACAAATATAAGTGATTATACTGAAGACTTAAACAATTCCTGGCTTATTTTTCAGCAGAGGATGTTTCTCATTGTTTGCCGGGAAAAGGACAGCCTTGACATTGTTGAAATAAACACTCAGTCCTTCGTTACTGGCCTCGTCTCCAGTTTTTCTTTCAATAGGCTTGTATTCTTTATATCTCCTGGAAGGAATTTTCAAAATTAATTTACTGAAAAGTATTCCCTTCATGGTGCATTGCTATGCCAGTACTGTGGCTGGGATGAGAACAAACAAAACTTTATTCTCCTGTGCAAAATGTTGCTGCCCAGGTCAGTATTTTGAAAAATTCTATGGCATGTGCAAGAGCTTCTTGCCAGGGAAAAAACTGGTCAATGTGTGTATAAAACAATCTATTTAATGCTTAGAAAGACTTGTGGTGTGCTTCTCACGCAACAACAAACTACTCTGCAAATACTTTCCATAGGCTAAACCATGAAGGAGAAAAATTATATTTGGTGTTGTTGTTCTGTAACCCCCTTTTTTTAAGTGATCCAATGTGATGCAGTGGATAGAGCATCAGATTAGGACAAGGGGTGGAGGAGGGATTCATTTTGGTAATGCACACTTCTCAAAACAATCCATGAACCAAAGGCACACAATTTTGTGGGGGCACAAACCAGACGTCCGCATGCAGGGGTCCCCGTCCCACCCTGCATGCTGCCAGGAGTCTCTGGGCCCTGGAGACTGGCCTGGCCTCACCACCAGATCCCAAGCCCCCTTGCTGAATGGCCTTCCAGCCAGTGTCATATAATAATAATAATAATAATAATAATAATAATTTATTATTTATACCCCGTCCATCTGGCTGGGCTTCCCCAGCCACTCTGGGCAGCTTCCAAAAGAATATTAAAATACTGTGATACATCAAACATTAAAAGCTTCCCTAAACAGGGCTGCCTTCAGATGCCTTCTAAAAGTGTCAGAGGGATTCACCCATCAAGGGCCACGTTGGCCAACCGGGCTCCCCCTAGCATAGGTGGGCAGGTGGCATTGTGCGGCTCCAGTAGCAAGGGCTGGGCCATGAAGCAGGCTCTGTGAACCCTCCGTGCTCTGCCCCGACCCAGCGTGCCCACCTGGCAGCATTGCTGGCACGGCAGGTTCTGTTCACCCTCTGCACTGTGCACACATACACACACACCCCAGGTGCCAACAAATACCACAATGCCACCAGAAAGTGGACCTCAGCTTCCAAGGTCAAGAAGAGAGTGTTGCCCACACCACAATGTATCCCTAATATATGGTACCTTTATGCATTTTAAATGCAAGTTGCCAGGGGATCCAATATTGGCTTTACAGCAGGATATAATTTATACATAGATAAGACAAAATGAAATCAGTACTCTTGCAGGAATCTCCTTCCAAGGTAACACTGGTTTCTCCTCAGATCATATAACTGGTCAATCTGTATTGTCAATGTTCCTTGTGAACATTAAAAATGGTGAGCGTTGGAGATCGTAAAATAAACAGACACTGTTTTTAAGGTCTGGGCCAAGCAACTTACTTGTAAAGGAAAAAAGTCGCGACGGCAACAAACACCACCAAGAAACCGCAAGCGAGCAGAACTCCTTCTGCTGTCCTTGAAAATGACCCTGCAGCTTGAATGACAAAGTTAAAGGCCATAATGTTAGTTCACACTCCTTAACTTGGAGTTATAGCAGCCTTCGCTAACCTAGTGCCATGCAGATGTTTTGGGCTACAACTACCATCAGCCTAGCCAGCATGATGGTGCTGGCAGGGGCTGAGGGGATTTGTAGTTCAAAACATCTGGAAGGCACCACCTTGACAAAGACTGTCTTACAGCATAAAATATCTCGGCAGTCTACATGTGCCTAATGCTACCACTGACACTGGACATCATTGCAGCTGATGGGAACTGCCGTAGACACAGCACACATTCTTTGTTGGAATGGAGAAATGGTGCCTGTCTTATTCCAGAGCTGCCCAAATAATTTTGTGCTCCCCTTCAAGTCACAGTACAGTGGTACCTCAGGTTACATACACTTCAGGTTACATATGCTTCAGGTTACATACTCCGCTAACCCAGAAATAGTACCTTGGGTTAAGAACTTTGCTTCAGGATGAGAACAGAAATCGCGCAGCGGCAGTGGGAGGAACCCAGAAATAGTACTTCAGGTTAAGAACTTTGCTTCAGGTTGAGAACAAAAATCGTGCTCCGGCGGCGCGACAGCAGCAGGAGGCCCCATTAGCTAAAGTGGTGCTTCAGGTTAAGAACAGTTTCAGGTTAAGTACGGACCTCCGGAACGAATTAAGTACTTAACCTGAGGTACCACTGTACCTTAGTTCAGCCAAGTCGTAGGGAGCAGGTGGCGCTGTGGTCTAATCCACTGAGCCTCTTGGATTTGCCGATCAGAAAGTCAGCAATTTGAATCTGCGCAACGGGGTGAGCTCCGGTTGCTCTGTCCCAGCTCCTGCCAACCTAGCAGTTCAAAAGCATACCAACGCAAGTAGATAAATAGGTACCACTGCATCAGGAACGTAAACAGCATTTCTGTGTGCTCTGGCACTCATCACGGTGTCCCGTGGCGCCAGAAGCAGTTTCGTCATGCTGGCCACATGACTTGGAAAGCTGTCTGCAGACAAACACCAGCTCCCTCAGCCTGAAGTGAGATGAGCGCCACACCCCATAGTTGCCTTTGACTGGACTTAACTGTCCAGGGCTCCTTTACCTTTACCCAGCCAAGTTATTTTGACCACTGAGGCTGAAGATCCCACAAGCACCTCTCTCTCCTTGGTTATATAGTTATAATAATAATACATTAAATAACAAAGCATTTCCTGATCTTTCAGGGTGTCCACAATTAGTTGCCTGAGGCAGCCACCTGACTAACGTTAGGGCCGGCCCTGCATCTGACACCAATCCTGCACTCTTGTCAATGCAACTGCACAGTCCTGACCTTGCCACTGCCTGCCTCCATCCTGTCCTGACAACCAGCAGACATGGGACAACTCCACCACACTTCATGAGCCACAAGGTGCTGACCGCAAATGAATGCAGATGTTCAGCCAGGACTCACCTCCATTGATGGATATCAAAGTGCTTGTGAGAGCCAGGCTCGCTGCATCACCCAGTGTAATGTTCACACAATAGGTTCCGGATTCGTTAAAGGTCCGTCTTATGGTCAGCAGGCACTCATCTATGTCAACAGGGTCACATGCCTCACTCTGTAACACCTGGCAGGTGGGGTCAGCAATTATTGTGCAGGCATCTGTAGGAAGACTAGGGCGCGGAAAGAAAGAAAGATGGATGAAATTATGGACTTTTCATCAGTTTTCATTTCGCAGAAGTCAACACATTTATCACACTTCTGTTCTGCTTTTCTGTGAAAGTTATGTTCAGATGGATTTATCTTAAAATATATCTTTAAAACCAACACAACACAATAAAAAGCAGTAAAGTACAAAAATCGGGACCAAATGAAAGCATTATTCGCCAAAGGCTAACAGAAAACAACAATTCACAAACCTTGGTGAACCAGCCTTTTTATAAATCCTGATGCAAGGTTTTTATGTGAGCAGGGACACTGTTAGCTGCTTTAAGAACTTGGAGCATGGGCTCCTGAAACAAATCTGTATAAAATTTGCACATGCTAATTTATCCCTATATATGCCTCTGGGAGACTAAGATGGTGAGTGGGTCTCACCAACACTGCCCTATAAACACAGAGGGAAAGAGGCCAGAGATCTGGTGACTATCACAAAAGACCCGGAACATCTGCTCCGTGGACCATCCTCAGCAATACCACTTTATCAGCAAGAAGCTCAGTGAGCTAAGATGAGCGCTGCTGCAACGGAACAACTTAAATGTCTGTAGCACTCCATGGTCTAAGTTTTACAAGAAGCAGAGTTATCAGAATTAACGAAAGCACTTACCTCCCTTGACAGGTTACCACAAAATCAACCATGGAGTTCTCAACCTGAGTAGTTGCCACCTGGACACTTGTCATTTGGATAATATTGACCCCAAGGATCCCCTCTGGCCGAAGAAACAAATTGGCAAAATGTCAGAATTGCTGAGACAAGAACTTTGACAGCAAAAATAAAAACTCCCATTTGGAAATGTAGAGAATGAATTGTTTTAGAATGATCTTAATTGGATCCGAAGGCTGCTTGCAAATGGAGCTCACCTACATTTTGTCATAGCGGATACACAATTCAAAAGAGTGTGGAAATGCATTGCAACTTATTTCGTTTTGACCATTGTATTAGATTCCTGCTGTTCTTGAAATTAACATTTTTAAGGCACCTCAGTACTCCAGACACTTTGGGATGGTCCACACCAGAGTTTACTGTGTGTTTGCAACTGTTTGTGTTCCCATTTTATTTGCGTAGTCCACATGGTACTACCCTCACAACACCAGTCTAGATGTTTTCCCCTTGTGAATTCAGGCTTACCATAGAAGGATAATCCAATAAACTGTGGGAAATCGGGCTGCAAAGTGCTCCACTTGGGATCACAGACTATTTGCTCCAGTGTTTTGGAGCGGGCAGATCTTATCATCAGTTTCTGCCGCTCCCCTTCACACACCCACTGGTTCTTCCGTGCATTAATTTCTTCCCCAGCTATACTTGTAACTATTTTCAGAGTACTCCTGAACTATATTTCCCCACCTGCAACCCCTTTGATTTGCAGAAAACCAGAAATCTGCACAGGCAAACCACATTAGAATTTTCTACGCTAGATATTGCAAAGTAAGTTATTCTGAAAAGTGGGTGCTGAGCGTTTACAACTGCTTTAATATATATTTCCTGGCTGATCTCTTCTACAGGATTTTCATAGCCATCTGTTTGGAATGGTAGCTTAAGCTTGCAGCCTTAAGCACTCCTAAATTAGATGTAAGTCCTGTTGAAACCAATGGGCTGTCAACAATATCATTGGAAGAAGGACTTCCTAGCCTGAGAAAACTACACCACCAGAGAGGTGATGAGGAACAGCTGCATCAACGTCACAAAATGAAATAATAGCATTGCAGAGATGTTGGAGCAGCGGGTGTGTATAGGGGACACCCAAGAAAGGTGGGGAGACTTCACAGACCATCTCCTAACCAAGAAAAAACATTTACAGGTGAGTATGTTAAACCACAGAGCCTAGGACTTGCCGGTCAGCAGTTCAAATCCCCGTGACAGGGTGAGCTCCCGTTGCTCGGTCCCAGCTCCTGCCAACCTAGCAGTTCGAAAGCACGTCAAAGTGTAAGTAGATAAATAGGTACCACTTTGGCGGGAAGGTAAACAGTGTTTCCGTGTGCTGCTCTGGTTCGCCAGAAGCGGCTTAGTCATGCTGGCCACATGACCCAGAAGCTGTATGCCGGCTCCCTCGGCCAATAAAGCGAGATGACCGCTGCAACCCTAGAGTCGGTCACGACTGGACCTAATGGTCAGGGGTCCCTTTACCTTTACCTTTTATGTTTGGTAAAGGTCGAAAAACATTACTTCATTGAGTTGGATTCAAAGATTCCCCCCTGTGAATGGGATTTGTTGTTGGGCAGAAGGAATCTCTTCCTCAGGCCCTCCTGTTGGAAGAGGCCTCCTTCAGTTCACAGAAGGGAATTTTTGGATCCAACCCACAATGTCTGCTGCATGCAACCTGATCATAGCTGTCAACATTTCCCCCTTTTTAAGGGAAATTCTCTTACTCCAAATAGGATTCCTCGCAAGCAAAGGGGAAAGTTGACAGCTATGAACTTGACCTGCAAAAATAAGAGAGTTGATCTTGTCAACAGTGGAGACTGGTCCATTAGGACAAATGGGGCACTGCCCCACCAACCTCAGTCTGCCTTCAGCCAGACCTCGCCTCCCTGGCTGTCCTGGCTGACACCTTCCTCCTCCTTAGTCTTAGTGTTGCTCTTGTATAACTCAGCAGGGAGGAGGATGGGGATAAAAGCAGAATGGGTTGGTTCTGCCTGTCCTTGGCTCTGGCTCCATCTACAGTTGGCCTCCTGGCCTTCTGCCCCGCCAGTTGCCACTAGTTGCCAGCTATTGATATTCTTTATTGGTACTCTTCCGAAATTTGTCTCTTGAGCAAAACGAAACAGCAGCCAGCCAGCAAGAGCAGCTTCAGAAAATCCACTTTAATGACATGCACAAGTTCAAACGAATTCACTTTATTACCTATCAAACCACATTATTTCCTTACGGATGTAGATGCATACCTGCAATGAAGAGAGATGCTTTATAAGGTCCAGATCGAGCAATATGGCATCCTTCGACAGGAGACTGTCCTGTTGGCACCTCTGTTAAACTACTGAAGCTGGGAGTTACATTCGAAGGCAGCGGGGTAGTTACTGAAACAAGGGAAAGGGAAATGAGTTAATGTATTTGCACTTTTAGCAAAACATTTTGAGCATAACAAGCAGAATTTATCTGGAACGCCTCCAAGTCTTGCACTCTTGCTTAGCTCCCATAAATTCCAATCGGACATGTTATGGCCAGATATCAACTGGATTTGTGTATTTCACACAACTAAGCAAAAGCAAGTAAAACACTTATTACACCTGTTGTTTTTAGCCTTGGGGATTGGATGACCGACAGAGTTTTTTTATATATACCGTTTACTGTACAGAAAGAGTTTGCCTTATCTAGAAGGTTTGTATGTATAACATAATCTCTATGGTGATGCTGATTTAATTATGCATTTATTATTGTATTTATGGTGTACATCGCTTGATGTTGTGTAACCCACCTTGTAACCTTAGGTGATGGGCAGAATATACTTTCCCCCCCCCTAATATTTTATTAAGGATTTTCTTGTTTTACAGAAGTAAGTGTAATGCCTCGTATTTTTCAGAATATACATTTTAATAAATAACTAAATATTTGTCCTCTTGGCCTTCGCTTTTCTGAATCCATTCTTTTACATATCTTATTACACCTTCTATTTATAATTTCTCCCCCAGTATCTCTCTTGGTCCAGCTTGCCATACTTTAAAAAATCCTGAAAGTCTTACTTCTTCACATGTTTCCCCAGCTTTATTTCTTGCTGGTCCCTAGTTTTGCGTACACCCTCTCTTCCTCTTCTTTCTTCACTTGCATCTAGACCCTGTAAACTTACAAGTCTGTAAACTTACAAGCAGAGAGCCAGTGTGTTTGGAGTGTTGGTCTAGGACCAGGGAGACCCAGGTTCAAATCCCTACTAAGCCACAGAGATCACTGGCTGATCTTGGGACATTTACTCTCACTCTCAGACTAATCTAGCTCAAGGGTTTCTTGTGTGGATAAAAAGCACCATGTGCACTGCCTTGAGCTCCTGGGAGGAAAAGTAGAAATTAATGCAGCAAAAGCAATACCATCATTATTATTTTATTTTATTTTACTTTACTTTATTTTTGTAGCTCTGGTGCTGCATAATGTAGAGAGAGTGAAAGAAGCCACTTTAAGACTATTGGTCTTAATACTATATATTAAAAGCATTTGTCCTAGGACACTGAAATGCCAATGGCCTACTTCAACTATTCCCTTCCAGCACTCCTGTAAGAAAGGGGAACACCGTAAGTATGCCACAATTCTTTGTTAACCAATATGCTCATTATTATCATGAAAAATTGTCTGGTCAACTATTCCATATAATGAACCCTTTTGATTTATTTCAACTTAGCCTGGAGTCACGGCCTCTTACCTGGTGGAAGAGGTGTTGGTGGAAGAGGTGTTGGTGGTCCACAAGGGGCAGGTATAAGAGCGTGGACAGACAAGTCAAGGCTGAAATTTCCCAGAAGTTTATATGTGTGCATCTGAACAGAACTGTTGGAAACAAATAAGCCGCTGCCATCTCCAAAATTCCAGCGGTAGGAAATAGCAGAGCGGTTCAGGTAGTGGCTAGGATCGTGAATCTGGACATCAAATGTAATAGGGATATCCTTGATGAAAATGTAGTCTGAGGCGTTGCGATCATTCTTCTGAGTCATGTTCACATAGAAAGGGATTTTATCTGCATAGAAAATGAAGTCAAGCAAAAGGATGAGATTGTAGCTGGACTCAAGATAGGTAATCCCTGGGAACTGAAATGGTTATAGAGGTAACAAAATTCGACGAAGATCTCATATTTAGGAGAGGTCGTCGCACAAACCAGTGTTTGTTGTGGTATACAAAGTTTACATGCACACAATACAATTAAAACACTCTTGTACTATGTTATTTAAACCGTTCAGGTTTGCTAAGTTATTATTTATTTAACCTACCCACTTACCTGTTACGACATAAACAACATTTGCTGTGGCTACTGGTTGAAATGATCGATAATTTCGCCTATAAACTGATAATTCCATAATTTGATTGCCAAGTGTGATATTTGTTGTGTTGATGGACACCATAGCTGAAGAACCTCCCGTCGTTTGATAATACTGGCCTGTGAAAAAGGGGAAATATGAAAAAAAGGATTATCACTGTGGAACTGGTCAGGCTTGCAATTTTTTTCCTTTTGAACATAGGCACCCATTTCACTCGAGTAGGTAAACACACTTATCCTTTCCCACATGTTAGTAAATAAATCAATAAAACTTTCTGAAAACAGTTCTGAAAAGGGATTGCATTTGTTCCAATCATTATTATACAGAGGTCAGGGAAATGTATGTGGTGGTTTTGCCATTTTACCTCCACAGCTCTTTGGGATGAGATAGGGGAGAGATGGAGATTAAACCAAGGTCACTCATTTAAGTTCATGACGGAGGGAGCATGACTTTGGCACAGGTTCCCTCCATCCAACATCAACGTTCTATCCACTTGCACTTAAAAGCCCAAGACAGTCTCACAGTGACTGTACAAACCTGAATAAACCAATACTGGCACTGACTACCAAGAGGTGCAAAATGGATGCTCCACCACTGAATTAGGATCCCTCCCCATTGTTTTCTGTTGCACAATCACTACTCATATCATGGAAGGCATAAGAGGACATACCAAGGGGAGCTAGAAAATAACTTTATTATCTCTCACCAACAAGATCGAAACAGACAAGAAACAACTCTATTCTTATTCTTATTATTTAATAGACAGATCACCTTACAAAATATAAACACCTTCCCAAGGCAGCATATACAATATGAAGGACAAGTTTTAAAACTAAGCATCTAAAGTTAAAAGAAAATAAAACAGAAACAGCATTTCAAGTCAGCAATCCTAACTTAAATATGAAACTCTTACGGCCATTAAAAACGCACAGTATCAAAACATTTCCTAATTACAAACACATATCATAATTGTATATATCCTGCTTTCCCAGAGTTGTTTAAATGCCTGCCATATTGAGCCGTTCTCCTATAAACCGTAAATCCACTCAGGAGAGACTGCATTTAGGTGTCTGACTTCCGAAATTCAGAAAAGTCAACAAAACAGCTTCTGTAGTCTCACAGCAGCTCTGAACTGACTGTCCTCTCACATGAGGACCACATTATCTCATATAGGTCTTTCTTTACATGTAAAGAAGTTTATAAAGCATCTTAAGTGTCTTCTTTTTAAAGCTAAATAATTATTGTTATGATTTTATTAGTAGCAACAAGTACTAATATTAGAAGTAACAAATACTCTTAGTAGCAACAAGTACTACTAATTATTAGTAATAATACGGTAAGCTAAAGGTGCATTTTTAGGACTGACCGAGAGTGTGAAACACATAGATGAAGTTTCTCCTCCTCCAGTCTTTGTGGCGAGGGAAAGGTCTGCCATCTGGAAACACATTGTGACTACTGTTATGAGAGCAATTCTGCCCGTCACAATCGTCAATCCACTGAGTCCAGTTGTAAACATACAGGTCGGGAAGATTTGCATAATCAGAAGAACCTTGAAGCAAAGCAAAGGAAAAATGAAATGAAGGCAACCTTTTCAGCAAAGTCAGTAAAGACTCAGGTGGAATCTAGACACATATAAAAACCGCTTTGAAAATGCTTTTTTTAAAAAGCGTTTTTAAAAATACATTGAATTTTCCATAAGGCTCACCACTGCCACCTAGTGTCACATTGTATATTGCACTCAAAACACACACAAAACGTTTTATCTGCTGCTGTGTAGCTGAACACAGCAGGCTTTATTTCTGAGTAAGCATGCATAGGACAGCACTGCACTTGTCTATGGACTAAAACAGCGACCTGGCATTTATATGAACTTGGATTTGTGGCTTGCAATGCCACAAAACTCCCATCAAACTTTTGTAAAGTAAATACAGTACTTCAAGGAAGCATCATAATTATAACCAAGGAAATCTCCTCTGTTATGAGCAGTGCGTCCCACAAGTCACTCCCAGCAAACATATCATGTCAGCTATCCCACGTGTCATGTAAGAAATTGAAAAAGGTGGAGAAGTAAAGAACTTTCCTGGTACATCAGGAAGATGTCTGCCTATCACCAGGGTCTCCCATCCCACTGGAGTCAAAGTACAATGTCCGTAAATCTCAATGAGCCCCATCAGGACCACCACCAAGCCACAGAGGCTCTGTCACTTTGCTTTTTTTGTACAGAATAGAATTTTTGAAAGTGTACAGATACAAGACGCAGGGCAAAGCCTGAGAACCATTCACACTCCTAGCATACGCAGGTACTTTCATTACTTGCCGTTGATGCAGTGTTGATCGTATATTATATTGCTGTCATTATCTTCTCTTTGACATCTGGGAAACTTGAGGATCACATTAAAAGACACATTGGATCCCACCAGAGCTGGACTGTCACTGGTCAGACTGGCCACAACCCTTCCCCCTGAGGAAGTCAAGATGCATTTGTTTATCGCTTCCGGTTATATCTCGCGTTTCATATAGGATTTCAAAGTAGCATGCAATGTTTTCTCCCCGCATCCCCACTCCATTTTATCCTCATAGGCAACCCTGTACATTATGCAGGATATTTCCAAAACATTTCTTATTCATTGGTGATCTTCAAAACTACACTGTAACATGGAACAGACTCCCCCCCCCCTTTTTCAGAATGTTATTTAATTGCATTAATTTATATTCAAATAAAGCAGCATAATATCACAGGTTTAGAATTCAGTTGCACTGCAGTTTGTTTTGTTATGTTAATTGCCAGCCTCCACTTATCTGTTATCTGCATGTAGGTGTCTTGCATTTATTGCGTCTTTTGCAATAATCAATTTTGCAGGTGTTAGTCTGAAACTATTGAGCAATATGATTTCAATATGCTCAGATAACTATTTTCCTAATAGCATTATTTAAAGACCTAAGGAACACTTACATCTCATTATTCTCTTAATACCTCCAATGTCTCTGAATGGATTCAAAATGTTTGAATAATAGAACATGACCACCACATATAGATGCAGTCCGCTAATAATAACCGCAAACACAACATGTATATGTGTATGTATTGTTTTTATATTTTGCATGGCGTCAAATTGTTGGGTTTTCTTAATATTGATGTGGTCGATGGTGCTACTCAGAGGTGTGTTTGTAATTATAACCTGCATGGGAGCACATCTGTGAGCTCTTGACAATTCAGCACACCTGTGGTATCTTAACAATTTAGCTAATTAGCAGGGGGAGTTTACCTGCTGCACCGAATGCAGCGATGTGATAGGGTAATTGATTATTTGAAAACTGTATGTAAGTTGATCAAGTGGTGTAGTGTCTACTTTTATAGGAATACTGTTATGGAATGCTGTTGAGAAGGGGTGTTTTGCAGTTGTTTGATTATTGAAAAATAAAGTAAGCAAATATATTGCGGGCAAGTTTTTATTCCATCACCCCATGTCGCTGTGCAAACTCGGTTGGCGAAGAAGGTCCAACACAAATACCAACAGTATAACAACTTATACTTTTATTTCAGATGAGAGTGGTAGAGTTTGCTCAGTCTCTCCCACAAAATTCAGTCTGATTCACTAATTGTCAGAGGTCTTTTTCATTTGTGCTCCCCTGTTCTAAAGTCGCTCCCTGGACAGATCTGTCAGCACTCAAGTCCGGCTCCTTTCAGAAATCAAGGTTGTAGCTTCATAAGGTGCTGAGAGTTGTTAGAGATCCCAATTTCCCTCACAAAGCTACAATTCTCAGAGTTCCCTGTGAAGAGGACTAGATTGTTAACCCACTGGGAATTCTAAAAGATATTCAGAAAATTAAAGAAAGCAATTGCGTATGGCACCAAAAATGGAAGGGGAAACACCACTATTAAGCTAAGAGACCAGATAATTCAGAAATGACAATAAATAATATTTTCACAAATACAAACAGGTTTTAAATCCGAAAAGTTATGAGGCGGCGTCCTATATTCCTAAGTGTTGGCATAAAAATAAGAGCCATTTTAAATGTTAAATGCAGAAGAAAAATACCGTTCTGACCTTGTTCCTATTTGCAATGTTTCATCAACATTATTACATACTGACCCTGCATCTCCTCCCATTGAGCCAACTGATCTTTCATGTTTTACCTTTCCAGCAGTCTTTCCATCTGGGATCTCCTTCTTCCCAATATGGGTAAAGCTTGTCATTCCAGTTGTTGTGATCGGAGGACCAGCTGCTTATCCCCCTATGGAACTTGCCGTGAGAAGGTGCCCTTCCTCGACTCATCACATCTCGAAATTCTAGAAAGAAGGGTTAACAAGGGAGAAAGCGTTAGCACAGTCCCTTTGGCTTATTTGACATACACTGAACTGCCAAGGCAAACCCCATAACAAAACATTGCGAAGAAAGCACATGTCTAAGCTATAACTCTCTGAGGTTTTTCCTTTGCCTGTGGTATGTTCAAAGGCTAAAAAGGACTACTGTAAATGCAGAGGGGAATGAATGAACATTCTATAATGCTCATCTTTGCTTTCTCAAGAACACTCTACAAATGTTTTTTTGGGGTTGTAAATGAGTAACAGTTGCATGCAAACCAATTGCAGCTGGATGTTTGAAGGAACATTACAAAATTATATTTAGAAGTTTAAAGAATGCATGTTTGACATGTGTCCATGTTTACATAACTGCGATGAGTGAAATCATAGGAAGCACAACAGCAGCTCACATTCATAGAATTGTAGAGTTGGAAGGGACGCTGAAGATCATTTAGTCCAACCCCGTGCAATACAGGAATATGCAGCTGTCCCATACGGGGATTGAACCCGCAACCTTGGTACTATCAGCACCATGATTGAACAAACTGAGCCATCAGGTTCTCATACCATGACACAAACTCTCCTTGTCACCTTTGCGTGCAATGTATTGTTTACATGCGCTACAATCACAAAGTGGTGAGTTTGCAGGGGTGCTAGTGCATACCCTCTGGTTTGGTTTCATTTTACATTGTCATAAGCCCCTCTGAGTAGTGCACAAGAAGGATGGAACAGACATTTCTGTGCAAAAATAAAATAAAAAAATCTTGCTTCATGTGAGCAGGGCTGGTAAAGAGTTGAGAAATCCTTTTCACATCCCTGCCACAGGTCTTTAAGGAATGACTTACCTGTCATGTTACTGGAGATGGCTTAATTAATCAACAGCCTGCCTTAATTGTGCATTGCAGTGGAACAAGAACACACTTGTTAAAAGTAGAATCTGAGCCAGGAGCCAGGACATTTCTAAGGCTACACCTTGTGGAAGATCATAATTGCGCATCATATGATGGGATTGCTGCATGTTCCTGCCTTCCGCTCAACTGCTTTGCATTTTCATTCAGGTTTCAAAAAGTTCCCATTATTGTAAAAGCTTTTGGTAGATGTTTTAACTTCCAGAGCTTCTGATACAATGTGGTGCTAAACTCAAAATGTGGGAAGTTCTTACGACCTAGTGATTCTTTGGTTCTTCTAAATGGGGAATGGGGCACCTCTAGCATATGAGCCAATCTTGGCCCACCAAGCTGGTCTGCAAGGACATTTCCCCTTGCCTACCCGTCAATCATCCGGTGTCACTAGGTGACATCACCTAATGGTCAAGGGGTAGAGTTGGTGCTGCTTTGCCAGTTCCTTCTGTTCGGGGAATGTGCTGATGGAGGAGCCCCCTGCAGAAAGGAGAACTGAAGTCTAAACTCATCAGCTGATGTGTGGGGAGTTGTGGACGGAACAGCTTCATCAGTTCCTTTCCTGTGAGGAATGCAAAGGTGAAACAAATTCCCTACCAAATTGATTGATTGTGATAGGTTGGTGGGACCCCTAGCTGCCAAGGTTGGCCCATGGGGTGTGGGGGGAGATAAATATCTGTCCCACCAGTCCAAAAAAAATTCCCCTGTGATAAAGGTTTAAACAAACATGAGCCCCTGAAATCAATGATGGTGACACACATCACTGATTTATTTGTGGAGACTTCACAAAATGTTTCTGCTTCATGTTGGTCCTAGGATTATATACTATGATGTCCTATTCAGAGTAGACTTATTGAAATTAATGAACCTGTGTTAGTCATGTCTATTACTTTCAATGTGTCAACTCTGAGTAGGGCTAGTATTATTAAATACCTCCCTAAGGGCAGTCCAAAAGCAAGCCTTTTTTTGAGGGGGGGGGTGCAGAATTTTGCGCTTACATTTTCCTCACTGAGTTTCCACATATGACTTACCAAATCATTAGCTCAAGGCTGTCTGAACTCCACTTCACCACCACTTCATTACCCACTCCCCCCTCCACTTGAAAAATGCATAAGAGTCAAATAATAGGATTTTTTACTTTACTGGTATAAAAATATCGCTTATTATAAATGAAATTCTTAATCACATCATCTGGCCTAGTGGATGAATGCCGTAGAAAAATTCCTTTAAAGATTGTGCTCATTTCTAGCGAACTTCAAGACACTTCGTACAGTGATCACATTTGTGTCAGCCTCAACAACAAGGAAAGAATGCCTGTGACAGTTTTTCCCCCTTGTTATGAAAGAGCAAGCATAAATTGCTACCAGATGAAGAGAGACTTTGTTCATCAAAACAGCCAACATTACGGTGAATAGTTCAGAAAGGGTTGCAAGTTCTGACTCTATGCAATGCATAACTCCAAATTATTTTCACCTGAAGCAATTGCCATTCTACTTGGTTTTGTATTCACAATCACTAATGTGGATTAGAATCACTTCCCCAACTGGAATGGTCGGGAATTTATTTATTCATTTACAATCATATTTTTACTTAGCTAGCCTGGCTTTGACATCTCATTGGCAGCAATGTGCCAACTCACACCTGGCTCATGATTTACAGAGGTGTGGTGCTCCCCTACACCTTACAAGACCCCCAGGCCCAGGACTAAGAACCCCATGCATGCATCCTGTGTGGCAGCCCCTAGTGAAATCCATAACTGGAGAACAGTCATAGCAGCCATGTTGGGCCATGAAAAGAAAGTAGGTCAAGCTCTAGTAGGCCAACCTTAAAATAGCATTTTAAAAAGTGGTATGCAAGGTTCAAGTTCTTTAGAATGCTACATCAGTCTAGATGGCTGTATATATCAGTGTTTGGGCGAGAGAGAGAGATAGAGAGATGTGGCTAAGGGTCTTAAGATGGAGAGTGCGAGGTAGCAGACACCCCAACTGTGTCAAGTGATCTTGAGCTTGCAACTCATAAGCCCAGCCCTTTGTGCTCTTTCCTGGAAGAAAGTCTGATTGATCTCATGATCATCAAACTAAACAATCCTAGAACTGAGGCTGGGCTGAGAACTGTTCTCGCCCTCCTGGACTCGCCTCTCTGCTCCAAGCATATGGGCTGCCTCTTGAGAGAAAACAGCAAACATTAAGAGCTCTTTGTGCTCCCTCGACACAGCCCTGGTTCAGAGAGATAGGAATCATTTGACGTTCAGGGTTTCAGAGGAAACAGGAGGAGCATACAGATTTTGCAGAAGGTCTGAGCACGTTCCTCCTGCAGATCTGATGGTCAAACTAGGCGTGGCATTCAGCGTGCACAACCCATATGCACATTCACAATCCCCTCCCGGTCACCTTGGGGAAAGGGCTGTAGCTCAGTTGGAGAGCATCTGCTTTGACTGCAGAAGGTCCCAGGCTTAATCCCCAGCATCTTCAGGTAGGGCTGGGATAGGACCCAGTCTGAAACCCAAGAGAGCTGCTGGCAGTCAATGTAAACAACACTAAACTAGATGAGCCAATGGTCTGAACCAGTATCTGGAAGCTTCATATGTGGCTATGTAGTGGGGTGTGTTTTTTATCAATAGCAACCACAGGAGAGATCAACCCAGACTGGGACCATGGTGTGGACAGAGGGAGGATTGAACTCTGTCCTGGTCATGGTCCCAAGTTGAGATTCCCCCTCCCCCATGGCTGCTGTATGCCCCAGAAGAGAGCTGAATCGGTGTTACTGGCATCAATAAGACCTGCAGGGCACAGAGCACCCAGCTCGTGTCGATTTCCCAATATGCTCACATTGCACACTTAATAATACCCTAGGTTTTGAGAACAGAAAAGCAGCTTTATACTGAGTCAGACCACAGGCTCATCTACCTCCGTACTGTCTACAGTGACTGGGTTTCAGACAGGGGATTCTCTCAGCCCTGCCTTGAGATCCCTGGGATCAAACCTGGGACCTGCATGCAGAGCAGATCCTCTACCACTGAGCCCTTCTCCATATCCTGAGCTCCCCATGTGCAGAAAGAGGAAAATGATGTTTGCTCTTGCACCATGCAAAGCTGTATCTTTTTCCTATAGGCCCTGCATTCCACACGTCTGGTTTCATATTAAAACACTAAAGTGCAGATAAATCCCCAGTCTCTCTTATCAGGGCCAGACAAGTGAATCAACTCTGAACATGAGAGGTGGAGTCGACAGAGAAGGAAATTTGAAGTCATATCGTCCCTGCGCTCCTATATTAACTATGGCTGTATTTTGTGTGCAGAGCTTGCTCAAATCTTTCTTCCACTCATCCATATCCCTAAGGGGCAAGTGACATGTTAGGGACTAAGGGGTGCAACAATGCCCCAACAATTGTTTTAAAGCAGAAGTGGCAGGAGAGGGGGCTGCTCTGCTTTCTCCCCTCTTCCAATTTCACAGATACAAAATTTCCCCCCCAAGGGATCCTCTCTACTCCAAGTTCAAAGTGTGTGCTTGCACCCTCACACATGGGGGGGGGGGGAGAGAGAAACTGGAGCGGAAAAAGCAGTGCAACCCCTCTGCTATTTTAACATCCTCCTCTTTTCTTTCTTTCTTTTTTTCATTTTCAGAAGAATGCTGCTGGGGCATGACTTTATATAAGTGGTATCCCTTTTGGCAACCTTATCATATGCTGCTTAGATATGATGGCATTAAGCAGCATGCCTGGATAGCTCAGCTGGCTAAAGCATGGTGCTGATAATGCCAAGGTTGTGGGATCTATCCCCACATGGAACAGTTTCATATTCCTGCATTGTAGGGGGTTGGGATAGATGATCCCCAGGGTCCTTCCAATTCTACAATTTTATGATTCTGTAAATGGCTGAACTACATCAAGAATAAAACAAGTGGTTACATGCATGAGTATGTAGTATGCAATCAGTCCCTAAGGGACATCACTGAGTGAGGGTTCCACTGGAGCCCTGCTGGAAAGAAAGATGGCAACACCACCGTATCCTATGGAGGAGTCAAGAGAAGCGTTGTCTCTCTCAATCTCTGTTGCTACAGGAGGCAGAGAGAGTTGATATGCAGTGTATAGCTCTGCAACCAACCAAAATGCCATCACTTATCCAGTCCAGCAACATTTGATGAAGTCTGGAGAGCACAGTTTCAGAAATAAAATCGTGCTCATGCCACATGCAGACTTCACACTCCATGTTAATTAATTCAGAAGGGTTAATTCCCCTCCTGTATTCCAAATTCAAAAGTATGAATCAGAACCCCTGCCCCCTGTGAGAAAGCATTGGAAAGGAAGCGGAAATTCTCATTACCCAGAGTAATTGATTAAAAGTTAATAGAGGTTAAAAACAACAAAAACAACAATTATTTTTTTAATTTATACCTCGCCCATCTGGCTGGGTTTCCCCAGCCACTCTAATCTGGACTAAGTGATCTTGAATATGGAATGCAATCGTTCAGTCCTATACTTACCCTCTCAGAAGTAACCACACTGAGCTCATCGATACCCCCAAGTAGGTGGGTATAGCTCAGGTCTAGTGATGGTGAAAGCATCACCATCTTTTCTAAAACTCCATCTCTGCAAATGGGTGATGCCCCCATTCGCCCTGACCCTTGATCTTGTGCTGCTAGCATCTTGATCTGGATGCTTCAACTTACCTCCGGGCTTCACTTGTTATTCCTACAGATCAACCTGTTCTTAAAGATGTAAGAACAGGGCTATTGGGAGTAATATTTTTGCTGTACTAGGGAGCATAGAGAAGGGGAGCAAGGCACTCACGTCTGGTGGCCACAGCAGATTGAACTCCTTCAGCCGCAAGCAGGTATCCAAGGAGGAAGAAGAGGCAGGCCCCCTTCATAACTGGAAATGCACAGCTGGACTCACAAGCACAGAACTTGCATGGATCAGCCTGCTGTTTCTCCAAACCTCTTCAGAACAGAACTGGGAATAAAGTTTGCCTGCTGCCCTCCTCCCTTCTGATTAAATTAAAGCCCCAGGGCTCATCATGTGATGGCATTAAGGAGAGATGCATGATTTTGTGTCTTTGGCTTTCCTTTCCCTCCCTCCAGCTCATGTGCTTATGACTCATGCCTCTCACTTTCTACATCCACTGGGATTCTTAACAGCTTTGCTTAGATGCAATGGCCTTTTGCCTCTCAGGCATTTCTGGAGCAATCTTGCACCTTTCACAGAGGGTGTAGCTGTTTATCTTACACCAAGTTGTTAATTCCTACAGATGTTCAGGGATGACCAGCTCCTGCGTTCTTTGGAGACCATTTCTGCTCTCCAGATAGTGGTTAAAGGATCAGGAGTATATTTGGAAAAGTTTTTTTTATATAATGGAATCAGTGCTACCTAGCAGCAAGAATTACTGGAGCTACGTAATATACTTCAGGAATGTCCAAGGCATTATAGACCACCAAGAGGTCTAATGTCAAAATATAGTATTTCTCATTTTCTCCAACAAATTTATTTTCCTTCCATGTGACAAGGTGTACAGCTCCTTACATAATATGAGAGGAGCCCTTAGGGAACGCAGAAGAAGAAGAAGAAGAAGAAGAAGAAGAAGAAGAAGAAGAAGAAGAAGAAGAAGAAGAAGAAGAAGAAGAAGGAGGAGGAGGAGGAGGAGGAGGAGGAGGAGGAGGAGGAGGAGGAGGAGGAGGAGTTTGGATTTGATATCCCGCTTTATCACTACCCGAAGGAGTCTCAAAGTGGCTAACATTCTCCTTTCCCTTCCTCTCCCACAACAAACACTCTGTGAGGTGAGTGGGGCTGAGAGACTTCAAAGAAGTGTGACTAGCCCAGGGTCACCCAGCAGCTGCATGTGGAGAAGTGGGGAAGCAAACCCGGTTCACCAGATTACGAGACTACCGCTCTTAACCACTACACCACAGAGGATACTTAGGTGCTACACTGCCTCATTTAATACCAGAGAGCCACCATGAAGATGGCAAAGGAAACCCGCCACTGGGGTCACATATTATCACATGTGGTGGGAATACCCTATTGTGGATTCATTCTTGGGTAAAGCCTTTGAGGCGATATTATGGAGCAAAATATTATTGTTTAATGGACTCCAAACTGACTGTATCAGCCATGTTCCAGAAGCTGAATTGAAGTCCAAGAAAGGGGTCTTGTCGTCTGGGCAGCCCAATGTGGGGCTCGAACCCACAACCCTGAGATTAAGAGTCTCATGCTCTGCTGACTGAGCTATCCCACTTCAATGATCTTTATTGCTTCAGTACTGTGGCTTGTGAGCCCAGGACAGCTGTTGTGTTGAATTACGTAATGTGTGAGAGTTGTTAGAAATGATAAAAAAAGATGCTTTAAGCATTTGAGGAAAAACTTTTATATTGACCAAGTTCTAAATCAAAGCATTAAATTGTAGGCCAGAGCCACTTTGCCTTATCCATGTTTGTCTGCAAGCTCATGAGTCTAAGCAAGACCCCGTTGTGTGTCAGTAAAAGTTGTGACACAGTGTCGTCGCTTTGATCACAGTGATGCAGAATTCAGGGGTGGCAAACTTGTCTACCTTCTATGCAGCTTTTAAAGGTGCAGGAAAGTCTTCACAAGCTAATCAGGATTATTTGGATGTGGAAATAGGGTTGGAGCTATTTTTGAAAAGGTAGGGCGGTATCATACACTCTGTATGGCTGGTAAATCTGGATGCATATTAAGGAGTGGCATCTCACTGTGACCAACTCCTACACGTAGTTGACTCCACATTAAGAAACCTTTATTCAAGATTTAAAATGGCCTCCATACGACTGCTAGGGGTTCAGTCCAGCCCCACCAAATGTTATGACTGGAAAACACACCAGCCTGTTCTTATAGGCAGGTAGAGGCTACAGCTCCTCTTCTCTCAGAGACCTGTAAGCAGACTTCATATCAACATAGTACAGTGGTACCTCGGGTTAAGTACTTAATTCGTTCCGGAGGTCTGTTCTTAACCTGAAACTGTTCTTAACCTGAAGCACCACTTTAGCTAATGGGGCCTCCTGCTGCCGCTGAGCCGCCGGAGCACGATTTCTGTTCTCATCCTGAAGCAAAGTTCTTAACCCGAGGTAATATTTCTGGGTTAGCGGAGTCTGTAACCTGAAGCGTATGTAACCCGATGTACCACTGTACTCAGAAGCAGCTCAGACAACAAAAATGTCCATGCATAACTGATCGTTTGTCTGATTACACACAGAGATTTATATCTATATACTTTGAAGACTTGTCATGTGATAAATTCCAGAGTAGTGACTGTGTTAGATTGTTGCCACAAAAGTCTGCATGTTGTCATATGATATAGCTCAAGCAACTTTGTGAACTGGAAAGTGTTCGTAGGTTTATGTAACTTCCCCTTAGCTCCTTGTCCCTCACCCTTTCTGCCATTCCTACCTGTGTTTTGTGTTAAGCAAAATGAAAAATTTAATAGAAGCATTAATGATGAGAACAAATTAATGCAAAGACCCAAAGAACAATAAAATGAATTTCACAGGAAATCTAATCAAAGCACAGCATCCCACACGCCTCATGGCAAGTCGCTTTCAAAAGTGACAGACATTTCAAAAGCAGTTTGGGCTGTGACGTGGAGATCGACTGCTCCAAAGAAAAAAGTTTGTTAAAAACAAAACAAAACACTGGGTTGTAGCGCAAGCCCTTCCAAAATAAATGTGAGGGAGGTGGTTCATGATCAGCTCGCCCAATATATTTTTATTTACTTCAGAACCGCTTTGGAGAGCTCTAATTTGATTGAGGAAGTTATGCTCTCATACTTAAACCAAGCAGATTAACAGTTGAATCTTCAACACTGGTGATGACTCTGGATCCTCCATCACATTTAAGGGCAGCAGGCTAGCTCAGAGGGTGCTGGGTAGGTCACAAGCCACACACTGATCTGTCCTTTAACACCTTGCTGTCAGTTCCTGTCCCCCAAGCATCTGCCACCTGGGGTAGCTGCCTCACCGTACCTAATGGCCAATGGGACAAGAACAAGAATGTCTGGTTTTTTCTGTGTGATATTAAACAATACACTCACATTCCTGTTCTTTCCATTCATTTGTAAACCAAAGAATAGCAAACTAAGTGACTTAGCAGTTTTCTAATCTTGAACATCAAATGTGATATGAAATTGCTAATTACATGGCGGCAATATGTGTAATGAGCTTGGTTACGCTGCTTCTAGTTATTGCAACTGACACAAAGACTATCATTCATTCACTTTTACAAAATGACTGTAAAAGCACTACTGTGGTGTCACAATAACATCTCACTTGTTTCATTCCACTCCATCATGATGGCATCTATTTGACCATCTTAGATGGACTCAAATCTTCTGTGCTTTAAATTAGAGCTGTGGTTTGAATATTCATAGTTGATTCCTATATTCATAGTTGATTCCTCTACTGTATTGCTGTAAGCCACCCAGAGTGGCTGTGGAAACCCAGCCAGATGTATAGGGTATAATAATTCATTTATTATTACAGTGGTACCTCAGGTTACAAACACCTCGGGTTACAGGCTCCTTTAACCCGGAAGTAGTACTTCAGGTTGAGAACTTTACCTCAGGATGAGAACAGAAATCGCACGCCGGCGGCCTGGGGGCGGCAGGAGACCCCATTAGCTAAAGTGGTACCTCAGGTTAAGAACAGTTTCAGGTTAAGAAAAGACCTCCAGAACGAATTAAGTTCGTAACCGGAGGTACCACTGTACTACTAATAAAAACTAACTGATTTATCAGAAAGTTCTAACCTCAATGAGTTGCCATAGCTGAGAGTTAAGGGCACATTTGTTTACTGGCTTAAGTTATTTTGCTCTGATGCATTATGTTAGGGAATACAAAATATGTTAGGGAATACAAAATAAAATACTAGAGATGGCTTTTCCTTCTAATAATATGTGCTCTTTTTTGTCCATAATGCTGAATATCATCTCATATTTCCATGAAGATCCTGAAATTCTTGTTTCTTCATTACATTCATAGAGACATTTGCCCATTACCAGTGCCTCACCACTTTCAAATATTGTAAATAAGGCAGGCCCTGCCCTTGGGCTTTCAATCTAAAAAGCACAGCACAGAAGGAAAACAAGGTGCAGATGGAAGAGGAAAAGAACAAGTTCATCCACCAGCTGAAAATGTAACAGTTTTTCCAGGCTAGCTGGAATGCAACAGTTCAGCTAGTCTGAAAGAATGGCTGCCACTCAGTGACAGTTGAGGTTTCAGTACACACAGGGCATCCCTAAGAACAAAGGCTGTTTTCTTGTCACATTGCTTCAAATAAACCTACACCTTCTAAGTCTGTCATTCTAGAACTGCTGTCTTGAGGGAAATCTTAAAAAGAAAGGAAACCAATGAGCCTTAAACAATGTCCCTGAGTAATCAATCAAAACATTTTGAATCCCTTAATCCCACTATTAATCAGCTAAATATTGCAGAATTAAGGAAGTCTAGAAACACTTTGAGTGGCTAGCAGAGAAAGAGAAAAATAAATAAAGCAAGTGCGTATATCTGGCAGTAATTTGTTTTTAAGTATTTAGTTAAAAGATTTTTAGCCTCCTATTCATCAAAAGGGGAGAGGGGAGGGCTCCCAGAGTGGGTTTCAAAAATCAACAGTAAGACAGGGCCTGCCCTCAGGCTTTCAATCTAAAAGACATGACATGAAAGGAAAAAGGGATTTGGAGGAAGGAGGAAAAAAGCAAACTCAGACACGAGGCTAAAGTTACAGTCTTTACAGATTAGCTGGAATCAAACTGTACATCAGTCCAATGGAATGGCTGCCTATAGCAATGCTGACATACTGTGATTTAATATTCTCGGTTGGCTTTTCCTGCATGAATTCGGGGTTTAAAACTTTGATCATTTTAATGATTATTTTAGCAATACAAAAAGGAAGAGGGGTTTTTTTAAAAAAATAAAATGAAACAAAAAACTCAGTACTTTCAATACAAGTAATTAAGCAATCAATGTGAGAGTCAGGTTCGAGCCCTATGTTGGGCAAAAGATCCCTGTACTTCTGGTTGGTCCCTTCCAACTCTTCACTGATTCAAATTCTATATCCACTTACCTGGAAGTAAGTCCCGTTGAATTCAGAGAGACTTATTTCTGAGTAGACATGTTATATGCTTGTGCTGTAGATGTACAGCTCAAAGGGGTGAAAACAGGGAAGGGGAATTGGTGCCAAGTCCCATCAGCCCCAGCCAGACCCTGCCCACCCATGAGGTCGGGTGAAGCATCTCTCCCACCCCTCCTGTACCATCACTTCCGTAGTGGGGGGTGGGTGCAGTAGTGGGGGGTGGGCAAAGGAAGGCACATTCCCGTTTTACCTCAGGGATGTTGCAAGATGTAGTCCAAAGATATCCGAAGGCCCACAGATTCCCCTTCTCCTGCCTTTAAAAAAAGGCAGAACAATTTTCAAGGTTTTTATTAAACCATTAAGGTAAGGTCATTGGAATTTTTTCCAAATCTGAAGCTCATCTGGAAGAAAATGTCATGTGCAGTAGAAAAAAATATATATTTCCAGGTTGTAAAACAGCTTGCGCAAAAAAACGACGCCACATCAGTGCCTGAATCCAAATGCTCCCTGGGGGTGCAGGAGCACATGAAGCTCCTCTGTGCGCAATGGCGTTCTCACTCACTTTCATGAAAGGGGCAAATGCTCTTATCGCAGGGACCAGATCAAGAGCACTGAACACACACAACTGTGGATTGAGGAAAAGGTTGTAAACACTAGACTGACAGAGAACTTTACATTTTTATTTAGCCCCTGCTTCTTTTCTTTTTTTAAGGAGGCAGGATTTGACATTTTCCAGTAGACGAGAAAATTGTTGATTCCGTGGGCATTCTTGCTTGTGTGGAGAAAGTTGCAAGAGTTGCTATCTTGAAAAATTAGAGGAAGTACTGTCAGCAGACATGACAGTAGATCAAGGTCCCTCGTGCAGTTTTCTGGAGATGTTTCAGCCCATGTCATGCATGTGAGGGCACTTGACAGCAGGCGTTTATAATGTGTACGTACTGTGGCTTTGAAAATAGGACAATTTGATCTTCTTTATCCAGATTAGATGCTCTAGGGGTCTAGGCCATGCAGCTTTTGAGAACTACCTATTATAACACCCTGGCCTCAAATGAATTATGCCTTTTATTGATCATGCTGCATTGGGCTTCCTCTGTCAGTATCGAATCTACATGAAGTAACAGAGCTGAAATGAACTCCCAGAGTAGTCATCACAAATAATCTGAACTGTGGTAGGAATTGGGAGGGAGCCCAGGTCAGAGCATATGGGGAGGGGCACCATGCAGAGTTTGGACAACTGGGAGGTGGGCCTGGCCTTCAGTTATACCTGGCAACTATCTTAAATGAAGGGCTTATGGTAATGATTTATTTACTGTTTCCAAGATCAGAGGCAACATGCCTCTAGATACCTGTTGCATACCCTCCAACATTTCTCTGATTAAAATATGCATGTCCTATTCAATAAATAATAATAATAATAATAATAATAATAATAATAATAATAATTAAAAAAAAATAATTTTATTTATTTATATATATCCCTCCCATCTGACTGGGTTGCCCCAGCCACGCTGGGCAGCTTCCAACATATATAAAAGCATAATAAAACATTAAACATTTAAAAAAGTTTTCTCATACAAAGCTGCCTTTAGATGTCTTCTAAAGATTGCATAGTTACTGTTCTCCTTGGCTTGGGGGTCGCATAACTCCATACCCTCCATAATCAGATCAGAAACCGGGACGGCTTCTGTAAATCCAGAATTGTCCCTGGAAAATAGGGAAACTTGGAGGGTCTGTTGTTGCTGGGGACCAAGACTGTTGCATGAAACATGATAGACCAACAGGGCTCTTACATTCTACACTGAAATTTTCTAAGATTTCTGTGGCATGCTTACCCTACATCTTTGTTAAGGCACAGGAATGGTTCAAATTGCATTGGTTTTACTGTGTAAGGCACGCGCCTCATTTGACTTCTTCTGCAACCGTTTTCTATAGTGTAGATGCTACATCTACACACCCAAGACTAAATAAAGCAAGAATGGGAAAAGGGCACATGTCCGGAGCATCAGACCCATTCGGCATAATCAGAAGCAATCTAATTACCTTGAGCACATGACAGAGCATATGCTGGAACCACATTTCATGTGATCTGCAAGAATAAAGCAAGAGGTTTTGCAGGGATGTGGCTAAAAGGCTGACAGGAAAGCACTGAATACACAAAGGAACAAGAACACAGACACTAAATCTTCTCTAGCAACCCTTTTTAAAAAGTTTGCTGTAGAGCAAGAATGGGGAACATGCAGCCACCCAGATGTTGATGAATTCCAATTCCAGTCCAACATCATCTGGCAGGCCACAGGTTCTCCATCCCTACTCCAAAGTAATCGCAGTTGTAGGATCAACACCTCTGAAGTTGGTTTTTCTTCCCACCCTTTCACCACCAATCAGCTTGTGTAACTGGGATGTGGCAGTTTGCATGCAATATAAGACCAATTTGGAAATACAGTGGTACCTCGGGTTACATACGCTTCAGGTTACAGACTCCGCTAACCCAGAAATAGTACCTTGGGTTAAGAACTTTGCTTCAGGATGAGAACAGAAATCGTGCTCCGGCGTTGCGGCAGCAGCAGGAGGCCCCATTAGCTAAAGTGGTGCTTCAGGTTAAGAACAGTTTCAGCTTAAGAAAGGACCTCCGGAACGAATTAAGTACTTAACCCGAGGTACCACTGTATGAAAGCTGGAAATTGAATATGGCATATTTCTAAGTTTGGGGCTGATGTCAGAGGCCTAACTGGGCTACCTGTTGAAGCCCACAGCCCTGCCCCTAAGTCCCCAGCCCAGAATTTCTTCTTCCTTGCTGACATTGCCTCTGGTTTGCTTATCTTCCTTCCAGTCAGCAGAGTCTGAAGGGGGCTAGTTCATTGCACAAAAAGTTTCCAACATGGGGTTGGGCAAGTACGCTGATTGGTGAGGGTTCCCACTCCTTAGTTGAGGAACCTTTGCATGATCAACCAGCACTCTTCAGAATCAGCCAACTGCACTGTGACCTGGGAGCATAACCTGTACATGTGATATCACACTAGATGCACACTTTCTGGCAGTTTTGTGATGAGCACCTGAACATAGGAAGCTGTCTTACATGGAGGGCTCTTCCACAGTTCCACTGGTCCTGCCACTTTCCCCTGATGAAACCTGCTGTTTAGCGCAGAATTGGAGCAAGAGTCAATCGGGTTTTCTCTGGATTGACTTCAATTTAGCACTAAAGAGCACCTCTCTTCCTTGACATTTATTACTCAGTGAGGCCAGCACAGCTGCTAATATTTTAATCTATCTGGGTATGTAACATTCTGCTAGTACGGCTGGGCTTACTCAAAAAGGACCAGGCTATGTTCCTGGAGGTGGGTGATAGGGATGAATGAGATAGGTCCATTCATTGTTCACATTCACTGACCAATTTCATTCTGGATTGCCTTTTAATAAAGTCTGAAGAATGGAAGGAAATGATGGTAGCAGGTAAGAGAATCCTTGTGAGATGTGAGTCAAGGGTTGGGAATGCTAATTAGCCCAGATTAATAAATGCCTTGGGCAGCCTGACCACATGGAACTAAAGTGGTCCTGGCAATGCCACCGTTGGATTCTATTGCCAAACCTTCTGGAAAGAACTATTTTTATCATACAAACGGGCTAGACCTGTCGAAGGACATATGCTGGATGAGGCCAATGGCCCAACTAGTCCAGTATCCTGTTCTCACAGTGGCCAACCAGCTGCCTACAGGGAGCCTGAAAGCAGGACCTGAGCTCAGCAGCATCAACGGCCTTGCATTTACCCCATCTGTAAGCTTGCCAGCATGGCATTGCCAATGTGCTACAACAGTGCTTAATGCACTTACAGAATCAGCTGCCACCACAAGCCCCCCCCCCCAAGTGTAAGCATTGCTTTGGCAAAGTCATAGATCTGGTTGCTAGACTCTAAGAAGCAGATAAGCTTTCTGCTCCACAGTTATTTTGAAAAGCAATAGAGCACTAGAAGTATCTATTGCACACAGCAGGAATACAAGGGAGAATGCACTGTGGAAGGCAAACCTAATTGCTTTTATTGACAATTACTTTATGACCGAAGGGAACGGGGCAATTAGACTCCTCATGTCTGTAGTAAAGCATTCCTTGTAGCGTTTTGGATATCAACATTGAGAGGGGGTATTGATATCTAAATTAATGGCCCGAGTTTATAAATTGCCCTGTGCTTTTATTTCAAGAGGGAACAGCAGCTAAGTAGATCTGCAAAGGATAAAGAGATTAATTAATTACAGTATCGGTCTTTGGGGATTTCCAAAGCTTTTCTGTAAACATGCCTTCAGACAAAAAGCCCAGTTTGCTTAAGGCTATGTGGAGTTGGCAAGGAAGAGTGGACTCCTTCAACAAAGAAGATATAGGCATGCTCTCAAGGCAGCCTAGGGAACCATGAGCTGCATTCTTTTCTGGGCAACCTTCCAGGAACCAGAGGCCAGTGTGGACAGAGCAAGAAATGCTTATGTTTCTTTTGTACAGCAGACAAATTTCTAGACACACGTACCTATCAGCCCTTAGATCAGAGCAGGAGAACCTTCAGCTCCTTGGACGTTGCTGAATTCCAGCTTCCATCATTTCTGATCATTGGACATGCCAGCTGAGAATGATGGGAGCTGGAGCCCAGCAACATGGCGAGAACTCTGTGGCTTCCCTAGCCCTGCCTCCCTTAGTGTGTCTGCTAAACTTCAAACCATTCTAAATTTGACCTACCATTAGTGAAAAATCAATGACTCTCACATTCTATAATTCAAAGAAAGTAGTGGTCGTAATCACATGAAACTAGTCTGGGACGTGAGGACACATAACAGTTTTTCACCTCATTCCTCCCCACTGCCCCCACCTGCAGTAGTTGAAAGCATAGTACTTCCTGTTATTCAGGGTGGCGTACTATGGGGTCATTATGGGACGCGGGTGGCACTGTGGTCTAAACCACTGAGCCTCTTGGGCTTGCTGATTGGAAGGTTGGTGGTTCAAATCCCTGTGACAGGATGAGCTCTTGTTGCTCTGACCCAGCGCCTGCCAACCTAGCAGTTCAAAAGCACGCCAATGCAAGTAGATAAATAGACACTGTTGCGGCGGGAAGGTAAACGGCATTTCCATGCGCTCTGGCTTCTGTCACGGTGTCCCGTTGTGCCAGAAGTGGTTTAGTCATGTTGGCCACATGACCTGGAAAGCTGTCTGTGGTGCTGTTTGTCTGTGGACAAAAGGCTCTCTAGGCCTGAAAGCGAGATGAGCGCCGCAACCCCATAGTCGCCTTTGGACTTAACCATCCAGGGGTTCTTTACCTATTTACCTTTACTATGGGGTCATGCATTTATATTAAAGGGTCTCTAAACCAGCTGGATAGCTATCCATTAAATTTTCATTTTCAGTACAAAATTAATGCACAGAAATAAAATACCTGCTCTCACTCTCTTTTTAAAAAATCATCGGTTTACATGATGTTTTCCCTTCATGCGAAAGTTACTGACCCTTTGCAACTACGCTTTACATTCACATGGGCAGGCAAAGCAGGGTGGCTGGTTATGCCCACAATTTTGGCAGCTTTTGCACACAGCTCAGCTATTGACACTGGATGAAAAGGTAAGAGGTGGGGCACCATGTGCGAAGCGAAGAAGGGATCCGAAGTTCAAATTGATCTGCTTGACGACGAGTCTCTCGCATGAAGTTCTGACTGCAAAAGCGGTTGTGTGCACAGACAGGAGATGGCGTGGGGGTTAATCTTTACTATTGTCAATGACTAGCAATTCATTTAGTTGTTTTAGATATTTGTAATCCACCCTTCACCAAAAAGGTCCCAGGGCGGCAGACATTAAAATTAAAACCATCATTAACCACAAGTAAAATTGAAACAAAAATAATTCAGTGTCATAATCAAATTCAGTACTGATTTCCGTACCAAAATTTACCTGATGAGAAAGTGGTTTTTGTTGTCTGGAGCATCAGAATGACCAAACAAAGGTACACGCATAAAATAAAATAAAACTAAAGTATTTGCATGAATCTGGAGTCCTTATACTTCACAGAAAATGAGGGTAAGCCCAACTGCTATCAGGGAGGAAAGCTAGTTTATGCTATTGTTTGCTTCCTGTGTTGTGCTAAAACAGTCACACACAGAGGAAGGCTTTAGTAGACTAGGTGCTAAGAGGATATACCGTATTTTTCGCCTCATAGGGCGCACCGGCCCATAAGACGCACCTAGTTTTTTGGGGGGAGGGCTCCACCGGCTTGCGCAGAGCTACCCAAAGCGCCGGTGCGACTGCTCATCGCGCCGGGGCTTCAGGATAAGAGGCAGCGCTGCGCAAGCCGGGGGAGCCCTCCCGCGGCTTGCACAGAGCTACCCGAAGCCCCGGCGCGACTGCTCAGCGCACCGGGGCTTCGGGGTGCAGGCAGCGCTGTGCATGGGTGGGAGCCCGGGGGGAACTCCTGCGGGCTCCCACGGCTTGCGGATAGCTTCCTGAAGCCTGGAGAGCGAGAGGGGTCGGTGGGCACCGACCCCCGCGCTCTCCAGGCTTCAGCCAAAGCCTGCATTTGCCCCATAGGACGCACACACATTTCCCCTTCATTTTTGGAGGGGGAAAAGTGCGTCCTATAGGGCGAAAAATACGGTACTCAGAATTACAGTAAGGCAGAGCACTGTGGTAACAAATGGTCCCAGCGCCAAATCACAGCAGATAGATGTGCTCATTTAAATCAACCAATTATAGCTAGAAAAGCTAAGGCTGAGGACTACTGTGGTACTGAAGCTGTTGAGGCCAGATTATAGCAACAGAACAGCATGGAGGGTTTGTGGGTTCTATAACTTTGGTATAGCTGGGGAATAGCTGGTGTATCCAAAAGGTATGATTTGGGGACTTTAAGGTACCTTTAGCACAACATCGCATTGCCATAAAGTATGGAAGCCAACTCTACCAAAGAAAAGAACAGCTTGGGTTTCCTACATTTTCAAGTTCATTGCAAAGCTACATTTTGCTATGCAATACTCTCAAGTTAAATATTCATTCTGGAGCCAACAAGTCAAATAGATCACATATTTCTAGAAACAAATGTAACTTCTCTGAAACAATATGGTGAGCCATAGTTGAATTTAACTTCCGAAGGATTAAATCAAAGTGTCTCTGATATTCACACACACCGGTAAAGATAGTAAGAACAACCTCAGGCCACATTACAGATTTAGAAGTGATGCTGGTGGTGGCTTGGAAGGAATTTTTCCGAGTGTGAATTTCTTCGCCTTAAATTGCTCCAGTTCTTCAGCAGACAGTTCCGACTCTGGGGTAAATAACTTTGCAGAGGTGGTGCTGGGAGGGGTTGTGGAAGGGGGCAATGTTGCATTACCCCCAGAGAGACTTGCCGGCTGCCCAAACAGTGTGTTCCCCGAATTCAAAGAAGCGGAAGCAGCAGCTGTTCCAAACACCGAAGCAGATGTGGAGTCTGAGGAGCTGGCAGGAAAAGATTTGCCAAATCCGGGATTCAAAGCAGGGGTAATGGCTGCTGTCCCAAACACTGATGCAGGCGCAGTCTCCGGGGAACTTGCTGGAAAAGGTTTGCCAAACCCTGCAAAACCAGAAGCTCCAAACCCACCTGGAGTGGTTGTAGCCATTTTAAATGAAAAGGAAGATGCCGATGAAGCAGGTTGATCTCCAAAGCTGACGGCATGGGGCGCAGCGGTGGAAGATGCGGTGCCCTGGCTGCTCGTGAGGCTCCCAAACGCAGGTGTGCTTCCAGAGGAGATGCTGCCAAGTTCAGAAGCTGGTTTGAAGGAGAAGGCTTGAGCAGATTTATTATCCACAGGAAAGGCTGCAATTGTCACACAAAGAAAAGCAATAGTTTGCAACAGTAAGGTCAAGAAATGATAGTAAACCCAGGACTATCGGAACTAAGAATATGCAATCCTCCACCCACCACCAGCCAAAACAAATCCCTACCTGATGATCCAAAAGCCGATGCCTGCTGTCCTCCAAACCCAAATGCAGGTGGTGGCTGACTAGCCGTGTTCTTAAATTCAGATATCTTAAAACAATGAGAAGTAGTTCTACATGTTACAGAAGAAAAAAAGGTACTATTGCTTCCAATTCAATATAAAATGCATAGTTAGAAGTGAACAAATATTTGATATAGAATAGGGGGGCCACCAGGGGGCGCATTGGAAGATGGCCGACAATAACATCTCTCCGACCCACACGAGGTAATTAAGAGGTTGTTATGGGAGTATGCAGCCTCCCTTGCCCCCCCCAAGGGAATGGGGGGGACTGCCTTGCCTGCTGTGCCCATAATTCACCCCCAGATTCGAAAGAATGGGGTGAGGGCATTAGGCACGAAGCCCTTGGGTGGGTCTGGCTCTCCCAGACGCTGTCTCTGATCGCACACTGGTTTGCATCAGCTTGAAATATATAATTGAAAACAGAAGCAAATGCACATACTTCAAGTGAAGATCGGGAGTAAAGACTGCTGATTAATGGGATCTCTGTGAGTGGAGCGATGGGCTGGACAATAAATCAAGTGAAGACTCATCATTAAAAGATCGGTATGTCGGAGCGAAACAGAAAGGGGTGGGGGAGGGAAAACTTTTCTTTTTTTGCCTTATGTGAGTACCCAATAATCCTTCCTCCCAGAGAGAAATAATCGTTGCAAATTACTAATCACAAGCAGGAGATTAAGAACTGTGTGGAAATAAATTACTGATCAAAGAGAGGACTGGTGGGAACATCTGATGGAAAGAAAGCTTTGTGACGCAGTTTCAAATGGAGATTTGTTAAGACAGGCCTGCTCACAGGAGGACAAGGGGGAGGAGGACATGGTCATCGGAATGTGAATGTATGGTTATCGGAATGTGGATTTAACCTGGCAGGGCCCCCTGAGATACAGTTTCGCAGGCCTGTGAAAATCAACGGACAGACTGTGGGAATGTTTTTTGTGGAGGTGTGGAAATGGCGTCTGTCCTTTATGTGATATGGCTCTTGAAGAGTGTAAAATCCACACAGGATATGTTTGTTTTCAACCCGCTTGTGAAGTTTATCAGAGATCACAAAGAAAGGAATATATGATAACAACAAGAAGATGAGGAAAATAACAAAGAGACTATCTGGACAGAACTGGACAGAACTGTGTAATTAAAGCAGCAACAAGAGTGATGTTTGGATCCCTTTCGGAGCTCGAAGTATGGGTACCCCCAATAAAATTTTAAAAATCTGGCTGTATAATTTGGAACTAATGTGATTTGGAATTAATGTGATTTGATTGGCCTGTTAATAAAAATTATTTGAAAAAAAAATATTTGATATAGAATAAGCCAACTTACATTACCATCACTATGATTTCACTTTATTTGTGGTGTGGATCTACAGCAGGGATGGGGAATCTAAGGTCCTCCAGATGTTGTTGGACAACTCCTCCCACCATTCCCAACTCCTGGTCATACCAGCTGATGCTGAGAGGAGCTGAAGTCCAGCAACACCTGGAAGGTCACAGGTAAATGAATAGATCTCTGTACTGTTTCTGTACTGTCGTCAGACGCAGCCCTATTTACATATAACACACTGCAGTAATCTAATCTGGAGGTGACCAAAGCATAGACAACAGAGGTTAGCCTACTCATGTCCAGAGAGGGGCGCAGCTGGGCTGTCAGCCGAAGCTGATGGAAGGCACTCTGTGCTGCTGAGGCCACCTGAGCCTCAAGCAACAGCAGAGGATCCAGAGGTTCCCACAAACTGCATGCCTGCTCCTTGCCCTTGATTCCCTCTGAAACAGCTCCCCACAAAGGGGCACCCCCACCCTGGTCAGCCCAGGTCTTGATATATCCCCCACTCCTGTGGTAAACTGAGCGCAGATGAGTTCTCAGTTGGTCAGCCAGCAGGGGTCAGGGTAGAACAGGCTTCCCTCTGCCAGTCCAAGGTGCAAAAAGGCCAGCTTCCTCAAGAGGAGGAGGAATTCCAGCTGCTGTGTAAGAGGTTACCTCCTCCATGGATGGTCTCCGGCTGCTGCTACTTCTGAGAGCAAAGCATCAGTTTTCTCTCTCTCTCTCTCTCTCTCTCTCTCTCACACACACACACACACACACACTAAAGAACACCTGCCCTCTTAGTAACCTATTTTTCTGCCTTCTTGAACCCCCTTGGCCACCACCATCTTTCAAGGAAGCAGAGCCAGAAGCTAAACAATGCCAATTAATAATACCCCTTACTCTGGATGTTTATTGTAGAGACAGTATCTTCTATCAACAAATCTGATTTTATTATTGTGAACTGCTTCGCGAAACATGACTGAAAGATTTACAAACCTTGCAAAATAAATTTAAAACTTTAAATGAAGACCTTTTCATTTTCTCTATTACACTCACCAATGCCGCTTTAGTAGATGCATTTATATTCTTCAGCTCAAGCAACCGACTTCTCCACTGGCTTGCTAACTGCTGGACTGAATTGATCTGGAAAAAAAGGGAGATTAGACTGTGTTAGGACCCTGCCAATCAAACCAAGAAGGAATAGAATTACTGAGCAGCTGTGATTAAAATGTGTTGGCACATTCAGAACCAGAAGAATGTCATTACTACCCCACAATTCAAATGTATATATTTTGGGGGCGGTGGTCTTGATTCCAAATCACAGCCATTTACACTAAACAATATTACACCACTCGTAATCACATACAGCTCTCAACAGTTCAATGCATCATCAGAGATTTACAACCTTTCTTAGATAATGACAGCTTTCTTTCCCAAGCTCCGAAAGGAAAATCTTTCATTGCCTACAGAAAGCCACCCAATCTTAAACAAGTCCTCACACACGATAATATAACAACCAGACTTAACGTGGACACTGGCACAAGAGCCTGCAATAAATCTAGATGCCAACTTTGCTGCCACATACACCTGGGCAACATCATTATTGGCCCCAATAACATCAAACATAACATCCCAGGCCTATTTAATTGTTTATCTTCCAACATTAAATATGCTATCAAATGCCAACAGTGCCCTTCAGCTCTCTATATTGGACAAACAGGACAAACCTTATGCCAAAGGATAAATGGACATAAATCTGATATCAGGAATCATAAAACAGAGAAACCAATAGGAGAACACTTCAGTCTCCCAGGACATTCTATGCAAGATCTTAAAGTAGCTGTCTTATTGCAAAAGAATTTTAGAAATACACTTGAAAAAGAAGTTACAACTCATTACCAAACTAAAAACTATGGAGAGACCTAGTCTGAATAGAGATATTGGATTCATGTCCCATTATACATGCTAAAGTTAATTTTTGTAATCTATCCCTTTAAAAATCCCTTGCCCTTCCCTGTGGAACCAACTGCCATCATTAACAGTCGTCAACAGTTGTAAGGTTGTAGCAACCTCTGCTTCAGAGTATCTGAAGAAATGTGTATACACACGAAAGCTCATACGTAGAAAGCTTATACTTAGTTGGTCTTTAAGATGCTACTGGAATTATGAAAAAAAAAATGGGGGGGGGGAGATTATTTTAAAGACTGTCTTAAGACAAAAAGACTTGATTCTTGTTAAAGGAGTTCTTTTTGGATAATCTTTTAAGTTTTTTTCCTTTCATCTTGTTATTTATCATCAATATGTAGAGACTCACATAATTTTGTACATTGTTGTTTGCTCTGCTATTATAATATTCAAGACGCAACTCTTCTGGCAAGAAGTCTGGAAACCCTGCAGGAAGAGGAACAGTCAAAACCTGGAAAGACAGATAATACTGCTCTTATCCCCAGCTATGAAATCATAGTAAATGCATCCCCCAACAACTCTCATGTTTGTTGACAAGAGACACAGGCCAAGTATAAAAGCAAATGACAATGGCACCAGAGAATCGATTAATAGCTTTCACCATGCATTGGGGTCTTATTTCAAAAGCATGATACTTCAAAGACTCCAGAAGTTACTTCAAAACATGGTATGTAATATATTCTGTGATCTGTGCTACCTTGTACTTTCTTAATTTAGAGCTTATGCCAGGTTGCAAATTAATCATTTATCCATTCAAGACATTGTGTGAAGAAATGCAATTTCAACTCTACATTTATTCAGGTAACAAGCAATGCGTGGTAGGGAGAACTTGTGTTTAGCCCAGGCATAGGCAAACTCGGCCCTCCAGATGTTTTGGGACTACAACTCCCATCATCCCTGGCCACTGGTCCTCACACTCAGCTCTATCTGCTGATGGATGGCCACACCGACTCGGCCCCAAACACACTGACCAGATGCTTGGAAGCTGTGGCTGGATGGTTTCGTGGGAGCCGATTGAAACTAAATCCTTCGAAGACAGAGGTCCTATGGCTAGGTCGGGATGGCATGGGGATGAGGGACCAACTCCCTTCTCTTGCGGGGGCCCAATTAGTGCCATTGCCTTCCGTTAAGAGTTTGGGTGTAATCCTTGACGCCTCCCTTTCCATGGAGGCGCAAGTTACAGCAACAGCCAAGGCAACATTTTTCCACCTTCGCCGCATCAAGCAGTTGGTCCCTTACCTTTCCCGCCCCACCTGGCCACAGTGATCCATGCGACGGTCATCTCCAGGCTTGACTACTGTAATTCACTCTACGCGGGGCTGCCCTTGAAGCTGTCCCAGAAACTCCAGCGGGTACAGAATGCTGCAGCGAGGCTCCTCATGGGGTCTCTGCCATGGGAGCATATTCACCCAGTGCTTTTCAAGCTACACTGGCTTCCGGTGGAGTACAGGGTCAGATTTAAGGTGCTGCTTTTGACCTTTAAAGCCCTTCACGGCCTAGGACCCTCGTACCTACGGGACCGCCTCTCCTGGTATGCCCCACGGAGAGCCTCAAGGTCCATAAATAACAACACTCTAGTGGTCCCAGGCCCTAAGGAAGTTAGATTGGCTTCAACCAGAGCCAGGGCCTTTTCAACACTGGCCCCGGCCTGGTGGAACACTCTGTCTCATGAGACCAGGGCCCTACAGGATCTGATTTCTTTCCGCAGGGCCTGTAAGACAGAGTTGTTCCGCCTGGCCTTTGGCTTGGAGCCAATTTGATTCCCTCCCTCTCTTTCTCTTTTCTTTTCCTTCTCCTGCGATGAGGCTACATTTTAATGTTCCATTATTTTAATGTTGTATTTTATTTTTGTTTTTAAGTTGTAATCATTCATCTTGTTTTTATTATTGCTTGTAAGCCGCTCTGAGCCCGGCCTTGGCTGGAGAGGGTGGGGTATAAATAAAAAATTATTATTATTATTATTATTATTATTAAAACATCTGGAGGGCCGAGTTTGCCTATGCCTGGTTTAGCCCCTTCTGGGCCTCTCAATTCTCCTTTTCAGGTGCCTTCTACATCCGTTCTTCCCAAAGCTGGGCTCACTTTTCGAGCCTGGCTGAGTGCTGGGAAAGGAAACACTGTCCAGGAGCAGTAATATTAGCAATGAAGAATCAGAGACAGCAAAAGACCAAACAGCCCACTGGTAGATTTTTAATCCTTCTCTATTGCCAATGACACATATACTGTACATACCCCAACTACACACTTCTAAAATCATAAAGGAAAAATTGGTTTCGCAACTCTTCTTTCTCTCATGGAGCCTATAGCTGCCATGACAGTCAGCAACAGATAAAGCTGGGTTAAATAATACAAGGAGGCCAAGTTAGCAAATCACATTATTATAAATTGCCCACCTGATAAAGTAGTTAGATTCTGGTCTTGCAAAAACTCCCACTTTGGGTTAGTTAAATAAATGCTAGAATGAACAGAAATTTTAGAAGCATTGTCCATACCAAAGCCTCATTAAAAAAAGAACGATAGATAAAAGACAGACAGCTTTTGTTCACTTATATAAGCACACTTCTCATTCTTTGGGATCCAATAACAGTATTCAAGTGAGAAATAAACCTAAGCATGTGTGGGTAATTAAGAGGATTAGGAAAGATTCTACCTGATATATTCGGCTTTTCTTTCGTAGGTGAATAGGTGGAAAACATCCATTGTCCTGAAGATTCCCAACTCTCCATGTCTTTCATTATAATTTCACTGAATAAATGACATTCAAAAGTCATAAGCCAAATGAAACCAAAGATAGGCAGTGTAGACCTACTTAAAGCTAGATTCAATGTGTTTTTTAAAAAATACAGAGCCAAGTCAAAGGTTTACTGTGATAAGAAGAAACAGTATGTTTTATAAGTGGCTTGCTACAATACTCTTTTTCAGTTTCTAAAATTCAAAGAAAACAAGTGTAAAGAGTGGGTGCAAGATCAAATATAAACAGGATGTACTTGAATAAGCAGGGAAAATCACAACTGAATAAAAAAAAATCTGTTAAGTGATTCAGTGTGAGAAATCCACATCTGCATCATTTGGGGGCACAGATGCCAATCCAGTCTGATGCAGATGGCAATGCACATCCCCATCTAGAGCCTCTGGTTTTACACAACTAAGAAGCAAGAGCTGCATCAGAGCCAATATCAAACCAATCTGAAACATATTTGTACCAAGTCACATTTTTTAAATAGCTGTCAGAACAAAAATTAGCTACACCAATGAAACATTAACATGATTGAAATTATCTGAAAAGAAACAATTCTTCTCTGTTAATGGGATAGGAATCTTAGGCTAGTCTTTCCCCTTTTTCATTCCCAAATGCAGTTTATGAAGACAGGACCAAGTGTCAGACTCACATGCTCCTCCCTCATCCCTCTCCTTGAGTGCCAGCTTTGGCAGTTTGATCTTGTTTAAAGGAAACCAGTTCCCATTACATCTGAAACAGGAAACTCTGGATGAGTGTTAACTAAAGCATCATTAAGCCACGGTCTACCACTTCAGACACAGCAGGATTTGCTTTAAACAGGATCAAAGTGCTGGAGCCAATAGCATAAGAAATAAGCATGACCAACACTCATTCAGGCTAATTATGCCCAAACTGGCATAATTAGCCAGAACTTTTATGAGCAAAGGCCGCTATGAAGAAAATGTCACAGGCAGGCATTCTGTACACAGTTAATTCTTCTTAACTCCTATTTACCTCACTGGGATATTAACAATTGTGTGTACAGGACTGCAGCCATAGGGTTCAGGTTTGTTTTTTAATTAGCCATTTAATAAAATTTATTTAAAGTCTATTAAAACTTGAGAGATAGGAAATTGTTACTTACAGAAGTTTATCTTCCTCATCTACAATGCCACTATTACCAACATTTTCAGTGGAGTTTAATGCAGCATATCTATTCTGTGAAAAGCCAGAATCTCTGTTGTGCCAGCTGGTTGACTTGGAAAAACTGGATGTCTGTACAGGGTTACTGTATTTCTGATTATGTCCACTCCATGCTACTCTTCGACCGGAGCCTTCAGTTGGGAAAGAAAGAGATGTGTTAAGTAAGAGTTATGAGAAACACCAGCTTCACTACTCCTGCTGCCTGTTGAATTTTCACCTGTGACAGCCTGCAGAAAGTCTCAAAATCTAGTATCCTGAGGGGTGGGGAGGCAAGGCATTGGACCAATTGCTACACCTGCTCCAGGGTGACCTGGCACAGAGCAAGGCTACATTACGCCCACTGCTACCTAGCTAAGGTTAGGATTGTCTTGTTAGTCTAAACCAGCCTTTCTCAACTTCTGGTGTCCCCCCCCCATATGTTTTTGAACTACAACTCCCATCATCCCTGATCACTAGCCATGCTAGCTAGGAATGATGGGAGTTGTAGTCCAAGAACATCCAGGGACCCGAGGTTGTGAAAAGGCTGGTCTAGACGTGCCCTGTTTTTTTCCCAGAGGATGGTGGCAGTGGCCGGGGAATGCAAGAGAGCCGCAAACAATATGATCACGGCAACACCACTCTCAGCTCAGCCCACTGGGTCAGCCACACCAGGGAGAGAGAGCGGCATTGGCTGCTTCCCTTCCCTTGCTTCCAAGCCACCCTTCGCCAACCCAGTGCCCTCCTGATGTTCTGGACTACAGCTCCCATCAGCCCTAGCCAACGCTAGGGTTGCCACCTGTCCAGGATTGTCCCATATTTCAATGTAAAATACTACATCTTGTATTGATACAGTTTTGTCCTGTATTTTAGGTCTCCTCTCTTGCTCTCAACCCCTCTGCCAGACTGGGGATCTTCTCCACATGCATGTGTTGGAAAGGTCCTATAGCTAAGCTCTGGGCACATTTACAAATTTGTGTGTGTGCACGAGTGGCAAATTCCAGAGGGTCCGTCCTGTTAGGATACAATCAGTGCCAGATTTACGTATAAGCTAAACAAGCTATAGCTTACGGCCCCTCTCTTGGGGCCCCCCAAAAAAATTTGAAGGGAAAAAAACCTGGATGTACATTTCCAAAATATAAGATAAAAAACAAATAAAATAAAACCTACATACAGCCACGGTGTTGTATGTTGTGTAGGCTCCTATGATGTAAGTAATGTGCCCCACCTGCTTCCTAAAATATCACTGGTTTGCTATTATTATTTCATGATATAGCAAGTTCCTAGTGACTAGATTATGAGTCTTCGTAAATTGCGTTTCTAAAGGAACTTTTGTTATTGCCAAATGCCAATGTGTTTGCATTATTAAGTTTGTTATGAATAAAATATCATTTTAAGTTAGAGCTTAATAATTATTTCACTAATATACTTCTTAATTGTATTTCAATTCAACCATTACTTTGATAAAATACATATTTTGTTATGTGCAAATGGCTTTAGATACCTATTAGGTCCATAAATTACCATATAGCATATATTCAACACAAAAAACAGCGACAGTTTGTTGTTGACAAAGTTACAGCTGGACATATAAAGGCCCCATTACCTTCAGTAGCTTAGGGGCTCATCAAAACTAAATCCGGCCCTGGATACAATAGACTGAAACGGATTACTCTGAAGTCACTTCAGCACCAGATGAAAAAAAAATCGGCCTCCCTCCAACCGCCCTCCCCGCATGTTGCCAGTATAGAGGGGGCAGCCCTAGCCGGCGCCCATCTGGAGGGCAGCAGGTCGGCCGGCGCGAGGGGACGGAGAGAAGCCGGCGGCGGAGAGGCGGAGCGGGACAGCCTCCCTTGCTTACCCGCGTTGGCTCTGCCGGCGTGTTGGCGCGGGTGCTCGTTCCAGCAGTTGTCGCCGAAGCGGCAGTGGCCCTGCAAGAAGTAGTGGCAGACCTGGCCGGAGTTGCGCGCCATGGCGGCGCTTCCCCGGCGGCAGCTCCCGCGAACTCCTAGAAAGCAAGAATTATGAAGAACCGCCGCCCCCGCCGCTGCCTTACGCACGACGGGAGGCTCTGCCTTCAGGGCTCGTGTTGATGACGCGCGGGCGTCGGCAGGCAGCCTCGCTGGGCGAGCGCGAGCGCTCTCCGAACGGCTCTTTCCTAAGACGTCAGCAGCCTGGTGGCGGTTGGTGGAAACGAAAAAACAACAAACCGCTTCGGCGCGCGCAGAGCCGTTGGGAGCGGCCGTTGAGGAGCCGCGGCGAGGCTTCGAAGCGCCGTTTCCTCGCTCTTCCAAACTATGGCGTGACTTTCCAGGGACGACGACGTGCGGCAGCGCCGTCCTCCTGCCCAGGTCTGCTCAGCAATGGGCGCTGTTGAATTCGGTGGGGGTTTCTTCTCCTAAGAGGAAGCGGCGGCGGGTTAAGACCGCAGGCAGCACGGTAGCGCCGCGCTAAGTGATGGCAAATCCCGTCAGCTTTCGTGGAGCCGACATCGTCAGATGAGCTAAGGGTCTGTGTATGACAGAAAGTTTGGCAAGCACTATACGTCATAGTGCACTGTCAGCCCCAAAATGCTTGCAGGGTTAGCTAGGAAAAACACATGAACAGGTGTCTTTTTGTTTTATTCCTCCACCCTCACCCTTAACTCTCCTCCTGATGGTGACTTTCCAGGTTCAGGGGACGCTTAAGTCTCTGAATGCTAGTTCCTGGGGAGCAAAAGCCCACAAAGGCTATTTGCTTTGTGTGGCAGCTATGGGGTTTTGGAAAGCAACTACTCATGAGTGTAGCCAAGGGGGTTAGGTGCCGCCCCCAAATCAAGTAAATCAATAAAAAATACGAAATAACTGAGGTTCAGCCACACTAACTTAAAGCCTGCCACCCCAACATAAATCTTGGCTATGCCCATGGGACTACTTAGGATTCCCACAGTGGCTATTGCCTACTAGATGAGCCTTTTATGCCAAGGCAGTAGGGTGGTTCTTATTATTAAATTTATATGCCACCCTTCGTCCAAAGATCACGTGTGACTAAGTTCACATTAAGAGCCCTGAACAGTAATATAGAAATAAGACTATACATAAACATTTTGTTGTTTTATTTTGACTCTAAATCCAAATAGAGATGTGAGTGTGTCAATGTGGTTCTCTTTCTCTTTTCTTAAAGTTGTACCTTGTCTTTACTTGCTTTTTCTTCTTTGGAGACTCCAAATGCTAGGAACCATTTCCCAGCAGCAATCACTTAACAAATGTCCAAAGAGCAGTGTCTGTTGTTCTAGGTTTAATTTATCGATATCTACCCCTCTACTTCTTAACTTGCACTAGTTTAGATGGGTGCCTTTTTCAAACCATGCCTTCAGCTGTCAAAGAACAGCGGTATGAAATAGCAGAGATTAACCTTAATGAAAAGCAATGTGCACTGGTAGTTGGCGTCCATATCTACTACTTCCAATGCTAACACGCACTCGAAAGTAACTTTCATACACCTTGATTTCTATTCCTCACAACTCTATTGGCAGCATTCAAAAAGGTTGTTAAATGAGAAAAGTGTACAATAAGAGCACCCACAGATAGGTGTTTGCGCCTAAGTTCTAGGTTTTTTTATTTAATGTATTTTTTTACTGTTACTAAAATTCAAAAGCAGGTTAAATTAAAAATACATAATAGAACAGCAGAATAAAATATGCAAAAACCAATAAAATCATCATAGGCAGCAGATTTACCCAAACACCTGGGTGAACTACTCTTCAACTGGTACCAAGAGTTGGTGCCACTTGTATTTGAGAAGCAAGTGAATTCAAGGCACTTGTAACAAGAATCCTTTTTTCCGTGTCAGCACATATTGAATTTCAGGCAGATGTGGCACAGTCAAGGCAGCATTCCACATCAATCTTAATGTACAGGCAGGTCTATTTGAAAGCAGACACTCTTGTCAAGTATTCTATTCCTTATTCTATTCTATGTACTACTTCATTGTCAGCCCTACAAAGAGTTTCTTCCTCTACTTGTGTATTCATAAAATTTGCTTAGATTTCTTTTCTGTCTTTTAATATGGACTCCCATATTAGAACGAGTTTTTCCTTGAATGAATAATACAATTGGGAAAGGGCTGGAACTTTCTGGCTCTTCCCAGCCAAATTAAATTTGACAGATCTTTTCTTAGTCCAGGTTATGGAAATAAAGTCTCTTCACATATGTTAACATGGACTATTAAATGAACACTTCATGACCACCTTAAGAAAAACATATTTATTTAACAAAGTTTACTGACAACAAGCCTCACTGAGGTATGTTTCCAAAAAAATTGCTTCAACTTAGCAAAAGTAATCAGTAGGCAAGGTTTATCAATACATTATTTGTTAATACACAAAAACAGTCCAATAAAACTTGTTGCACCGAGTCCATTTACTAAGAACTGACAATGAATCCGTTTTGTCACACAATGTCTAGTTACGTAACAGGGATATATCTAGAATTAAGGAAAATGAGTTTTCATACTGGATGGTCCATATTTGGACTGATGGAAGTTAAATGTGCACTATATGGGAACCCCCTTTAAAAACAAAAAAGTTAAAACTAGCATCTGCTAGATTTAAGTTTCTTATTGATCAAATTATTCCATTTTTGGCAAAAGATTTGAGGAGGGAAATACTTTAAAACATAATATAAAAAATGTGCTTCAGAATTTTTTTAAAGACCCAGCATGAAAAAATAGTTTAGACTTGCATCACTCTGCAGGTATGTGTATCACTTTAACATAGTATTAAAGGCAGTATTACAAAGTATACAAAAATGTACTTTAAATAATATAGGATGTTCTCAACCTAAAGCACATACTATACCCCAAACGTGTTTTTGCATAAGTCATAAGTCGTTCACTTTATCACATGTAAGCTTATGTCAATCTTTTTACAGTACACACTGCAGTTTTTGGAACTTCAGATGCGTATTAAATCAGGCATGTAAAAAATGGTATAAATTTTGATCTACCCCAATGAGAACAAGGAATTGGAAGGAACAGACATTCTAAACAAACTTATTTCCTGGGTTTTACTTCGGCTACCCTACACTTATTAGACTGCAATTAGGGACAAAACCAATGAATGGAAATTGCCTGGGCAAGTTTAGTTACACTCCAACTATTCCTAACAACACGTTTACTTTCTCCTGTAAATGAACAGCTGCCTTCTAGTATGTCTAGGTAGGACTCCTGTAGAGAGGTGCAGTATGTACCCTCATCTGCACAGTAAATATTTTAGGAAGTAGATGCACTAATGAAAAAGCATCATATCCCATGCACATGGTGGACAGGACATAGTGGAAACATACCACAGGTTTGTGGCTTTGCACAGATGGCATTAAGAACATAGAGGAGGGAGTAATTGCCTGTTGCCAGTCACCATCACCATTCCAGTTGCGTGAAGGATGCTCATATAAGATATGCCCCTAGTTATCTGAGCCTGCTCAGTACCAGAAGAAGGTGCATAAATAGTTAGAAAGCACAATATGTTTCACTCAGTAACTGGATACCATCCTGTGGGGGACCTGCATTGAAATAATGCAGTATATCTCTTTGTAGAACAGATGTTTCAGCAAAGTTACTCCAACTAATAGGGTTTGTTTCATTCATTTTTGCTACCCGAAAATTTTAATTATTTCAAACTCTGAAAAATGCAGGTTACTAAAAAATAATAATTTCTTGTTGGAATATTTCACAATATACTTAGACAGCAGAGTTTGTGGCAAAACTGCACACATGCATCTTAAGGAAACTTCATGTGTCTTCAATCTAGGGTTGTAGATTCTTGAGTTACTTCCAAAAAAATAAAACTTTGACAAGCAAATCCACCTTATGCACATAGTGGAGATAAAGTGAAGGATTTCATCCAAAAAAATTCTGTAGTACCGACATCTTGACAAGATGAAATTGAAATGCAGAAACATCATAAGTAGCAATCGTGAAATCTTCATGTTTCTAGTGTCTCCTCATTTGCTCCGCAAGTATCAACTACACAGATTAAACAGCTGGTCACTGGGAAAGCACGGACTTTAGAGTTGGCTATCCATTTATCAGTTTCAGTATTATATTCAAGGATGTGCCCCAAACGACCTACACCCTGAAAGCCTGCTAAGACATAAACTATGGAACCCACAGCAGCACATTTTACAGTCACACCTTTCCATGGCATGGGAGAGACCATCTTCCACTCATTCACTTTAATGTCATAATATTCCACATTGTCTAAGCCACCTTTAAAGAGAAGAGAAAACACACGGATAAGTATCAACCATGGTTTCTCAAACTTCCAACATAGTGATCACTTGAGATACAGAATCCCTCCCAAATTGAACTTCCTCTAGTATGGTGAAGTAAAAACAATAGCTGCAAGGATGGTTTGAAAAATTTAGCATCTAAAATTATCTGGGACTTAATAACTGAGGAAAGGAAACAAAAATTCAAGGTTTGAAAACAAGATCTAAGTTATCGCAGGGTGATAATAATTCAAAATTTACAATGCAAGCCTTCTAAATGTCTACTCAGAAGTAACTGCCATTGAATTCAATGGCACTTACTCTGCGGTGCGTAGGTATAGCATTGTTCTCTTAAAAGTCTCAATTTCCACTGCTTTAAGGAGAAATTATTTTAATTTTCTATATAAATGGTATTTAACCCTATGTATAGGACAATCCCACGGACACGGGTGGCACTGTGGGTTAAACCACAGAGCCTAGGACTTGCCGATCAGAGGTCGGCGGTTCGAATCCCCGTGATGGGGTGAGCTCCCGTTGCTCGGTCCCTGCTCCTGCCAACCTAGCAGTTCGAAAGCACGTCAAAGTGCAAGTAGATAAATAGGTACCGCTCCGGTGGGAAGGCAAATGGCGTTTCTGTGCACTGCTCTGGTTCGCCAGAAGCGGCTTAGTCATGCTGGCTACATGACCCGGAAGCTGTACGCCAGCTCCCTCGGCCAATAAAGCGAGATGAGCGCTGCAACCCCACTGTCGGCCACGACTGGACCTAATGGTCAGGGGTCCCTTTACCTTTACCTTTATAGGTCATCCCAGTCATGATGGATATATGCTTTGTAGATGACTTTCATATATGGGAGAGTATGTAAAATTACAGTGTACTGGTAGAGAAGTGTTTATTTTTAAACAATACTCTACATGTGATACCATTAACAGCAAAACTGCAGGTCTGGACAAGTCTGGTCAAACAGCAAACATCTCATATTCACTCTTGTAGTGAGGCATGACTGCAAGACTCCTTCCACTAACCACCCTAAAAAACATGCAAGGACACAGCTCATTCTGCCACTAAGCTGGTGGTCCAACAATCTTCACCAGTCAGTTGACTTGAAACTCACATCCATCCAAAGCTGGCCCATTTTGAGAAGCTGTAGCTGGCACAATTATTTGTACATCTTACCTCTGGCACAGCAGATTTTAATAAAAATTATCAATTACCTAAGCCATTCTGTCCTCCAACGGCAAATATTTTGTCTTTCACAAACACAAGTCCATGATTTTTTCGGGCTTCAAGCATCGGACACAACTCTGTCCACCTGAAAATATTTAAAGCATGTAATTTTAAAAACACGTTCACTCAATTTCATACCATGAGCAGTTCTTTTTCCATCAAGTATGGTAAATACCAAAGTTGCAGAGAAGGGAATTTATAGTTAACTTATGATTTAGTTCCACTATTGCGAAAGCATGCCAGAGGAACTGTCAGTTAAAATGGAGCACAGATCTAAGCTAATTTTGGTTGCTTAAAAGCTCTTGCTCCTTATAAAAATACATTACATAATAAACGGTAGAACAATATTAACAACAAACAAAATTCACAGCATCTGAAATATCTAAAAGGCTTTAAAACCTGATTTAAAAGTTTTAACTGCCCTCCTAATGCAAGCAGCGAAAGAGCCTCACAAATCTGTCAGGGAAGGGCATTCCAGAAGAAGTTGCATTTGTGTAATTGGCCTGTAGATGGTTAAACACACAATAAAATTTATTGAAATCAATACATACGTTTCTGTTGCTGGATCATAAACTTCACAGGAATTCAAGACTCTTCCAGAAACATTGTTTCCTAAACTTCCTCCACATACGTATATGAGACCATTTGCCTCTACCATCCCATGACTGCATCGCTGAGTCAGCATACTGGGCTTTGTGTGCCAACTTTCTGTTCTGGTATCATAGCATTCAAACAAATATAATGCAGAATTTCCTTTAAATAAAGAGACAAGCAAACCGATTTAGAGAATATTTGGAGATTCTATGAATTACATGCAACATTGCAATAAGGTCACTGTTGTAATTTGTCTTCTAGTGCAGCAGTTGAATGCTTTGTATGACACTTCAAGCTGTACGGTTTTAAGGTTATGTTTTCCAAAACAAGGTACGTGATCCTTTTTTAAAAAATAAAATAAAAAATATTTATTGCTTTTAAAAGTTACAAAAAAGTAGAAAAGAGAAAAAACACAAAAAAGAAAAAAAAGAAAGAGAAAAGCAATACAATGTATAAACAATACAAAACCACCCTAAACCCATTAAACTAAACACATGAACAAAGCAAGACAAAAACAATTTAAAAGCATCTCTCCTTTTCCATACTCTATCCTTCATTCCCTTGTTTCCTCGACTTCCTCACACCTCCCTTCTTGTATCCCGCTTCTAGTACTTGTTTCAGCAAATCCTTTCCATCTTTCTCTATTTTCTGTCATCTTAAGAATAACATATTCTTTAACCTTATTTCCCATTAACGGTTGATTACTTATATACACCCAACTTCTTATAGTATTTCTGCTAAATCCATAAAATATCATTCCACCGTTTTTCTGACAGTCATTACTTTGACAAAGTTTCTAAATAAACACTTTAAATTTTCCATTAATCTTCCACTATCTCCTCTCCCTGGCTTCGGATTCTGCCAGTCCTTTCCGTCAGTTCCATATAATCCATCAACCTGGTGCCCTAATATCCGAGGCTCTTAAATCTCTTCCAAGTCCCTTCTGCAGGTCTTCTTCATGTTCTTTGATGCTCAGGAGCAAGTCTCGGGAAAACTCCAGCCTAGCAATACGTTTGTTCCTTCTGGACAGTTCAGCCAAATTTCCAAAGTTAAAAGTGACGTCCATAAAGTGTTTCAGAACGTATTTCAGGATTCCTCCAATTCTAGCGACCCCCAAAACTTCAAACTCCTCCAAGCCCAAGTCTATGTCCCAAAAGTCAGTCAATCCCTGGATAGAGGGTTCTTTCCAACTTTCCTTCTTCAATCCAAGCCGGGATCCTAGCCTCGAAATTTGACTTTTGCTAGATTCACTCATGAAAGACCTCAATTTATAATCCTCAATCTGCTTCTGAGAAATTAAGGATCCCGCTTGTACTACTTTTAATTTCTCATCATCAGCTTTCTCCTTTTTCTCCACCATTTTCACATCATCAGCTTTCTCCTTTTCCTCCACCATTTGTCCAACCAAGACATGTTCCTGTACCCAATCCTGAGTTGTTTCTGTATTAGCACTCACTTTTTGATTCAAATTAATCACATTCTGTTCCAAGTTGTCAATTTTAGAGATCGTGTCATCTGTCTTTTTATGAAGCTGTTCCAGCGCATGATTTATCTTGTATAATACAGTCACAATGGCTTCTGCTATCAACATTTTGAGTGATCCAAGGTCAGACTCTATTTTTCAGAATCTTATCTTGCAGCTGGAGCTCTCCCTAATGCACTCCTGTAACAGTTTCACATGCTCCCTCTAGAGGGAAACAGTCTCCATTTGTATCAATTCTTTCAAACACAACTCAAGCAAGTAACAATAGTTTCAATTTTCGGTTACTTTTTCCTCCATTTTTAAACGCAGAAAAGGACAATGGAGACAGTGCCTTTCTTATTTTAGCTAGCTGTCAAATCCGTTCTGTCAATAAACATTCCCCGAACGTCATCTGGCAGCCCTTTTCCAGGTTCAGAGCAGTGGCAATTTAATTTTAACTCTCTTCTGCAGGCACACTAAATCCAAAACTTCCCCTCTCTTCTCCTGCTTCCAAGAGGGGTTATATATTCTTGTCCGGTAGAAATTTAATCCTTTATCAAAAGCTTTCAAAGACTTTAGCTTGTAACGTCTTTGCTTCAATCTATTTACAAAACGGGAGGCGGACTTCCTGTTTAGAACCTTCCTGCTTTCGGTTCCTAATTAAGAAATTTAATAATCCAATTTTCCGTTCTACTCACGGGTAGTCGTTTAAAATCCAATTGTCCACAGGAAAAAGTCAGCGCTCTCCGACAACAGCAATGCGGCTTCACTCCGTGAAAGAAGCGGTCGATTCAAAGCACCGCGCCGTTCACCCCACGTCGCTCTGGATCCCCAAAACAGGGTTTCCCCGCGAGTAGGGGGGGGCGCAAATGGTGCCAGCCGAATCCCAGGTTCACAGGCTTCTCCCGTCTGTGATTTCTATGGGTCTCCGCCTTCACCGTGGCAGTCAGACCCTACTTTTCACGGAGCAAATTCCTCCTGATCGGAGGAATTCAGCCATTGCCGGAGGCGCCTCCCCAGAAGTCCCAAGGTACGTGATCCTATATACAAGCAACCTTCCTGTGATACTGATAATCCTTTTTAAAAAAATCTTTTCTATGCCATCTGCATTCAAAATATATACAATTCAGGAAACAAAGTCTTCCTTTGCAGCAATAGCATAATCCACATGGAACTGCCCATTTGCTGATAACACTACTCGCAGTCCTGCTCTGAATGCCTTGGTATCAGAGATTAAGCAGGTGGATATCTAGTATACTCCTCTCTCAGTGCTGGTGCTCAGACTTTGCAACACCCTTTCCAGAGATGTTGACTTGGCATTCTCTGTTTTATCCTTTCGGCTCCAAGCCAGTTTTTTTCAGGCAAGCACTTAAGGAATGGAAGAGACTGAAGCAGCTCCTGCTTTACTGTTTAGCTGATGTTAAATCTATGAATGTGTTCAGTTGGGTATTTAAGGTTTTGGCTATTCTATTTTTGTTGCTTGAATCTTTGCTACCTGCTCTGGCTTTCTTAGATAGAAAAATGCCACATAACAGAGCACTGGTGTTTTCCTTTTTGAACGTGAATAAATACCGAAAAGGTTGGAGACCTTCTCTCACAATCCTCTCAACATGGCAGCAAAGATAGAACCACAGAAGGTAGACACTCACTCTCCCCATAGTGAGCGCAAACTGGCAAAATCATTAGGAAAGGTGGACTGAGCTTCACTTGCTGCAACAGTCCAATAGATCTGTACCAGAGATGCACGTTATGAAGCAAGTTTCCCTCATAAACTTGGAGAAATGAATTTGCAGGGGAGAACTAGTGGGCATTTAATCTATCCCACACATGTTCATTATCCCCTGCAAATGCTCACTATCTATGATGTCCCAACTGTAGTATTTTTTGAGCCGTCCCACAAAAATACAAGTGGACATAGGGTTGCAGCCTGGGGGTGAGGTAAACCATGAACTCTTGCTATCTGTACCAGTTGTGCTGTAAGTTACAGATAAATGTCAGATATATACAGTACTTTCATTTCTAGATTTAGGTGGCTAAATGAAGCTGACATGACAAATATCCCTTCTAAAAATACACTGTTGTATCCAATACCAGTCATACTAAGACTAGTCCTATTGAAATTCAGGGGCATGACTAACTTAGGTCCATTAATTTCAAAGAGTGTATTCAGAGTAGAACTTAGTTGGATACAGTTCACTGATTTTTTGGTTTTTTGCTCTATGTTTTAAGGCCCACATTGGATAAGATGGCTTCTGAGTTTTGGCAGTGAGTGCCATTTCTTTTCTAAAGTAAAATTCAATGACAACATTGGGTGCCACACACAACTTCTACTTTACAGACCCACCAGCAGACCCTTCGAGTGTCTTACCTACTTCAGAACCACCAGATGTATATATTTTACCCTCTGCTGCACAAGCTGCAAGGCTATCCCGAGGTGTTGGAGGCCCCAGCTTGGAATACCAGCTGTCTTTCACAACATTGTAACAGTCCATTCGTTTTATAGGAAAAAGTTGGGAGCCGCCCAAAATATAAACCACGTTGTCCCAGAAAACACAAGCTGCATCCCTCCGCTTTTCAAAGGGACACCGGATGTCTGTCCAGCTGTAATCCTGTATGAGAAAAGATAGGTGTTTGGGAGAGAATACTGCGATGTGTAAATTCTTCAGAATTCTGAGACCATTGTTATTTATTTATTTGTCCAATGAAGCTGGTGTGGCATACATGGTTCTTCCCCCTGTCCATTTTACCCTCTAAATTATGTTGCGGGGTACTTTAGGCTGACAGATGGTGACTCTCAAAGTCATAGAAGCTTTATAATGAAGTAAGGACTTCAACTTGCATGCCCCTAGTCTTAGTCCAACACTCTAACCACTAGGCTTTTATAAAAATGGACAGTACCTTGATAATAGTAGTACACCACATTTGTATGTTGGGAAGCAATGTGGAGAAGAGCCTGGAAAGCTGTCTGCTATCTAGCTCCTGGTATTCTCCAAGTGGCCTTTCCCAACCAACTGCCACTACAAGGCTGATTCAGGAACTATTTTCCTCTGACAGGAGTTTTAGTTTTCACAATTCTTTTTCTCCCCTTGTATCATGTCTTTGCTATTTCACTGCATAGATTTGATTTTAATGTTTTATGCAAACCGCTTTATGATGTCTGCCTGAAAAGTGGTGTACAGTATCTTAAATAAATAAATAAATGTGAGTTTACGGAACGGTGGAAAACTCATTTGCATGTATTACAGTGGGTTTTGAAAAGCCTGGGGCTTAGATCTAATAGGCCACTGTTACTGTCTTTACCACTGTTTTATTTTAGGTGGAATCCTGTCTACAGCGGACACACTGCTCAGACAACAACGTAATTATTGAAAACTTCCTTCACACCCGTTTGCGGAGATTAATTATATTAATGTGTTATCTTCACATCTTCCTTACATTTGGGGCATCAACAATAATTAACTGGAGGATAGGGGTGGAGAGGAGGGCAAAAGTAACCAACTGAGAATCTGTTTTGAGAAACTCCTGGCTATTATAAGTTGGCTTGATTTTAAAATTCCATAGATAAATGGAGTCAAGAAAGAGAACAGAACAATACAAAAAAGTGTTTAGAAGAAAATAGCAGATCTTAAGGAATAGAATCAGATAAAATAGAACCGGGGGAAATTTGTTGTCATGGCAACAAAGAACTCATTCTCCATGCTACAAATGATATATAATGTACCTTCAATTGGTTTACCTGTAATAAACTACTAATGGTGCTGCAAAAAACACCAGCAGAGTCATCAGTAGGGTTGAAACATGTATACAAACACAGCCAAATTTGAGCAACTGGGATAAATTAATGGAAATTAATGCACATTCCAAAAACAAGATAGTTACAAAAAGCAGCAAAAAGCAGTAAGGTCCTAGCCATATCACAGTCAAAGTACAAGACAACACTACATTCTTTAAAACTGCTTTTTAATTGTAATTTTTTTTAAAAAAATTGTTTTTAACTGTTTTATGGGGTTATTCAGCTATTTATGTTTATATTTTGTTTATGTATTTTGTGTTTTTATATTGTAATTTTATCTTGTGAACCGTGAAACCTGTGGGTATAGGGCTGTATATAAATTTAATTAATAATCATAATAATATTGCCTGAGCCAGCATACCTGTGTATCACCTGTTGTATCAAAAACCTCAGGTATAAATAAGATGATCATCTAAACAAGATTCTGTTTACCTGCACTATCTCAATGGGATGTTTATTCATGTGCTTTTCTCAATCTGGGTGCAATTAGTCACATGAAAATATATTTTAAAACAACTGATAGAGCCTTTATCTGCCAATATGTTGAATTGCAGTGAGTAGGAAAAAACTGACATTTTAAAATATAGTCAATAATCATTATAGCTTTCTAGTCCAGCAGCATCTTGCACTAGCAGAGGCTGACAGAACATCTTCAAAAGATAGCAAGCATAAGATGACAATTCAGTAACTCCCACCCCAATAGACATTGCTGAGGCACCACAGCAAGGATTCTGAAAGCCATGAAACAAGTAACTAGTGCTCACTTTTAGGTTGTTCAAATAAGAGGGGCCTTCACTCCCACAAAGCATCCTTCTGACAGACTACTCCATTTGCTGAAATGATCACAAGAGGGGGATTTATTGGGCTTGGAGGACATACTTCCTCTCAGACCAGTTTTCCCCATTTCCCCATGTGAGTTTTCACAAGATTCAAATTTGTTACTTTAATAATGATCAACTATTTGGGGATTTTAATTTATAAACGACTATACAAAATAGAAATCTATTTCTAGCAACAATGAAAGCCCATATGTAAGTGTAAGAAACATTAAAGTTGCCATAGAAACCTCAAAAACCCCAAAATAGCTCTGCACTACAGAAAGTTCCCTGTATCATCTTGCTATCCCTTATTACATTGTTCCTTACAACCCGTCCTCCCACAATTTAACAACAAAAACGCTTGTTTTGTGAAATCTCACAAGTACAAGAACAAACTAATTTTATATCTATTCTCATATCTATATCTGTAGTGATGAAACTGGTTATATAATGAAAGAGATGATGAATTTTTCGGCTACACACTATCTGTTGAAATTCTGAAAGATCAGAGCTACCTTTGGATTAAAATACCGACATGACTGCGGTTGTGAGCCACCAAACAAGGCAATGCGGTAATCGTGCTTTTTTCTTCGCGGGCGAGTGCCATCCACCAACTCTTCTCTGTCCTCTGGAGAAAGCAGATGGTATCTCATGCCACCTAAACCAGAAGGTATACACAATGATTCTATGTAATTCTAAGAGAAATCTCTGTTTTCAAAGCAAGGATAGACAAAAATTAAAGAGGAGGGGAAAAATAAAAGTCCGTTTTTAACCATTTTTCAAAAATCACATGCAACCTCTGAAATACAGAAAGGCTGCCACAAAAAAATGATGAAGTGTCTTTAAAACATGTTTCTATATTCACTGATATGTATAAAGTAACTGTACAGTGAGACAAACTGATTACCATGGAATAAACCTCTCGGAATATTATGCCACTGAGTATGTCATCAAATACACTGGGAAGAAACATCAACATCCAATATGTTTTAAATAATCAAAGCTTAGTATCTATAAAATATTTCTCACTACACCTAAACAAGAACACAGCTTAAAGGTTTTATCCAATCTTTCCTTCTTTTTCTTTGTTTTTACTTAGCATATACTTGAGAAGCAGCCCGGATCTGCATTGAAGACACAGATGGTGGTGCGTAGGTTTACTGTTCTTCAACAGCTGAGAGAAATGTCATTACTCAGGCTATTTTTGTATAGATATTAATGTTCTTACCAATTATATCTGAAGCCTAAGAAATCTGAAACATACGAGCTGGTTTTAAAGGCATAATGATCCTTCCAATAACTATTTTTTTCAGGTATTAAGGTGGCCTTTGGTAATGAATACTCTGGTATCTTCTATTTTGCATCTTAAAGTGAGGCCCAGTTTATTGAAATAAGTTACTTTAGCGAAGAGGAGGGTGGGATGATTTGGTGGGGGTGTTTTCCTGGGGTTAGGTGAAAGGTGGATGGATGCTGGCTAGCCACCAACCCATGGCTGCAGTAATCAACAGAAGGAAAGGGGGAAGGAAGATGCTGATTATACTTGTCTTTGTACAGGATTCCCAGGATCATTGCTGCCATCCCCCCACTCATCCAAATAGGACATGCGGATCACAGAAAAATCCTAGAGCACTTTCTTCATCTTCACTCCAGCTGCAACAAAAAGTGCACAAGGGCACAAAGACAAACAAACTTGAACTTGTAGCCGAGGGAATTCTACAACCAAGGTGCCAACACAGAGAAGGCCTTCTACTATTATTAAGTGGTGGGGAAAACTGGAGTCAGATCTTGGGAAATCTAAATTGATATAATGGGGAAGATGCAGTCCTCCAGATTCCCTGGTCCCAGACCATTTAGGGTTTAAAGGGCAAACAAAAGAATTCAATTACGCTCAAAAGCAAACTGAAAAATAGGTGAAGCCCTTTAAACACTGGAGGACTATGTTCACCGTAGTTGTTGGCATCTATCTCAGGAGACAATGGAGGAGTGTGCCCTTAGGGGTGAAGTCAAACCATTGGAGAGATACGATGTCTGCTGTGGCTGTAAGAGACTGATGCAGGAGAGACATGTTTTGTTGCTGACTGGTTGTGCTGACGTGACTGTCTCTAGGTACTCGGTCATCTCCAAGGGATTTCCACGCTGTGGGATTGATATTGCCATCATTCATGTCATTCTTGTAACACAGAGTTGGTCTGCCAATGGGCCTGGTGTCTGAAGCCAGCTCCCTGTAGAGCACGATGGCATGGATCCTGCCATCTTCCATTCTGTGGACATGACCAAGCCACTGAAGACTTTGAGACAGGAGTGCAGGGAATGTAGGCTTGGGAGAGCACATCCTTTTTTGAGATTCTGTCCTGTCTTGTGATGCCCAAAATCTTTCTGATATAGCAAATGTGGAAGGCTTCTGGTGATTGTACGTTGCTCACGATGCACTTCCATAAAGCAGTGTGCTCAACATGCAAGCTGGGCTGCCTGCTTCAATGGGTGCTTGGAGCCCAGAGTATCACTCGACAAGCACCAGGAAAACTACCGCACCAGCAGAACTACTGTTATACAAATCAATGGTGCAATTGCACTCAGAAAAGGGCAACCATGATCAAGGGGATAGAGCAACTCCCCTGGGAGGAGAGGTTGCAGCATTGGGGCCTCTAGTTTAGAGAGAAAGCAAGTAAGAGGTGACATAAAAGTGTATAAGATGAACCATGGTATGGGGAAAGTGGATACAAATAAGTCCCCCCCCCCATCTCATAACACAAACTCATGGACAACCAATGAAGCTAAATACTGAGGATTCAGGACAGACAGTAGTAGTTCTTTACACAGTACACTGTTATGCTATGGACTTCACTCCCACAGGAGGCAGTGATGGTGACCAATTTGGATGGCTTTAAACCATGGTTATTTATGGAGGATAAGGCTATCACTAACCACAAAGGCTATGCTCTGCCTCCACAATTGGAGGCAGTATGCTACTAGTTGCTGGAAACTGCAGGAGGGGACACTGCTCTTGTGCTCAGCTCCTGCTGTTAGGCTTCCCATAGGCATCTGGTTGGCCACTGTGAGAACAGGATGCTTGACTAGATGGGCAACTGGTCTGATCCAGCAGGCTCTTATAATTTTATGAAACTCTGAAGTGACCCATAATTGCTTGAAGCTGTCCTATAACAAGGTGTTTCCTTATTTTGGTATCCACTGTTCAAGGCTGTGACACACAAATGAGATTTTTGAAGTTGGGAGACTCTGGACCATGAAGCTCACATAGTCTGCAATTTATTAGACATAGTTCTAACTGCAGGAAATAGAATGCAGATATTAAGGGCTACTAGTCAGCTTTGATTCAGCTTCCTGGCACAGAGAGAACAGGGTTAATCCTACCTTTCTTTTGTATTTACATGTTAAAATGCATTTAAATGGAATAAGCAGTTCTTAAAGAAAAACTTTACAGAGAGTTGAGACAACATGGAAGATAAACTTACTGATAACCATTTTGAGGCACTCAGGGTTGTCCTGGATAAGTGGCTCAGCTTGTACTGTTTTACTGAGGAAATTCTTTGAAATTAAAGGAAACCTGACTTTAGCAAGAATGTCAACCATGTAAGGCTGACGGTTTGGCTCGTCATACTTCAGCCACCTGACGGCAGCATCATAAACCTAGAAATAAGAAAGAAAAATACATCTGTGTACTTACAGTAGCAGCCATCTATAGAACCAGGAAATTGATAGCTCAGCTGTTACAAAAAGGAAGTCTAATTTAGGATCTTCAAAGGGCTTTTAAAAATAATTACTTGCTATACCTTATATTGCCAGTTAGATGGGTTTAAGTCCCTCATTCAGGAATGGCTAAGAAGAAATCCCAAATTTAAAAGCTGCTTCTGATCTCCTGAGATAAAAAAATTCAGAGCCATGACTATTCAGAGTTGTGAAACTACAAGCAACAGCTGAACTAAGACAGACCAAGTTATTTTATGATAATTATTACAAAGTGAACATGCATGTGTAAATTGGAGTGAAATAACTCACAGGGCTGCCACTTACCTGGAAAATAAAATTTTACTTCTAACATATTTCAGCCACTGAAACAATTTTTATGTCCCCCCACACTAAATGGAATCCATCACACTGAAAGGATCTAACTTTGTTTCAGTGAAAGTTTACACTTTCTTGAAGCAATTAGATAATGTGGAAAAATCCCAGATATAGTAGTAGCTATGCTAATACCTTTTGGTCCTTCATAGTAACTACTCTCAATGTTTTTAGAAAGAGTCACTTCAACTGTCAAACATTACACCATGATATACAAGAACGAGACAGAAAACCAACTACAAAACTGAGAAAACACCACAAATAGCAAAAAGGAGGAAAAAATACCAGATGCCAGAAAGTCTCAATCTGTTTTGGAACAAATCTTTCCTTGAGGACACTTTTTAAACCGCATTTCTCATAAAAAATATAGGATACTATAGTGACTCCTACTTCAAGCACCTGATGTTCCAGCCTTTTTTCCTGCCAAAAATTAATCAAATACTGATCATTTAGTTTTTATGCAGTTAAGCACTCCTATATTTGAGGCCCTTCTGTTTTTCACATTACAACTCCCCATGCCACTTTGAAGGCTGCTCCATTAAGTCATTGGACTTCATGGGGAGATGAGACCTGAAAAGCTGGAGAATCTGGTTGGAAACTCATACAGGTACTAAAAGTTCTGCCAGCAATTATTTGCATTCCACTTTTTACAGGAAATGTTTCCACACAGATTGCATATTTACAGCAAGATAGCTAAAAAAAAGCCTTATTTCAGATGCAAGACTAAAATAGCTATGAAACTGGACCCTCACCTGATCTTCTGCTCTTACAGTTAGCGTGTCTTGATTCAGGAGATGTGTTACACGTTTAACATCTAGCTGCAGAAACTCATCTGTCTTGTAAACCTCTGTGAAATGCTGGTGGATAAAGTCATCTGCAGTAGCCTTGAGCTCTGGGCAGTCAAGACACTCTGCTAACACACTTATACCTAGTGCAAGATAGTAAAAGATTATGAAAAGATGTTTAAAATTCATGAAAAAGCATATTGGTTGGAATTAAACTTTGTGCTCTTACGAATGTTACATCTGCACAAGCATTGCAGCTTGATAGATGGAACACTCACTCTTGCCCCCACCCTTTTGCTGTTCTGGGGGTTATCCCAATTCCCTCCAGCCAGTTTCTGGGCAGGCGTGGGAGAAGTAGAGGGGGGAAGCCCCCTTGCGCAGAGTTTCTGTTGACAGAGCAGAATGCTGCCCATTTCTTTTTTATGTGAAATACCATGTTATTAATAATTTAATATAAGTTTTTTCTCTTCAGTGGCAAAAATGATGACCCAAATAGTTATCTTGAGAAGTAACATAATTGATGAAATCTATGAATTTGTCATGCTCTAAGTACTAGAGAGACAATGATGTCATGTTAGCAACTTGGAAGAAAGACTTTAACAGTAGTCACATTCTATAGAAGACAATAGTTCAGTCTGGCTTATCTGAAAGCTAATCAGAGGTGGCAGGCACTGTAGCAGTACTATACACATGACAAATACATTTTCAAATCATAAAACTTGTTTTCCAGTAGAATACATGAAATGTATCATTAGCAAGACTGTCCTAAAAATGAAATAATCAAGGACCCAAAGTGCCAATTTTGAAATATATCAAGAGTTCTTAGAAACAATATAGAGAGTGCCATCTTACCAAGACAATTTGAAGCATCAACTTGCTCTTTTAAGAAGTCCACACACATTTTTTTCACAGGTTCAATTTGATATTGATTTGCAGCATCTAACAATGACTGGACATTGTTGCTGTTTACGGAAATTCTGAAAAAAGTAGCAACATTACTATGACCAAAACATTTTCAACAAGAACTGGGAACATGACAACACACATAGCTAGATTAAATTAGGATTTTCAACCACTAGAACAGCAACACAGTATGTTACAGGCAGATACAGTACTACCTGTTGAACAAATAATTAAAATAGCATTAATTCACTTAACAGCTTTTCTGGGCTTCACATGAAGCTATCTGATGGGCAGATATTAAGAGTTATAAATAAACCTACCTTGCAGTATAAGCAAACTCCACAAGCTGCTCAATAATATCTGGCTCTGCATCTTTTAACTCCACTTCATAAGACTTTGATTCAATCATATTTGCTGCAATTAGATACATAACACCATCATCTAACCTGAACAACAATTCCATCCCTGCACCCACATCTCAAAGGACCTGCTGCTCTAATTTAAGGGGGGGGGACGGGACAGTTGCAATGGAAGTTGTTAAGCGAACTTCAAGACAATCGCAGAGATCAGTTACAAAATGAGCAACAGAACCTAGAATTGACCAAGCTGGTATCTAGATTTAAATGTATTAACAACTGTTTTCCTAATTCCGTATTACTTATAGAAATCTTATTTACAGAAAAACAAGTACACTAAGAATAGGTGTATCAAGAACTTCTGGTCTCACAAAACTACATCCCAGTCTTACATACATTTCAACCCAGCACAAGGTAGGAATGGGAACCTGTGGCCTTCCTGTTGGACAACTCCCATCATCCCTCACTATTGGCTGTGCCAGCTGAGGCTGATGGGAGACAGTCCAAGAATATCTGGAGGACTACAGGTTTCCCTATCCTTGATGTAAAAATTAAAAAAGAAAAAACAGACTAATCCTAGTCACACTTCAGTGCACTGCACGTAAGTTAGTACCATGGTATTCTCAAATTGCAGACAAAGCTGCAGAACTCTACCTCTACAGGAAAATTCTCCAAAACATTTAATTAGAAAAGATGAATTAGTGTGGTATGAATGAGTTCTGACCTTAGAAACATCTGCACCTAAAGTTAGATAAAAAGAGGACACCTTCTTTTCCTCTAGAGCCCATTTTTAAAGACATTTAAATATTAAGCTTGGAGGTTGCAAATATGCCAGTCTCTCTGAAACAGGTGTATTTTTGGCAAGTCTTATTATATACTGACTGCATGTGAGAGAGAGTTTTAGGAAGACAAGTGGAAAATCAGTGGCTTCACTGGTTCACATGTAAGACATGGTAAGTCAGTGTGTGGCTTACTGTGACCACACATACATACTGGCTCCCACCGAGACCACGGATGCTTTACTCCTCCCTAGACATTTTAGGTCAGTGCGGTGGCAGTTAAGCAATGTTTTTGCTAAGTGTGTTGTCTGAATCTGGGGCTGTTGTTAACACCTGTCCTCAAGCATCATCTGTGGCCAAAGCTTGTCCTTTGGCTACAAGTCATGATTGAGGAGAGACCTGAACTATGATCCATTGGTTGGATGACACACTAAGCCAAATCTTGGTTTGGCTTAGCTGCTGTACCAACCTAAAAAGCCTAGGAAGAAGCAAAGTGGTTGCAATCGTCTTCTTGGGAGACAGTATATTCATGCTAAGCCATGGTTTGGCTTAAAGTTGTTCTCCTGCATGGTGCTACTAAACTGCACTTAGGCTGACAGTTGGTCCAGCAACAGAGATGAAAGACAAGGAAGAAATATCACTGTAAAGATAACTGGACAAGATTCAAGAGTTTCTACTTATATGTTATTAAACCAAATCTCCCTTTCTTTGCAGGACCGCAATGTTATCAACTCAGTACATAAGCTTGTTGCCAAATGGTACCTTGAGTCTACTGCAGGTTGCCGTTACCAGGATGGAATGTCTTATCTGCCAGGGGGTTGGACTAAATGACCCTCGAGGTCCCTTCCAACACTACAATTCTATAATTTCAACTAACTGCTTGGCTGTAGCTTGCTCTTACAACAATCCACTTGTCCCAGTATGCAAGAAAGAGAAACACACACAGTGGAAATTGTATTAATTATGGACTAAGGCAGAGGTTTTTTAATTGCGGTCGCCAACCTGGAGCCCAGAAATCTCCACATAGTCGCAACTGAACCTGTGCCAGTAGCAAAATGCTCCTGGCTAATTTTGAACACTGCTGGTCAGTAGATGATGATGATGATTTAAACCAGTAGAAGTTGAGTAGCTGAAGACTTACTGGTAAACATCAAGTTAAAGAAGTGACTTGCTGAAGCAAGTACAACACGATGAGCTGGGATCTTCCTTTCCTGGACCATGAGAATGACATCACAGAGTGTTTTCTAGCACAAAAAAGTCAAAATGATGACAAAACATGTAATATTTCATAATTTCAGAGAAATGTGTAGAAAGTCTTATTTTTTTGCTAAACTAGTGACCTACAGAAATGTACAACAAACACTATTGAAGACAAAATCACCATTTTTCAAAGGAGCTCAAGGCAATGTATGTGCTTCTTCTTATCCTCATTTAATCCTCATAACAACCCTGTGAAGTAGGTTAGGCTGAGAGGCAATGACTGGCCCAAGTTCATCCATTGAGCTTCATAGCGGCAGGAATTCAAACTCTGGTCTTATAACTGAATTACATTTACAATATGAACAATTACAATTTTGCTGCTCTTCAGCTCCAAGTATGTGAGATTTTTGCATACAGTTTGGCAAACCCTACATTGTAAAGCTATGCCTATCTACTCAGAAATAATTCTTAGTTAGTTTAATAGGGCTTACTTCCAGGTAAGCATGTAGAAGATTGCAGGCTTAATACTGTAGCCAGCAACACATACTTAAAATAGCACTCATTGTCCCAAATGCTTATGGGAGGTCTAAATAGAAACAACTTGAACATTTGCTTCTTTATTGTCATTTCCACAATAGACCAAAATAGCAGAGTGACTAATGTGTTAGTTAAGTAGCTTTTAAATGAGACCAGGTTCCTAAAAAGTACTCTCTGCGTATACTTTAATGGATGCTCTCATTATTCTGTCATTTAAAAGCTGCTGAACTAATTTCTAAAGGTAGAAAAAGAAAGACATTGACAATTATTTTTCTCTGTTGTGGAAATGACAATGAAGGAAACTTAATATTTTCCAGTTGTCTCCATTTAGACCTCCAACTATTTGGGAGAAAGACTACCATTTAAGTGTTTATTTGCTAGAATATTAGCCAATATGTGTAGCATTTTTAACTTGAAATATAGATAAGCACCTCAAGGCAACTGAACAAGAGCAAAGCTGTTACTGAGCTAAAATATGTAATAGATCTTAAAATTGGTACAGTGGCAGTTCTAGCAAGTAATGACAATACAAATCACCACTAAAGCAGATTATGAAGAAAATTGGTTGCATTCAACTCAGTGTAGACTCATTGAAATTAATGTCCATTACTTAGGATTAATTGTAATAGGTCTACTCTGAGCAAAAGGTGAATACAAGCCACAGATTAGCAAGGCAAATATTAAGCCTCATAGATCAGTAGACTGGTACTACCCAAACACATCTGTTAAGTACACGATTGAACTAGCAGTTTTCACCCCAGTTTCATAGTCATACACTAGTCATCTTCACTCAGCACACGACTAACTTGTACCTTCTGGAAGGGGGCTGATGGTGAAGGTGTTACCTCCAACCACTATTTCCGCTACAGCTTGCCAACATTTGTAACGCTCTAACCCCTACAGCCTGTTAACAGTTGTTCTGGTAATAGCTTTCCTGCACAAAAAGATAGCTATTAACTCCTATGCCAGGCACAGGCAAACTAGGCCCTCCAGATGTTTTGGGACTACAACTCCCATCATCCCTGACCACTGGTCCTGTTAGCTAGGGATGATGGGAGCTATAGTCCCAAAACATCTGGAGGGCCGGTACGCCTGTCCTATCCACTTGGGTGACATATGCTAGAGATAAAGGAAGATGAATCTGAATTAAGTTTACACATTTGCCAGGGTAACAGAAGTTGGGAATATTCTCATTTTCCCCCAGTGCATCCTTGTGGGTGGAACAACAAAGAGTTACACCAGATAAATGAGCAAAGAATGCAACCGGGTGGTCTTGGCTTCACATCAACTGCTCTGTGTACCAGAGATCCATTGCAGCATGGTAGTGCCCAAATAAAAGGGACTGCACTACAAATCCCGATGCTGCTCTCAAATCTCGCCTCTAACAGGAACTCATGAGGTAGTCAAGTTACAAGAAAGGAGATTCCTTCTAAACACACAGAAAAACTTTCCTGACAGTAAGAGGTTGGATGCCCATCTGTCACAGACGCTTAGCTGAGATTCCAGCATTGCAGGGGGTGGGAGTAGATGATCCTTGGGGTCCCTTCCAACTCTACAATTCTGATTCTTAGGCAAGGCGTCATCTGTGAGCCTCGTCAGCCTTCCTCCACCTCTGCAATATGGGAGTCCTGACTGGCCTACTTTACAGGACTGTTGCAAACAGCAACAAAACAATGCCAAGCACTTTGTGTTAGCTGTGTCCCCCCTGCCCTGGGTTTCTTCTCCTACAACTCCTCCGGGCTCACAAATGCCCGGGTGCCAGGCTCGTGGTCAACACCATGGGGGGGGGGGGAGAGAGAAACATGTTCCTATTGGACCCCAGAGGTCAAAGAGCCCTAGGAGGCCGGTCACCCCACACCCCGCCTTACTTGCTTCCTCATGGTGTTCATGACCCCCATGAAGCTGGCCAGCAATTTGGCTTCTTCCCGGGCGGCGAGTTTCTTCTCCGTCTTCTTCTTGTTGCTCTTCTCCGACGCCGAGGCCGCCATGCTCCCTTCCCCTTCCCTCGCCTCCCTCTCGCCGGCGACGAACCGAAGGCTTCCCCAACCGACGCCCGGTCATAAACGGCAGTCAGCCAGGCTCCAACGGCCAACGCGAAGCGGCAGCCCCGGCCTCGCTCTGCGAAAAAAAAGGGTCTCCCTCCGCCCAGCAGTTGCAGGCCCTCTTCCTACACCCCCAAATATAGGCTCCCCTGGCCAATCAGGAGGCAGCTCGCGGACTCGCTGTCCGCCAACACAAGTCCGCCCCTTCTCGGGAGCCGGCGAAGAATCAGCGGGTGGGAGAGGTAAACAAAGAAGGAGCCGGCGCGCCGTGACGTCACGCCGAAGCGCACGACCTGCCCGAGACAATGAGAGCGGGGGACGTGAGGAGGTGGAGAGTTGTGGGTAGGCGCCAGGTGCGCATGTGTGGATGTGGGCAGGTTGGTCCCTGAAGTGTGTCAGAGGAGCACGAGTCTTCCCGAGAAGGGTGGGTCGCTCAGTCGCCCAGTATAGAAACACTCAGGATTGTAGAGATACGCCTCTTTCTTAAAGGAGGTGGCTCGGCAGAACACAGGAAAAGCATTGGCCCGTCTATGGTGTGCGCTGCCTGCCGGAGGCTCCGCTCCGTTGTCCCCGTGGATGGTGCTGTGGGTTAAACCACAGAGCCTAGGACTTGCAGATCAGAAGGTCGGCAGTTCGAATCCCCGTGACGGGGTGAGCTCCCGTTGCTCGGTCCCAGCTCCTGCCAACCTAGCAGTTCGAAAGCACGTCAAAGTGCAAGTAGATAAATAGGTACCGCTCTGGCGGGAAGGTAAGTGGCGTTTCCGTGCGCTGCTCTGGTTTGCCAGAAGCGGCTTAGTCATGACTCGGAAGCTGTACGCCGGCTCCCTCGGCCAATAAAGCGAGATGCGCGCCGCAACCCCAGAGTCAGCCACGACTGGACCTAATCGTCAGGGATCCCTTTACCTTTACCTTAGATGGGAATGGCAGGGGTTGGAACCAGGACCATCTTCTTCGGCATGAGAAGTATGTGCAGATCATCTGAATGCATACAGTGATCCAGATGTGGAGGAGGAGGGGCAACATCTATCCCCAGTAGGGGCTGAGCTGGGAGCAGAGGTTTAAAACTCCAACCACCCCAGCACCCTACTTTTATTCTTGGAGGGAGCAGGTGGCACTGTGGTCTAAACCACTGAGCCTCTTGGGCTTACCGATCAGATGGTCGGCGGTTTGAATCCACTTGACGGTGGTGACCTCCTGTTGCTCTGTCCCAGCTCCTGCCAACCTAGCAGTTTTAAAGCATGCCAGTGCAAGTAGATAAATAGGAACCACTGTGGCGGGAAGGTAAATGGCATTTCCGTGTGCTCTGGTTTCTGTCACGGTGTTCCATTGCGCCAGAAGCGGTTTAGTCATGCTGGCCACATGATCCGGAAAGCTGTCTGTGGAAAGCTCCCTTGACCTGAAGCAAGATGAGCGCTGCACCCCATAGTTGCCTTTGACTGGACTTAACTGTCCAGGGGTCTTTTATCTACAGTGGTGCCTCAGCATGCGAGCGGGATGCATTCAGGAGCCCCGTTCGCATACCGAACGGGATCCGTTCCGGAGCCCCGTTTGCATCCCGAATGGAACGCAAGACGCGACGGTGCGTCTGTGTGTGCGGCATTTCGCCGCTTCCGCACATGACGTCATTTTGAGCGCATGCGCGAGCGGCGAAAACCGGAAGTAACACGCTCTGTTACTTCCGGGTTGCCGCAGAGCGCAACTCGAATGCGCTCAACCCGAAGCACATTCAACTCGAGGTATGACTGTATTTTTATTCTTCCTTCTTTCTGCTGCTGCTGCCAAAATCAGTGGGGTCTTGGGCCCCTCAGAAAAATATTGTTACAGCCAGTGCTATTTTTCTAGAAAAAGAGGTGCCAGAACTTACCACGAACACCTCCCTTGTTCTCTTATAATGGCAATGGTGCCCACCTGAGAGGTAGGTGCAGGAACTGAGTTCAAGTGAGTTTTGGCCGCAGAAAAGCCCTGGTTACAGCCACCCCAATCTCCAGCCAGTGGTGCAAGATTCCATGGATTGCAGGTGCGCTTACCAGCATCTGTGTTCCCTTTTGGGACAATGGGGCACAATAGAGATGTGGTCCCTTTATCACATATACAGGCCAACAAGACCAATCCTCCCCCCCCCCCCGCCCGACAACATACGAATCAATCCGGCTAACTTAACTCAATTCCTTGGGCCCTCTGATCTCTCGCTCAACCATAAAAAATAAATAAAACACCACACCAGTCATGCCAACTTCGATTACATAGTTGGTACAGAGTCAGAGATAGGTGGGACTAGTGGCCCGTTTGTTCTGGTTGATACGGATACCTTTTAGCTTCTACAACCTGAACCTATGGACTATCTACTAGGAGGCGTGCAGTTCTTCCTGGATGCTTGCCCATCCTGGCTGGTGATGTCTGCCAGAGCTGGGCTGGGTGTGTGATCTCAGAGGTCCTCCTGGATCTCTCAGAGGCTTTCAGTATCATAGATTCTGAATCAGCTGCCTGGTTTGGGCCACAGGTTCTGCTACAATTTGGAGTCTTCTGTCACGGAGCCAGATCCGATCGCTACTCCAAGACATTCAACAGATGGCTTGGCATCAGTGCTAGGAACTCACCCACCCTCTCTACGAGGGAAGCAGCCATTGCTATTGAAGCTGGTGTGCCGGAAAATACCACCTGCCCATGGGCATAGCCAGGGAGGGGCACCTGCCCCCCTAAATCAATAAAAATACATAGCAAACTAAGGTTCTTCTGCCCCCAACAAAAGGCCTGCCGCCCCTAACAAAAATCCTGGCTATGCCCATGCACCTGCCCCATGCAAAACGGTTGTGTAAAGTACTTGATTGGAGTACACCTTGGGGAGCTGACCACATCTTCCTAGCACACCTGCACAGAGCTGTAGTAGTAATCAGCTTGAAGGGATTTTGGGATGTTGTTTTACCTGTTGCGTGATACAAATCTCTGCTTGCATCATAAAAGCTAAGCTTAGAACTGATGGTATCATTAAACAAAGCTTATCTCTTTGAGATCTTCTCCAGTGGCATCTTTTACAAGGTTGAATGCACAGTTACTCCTCAGATGGCTGCAAGGTATTTATTTAATATATTTCTACCTCTCTTTTAGGGTGACCATCACACGGTGATTTTTTAAAAATGTTAAAAACAAAACAATTGAACAAGATTCAGACAGCAGAGGATCAGGAGCATGCAAGAGGATCAATAGAATGCTGGGTGAATTTATAGTTTAAAAAAAGTATTCTAGGACTGCATAAAGACCACAAGAGAAAGGGTCCAGGCAAAGAGAGCCAAGTGGGGTTGCATAAACTACTGTGTGCACATTGCTAGCAGTAAAAGGCAGGGTGGTTTTTCCCTCATCTGAAGTCAAAACCTGCTTTCACCAGTAGATGTCATTCTAGCAGTGGTAATAGAGATATAACTCTTATACGATAGCCTGGTGAAATAATGAACTTAGCCAAATAAATTAAAAAACCAAAAAAGTTTTTGTTATAAACCTGTTGCTGGATTAATTGAGATCACTCTTTTTTTTAATTGAGCAAAACATTTGTACTCAGATAGGCTAACAAATTAATTGACCAAATGTTGCAGCCCTGATTCTTTATATTTGTATGAGTGTTGTACATGCAAACTGTTCAGTGGCACAACGGGTCAATGTGCCTGGCTGTTAACCAGAAGGTTGGTGGTTCGAGCCCACCGAGGGACGGCTGGATTCCTGCCTTGCGGGGAACTGGACTGGATGACCCTCGGGGTCCCTTCCAACTCTACAGTTCTATAATTCTGTGCAAGACTCCATTCCCTGCACTAGTGTGTGACAGGTAAGGGACTGGAGGAGGTGCTGGTAAATTGACTTATCTCCTGGAATTCCACCAACACACAAAGAGCAACACAAGGCTTTTGGAGAAGCCAGTAAGGCAGGTGTGAGGAACTTTTGAGCATCTAGATGTTGCTGAACTACAACTCCCATCACCCCTGACCATTGGCCATGCTTGCTGGGTCCTGTGAGGAGTTGTAGTTCAGTAAGTAACACCTGGAGAGCCAAGGTTTCACCACACCTGCAGTAAGGCAGCAACTACAATGCAACAGCACTATGACAATTTTGTAATAAGCTTGTTTGTCTCACTCCATAAGCCCTTACATTTGATCTATCCATTACCCCGCCCACCGCGAGAATCCATAATAATAAAGGACTCCTGGATGGTTAAGTCCAGTCAAAGGTGACTATGGGGCTGTGATGCTCCTCTTGCTTTCAGGCTGAGGGAGCTGGCGTTTGTCCACAGGCAGCTTCCCAGGTCGTGTGGCCAGCATGACTAAACTGCTTCTGGCGCAACAGAACAATGAAACCAGAGCACATGGAAACGCCGTTTACCTTCCCACCGCAGCAGTACCTATTTATCTACTTGCACTGGCATGCTTTCGAACTGCTTGGTTGGCAGGAGATCCACGGTGCAACAGTGGACAACTGATGTGTGCAATCAGACTATTTGATTGCAATCTTAAGTAGTTTCAGGCGGGAATAAATCCCATTAATGACAGTGAGGATGTATTTCTGAGTAAATTTCATAGTATGTAACTGCACACACCCACACACTCTGTTGTAAATCTCATTTGTGTTAGCATGTGTATTGTTTTCCCAAGGTGCCCTTCTATGTTCTGTCGTGTAAGACTCCATTTGAAAATGCTGAGGAAATCCTCCTACCATTGTCTCTTCATAAACAAGCTCCCAACCCTCTTTTCATCTGAATTGATGAGTCACATTAATCAGAATTGAGGGAGCATTTTTACTATGATTATTAAGTGTTACCTGCAGCTTTGGCACTGTAAAGCTGTTCAGTAATCACCTTAATGCATTAAATGAAGAGAAAATCTGTAGAGAACATCAGTAAAGCAGCAGGTTAGCTCGTATATATAGGCAACACAAGCATTGACATTTGGATGCCCACAGGGATTTATTTTGTAGCACAGAAGTCTTTCAAAATAAGCCATGGCTATCTAGCTGTTGTAAGACAGAATGGATGATAACCTGATCTTCTCTGCAACTTATGTCTAACATAGATTCAGTATGATTTCTGCTCACCCTCCTCATCTTCAAAAGCTGCATCTAATGTTTTTCAATATTAGGATTACACTTTTAACAGTGTAGTCTTGTCTATATTTACTCGGAAGTAAATCCCACTGTGTTCAGTAGGACTTGCTCTTAGGTGCATGTAATCATAGCCCATAGTTGAATGTTTAGGTCAAAAAAGCAGAGCATTTAAAGTTAAAGGCATTTTACTCTGGAAACAGACCCCCATTCAATTGTTTGTTTTATCAATAACCAGTGCTTTTTTTCTGGGGGGACGCAGGGGTTCGCATACCCCTAAACATTTTGTAAATCTTTGTACTTTTGTCCATTTACTGTATTTATTTTCCCCAATTTGAACTATAAAACAGTGATTTTATTG